CTATAATTGTATTTGTTTCTATATTCTGACCTATGCCTTTCTTTTGAAATTTTGGGACAGTCTCTTCTATTGTGTTCCCTGGATCCACAATTGTGGCATTTAAATGTTTCATTATATTTTTCTTGGAAAGCTACTTTCCTATATGGTTTGTGTTCTGTGTGATTGCTAGAACGATTCCTTCTTGAATTGTCTTCTGCTATCAATTTATTGGATAGACTTTCTATGGATAAATATCCTAGATTGATAGTGTCTAAATGTGACATAAAATTGTCCCATGATGAATCAAGTGAGTTGATAATAACACTTTTCATTGTTTGGTCTGAAATCACCTCCCCTCTCAAATGCAGCTCAGCTCTTATTTTGTTTAAATATATTAAATGCTCACTTATGGAAACCCCTGGTTTTACCCTAGATGAAAAGAAATCTTTAGACATCCTTGTGGTGGTAGCTACACTGTCACTGTGAAACAAATTAAACATGCATTGAATGATTTCTGAAACAGTCAGATTTGGCTTAATGCTATGATACATTGCAGGAGACACACTAGATATTATTAAGAAAAATGCTCTATGGTGTAAACAATCTATTTTTAGAGTCCAAGGTCTTTTTGGGGGACTAGTGATAAAAAATAGTAAGTTTTCCTTCATAAAGACAACCTGGAGCTGTTGATACCATTCTTGCAAATTAACGCCATCAACCCTTAGCTTTGGGAAGTCACTGGGTAAATTTCCGACATTATTGTGTCCATTACTTACAACCTGAGGTAGTCCGTGGTCTCGCAAGTGTAGAAAATTGCAAAACGGCATGGGGATGCTCGCAACGAGTCTGCATGGTCTCCTCGCCAGTTCATGTCTTCCCGGACCGTCTGCGTAGTTTTGCGCATGCGCGTTGTCCATTTCTTCTTTGGAGTCGTCGTGGAAGGTTCTCCCCATTGTGGCTCGCTCGTTCTGCTCCCCTTCAGATGAATCGGTCTCTGGTTCGATTTTGGGAGTCCTGACGACGGCGGCTGCTCCTCCTCTTCCCCTGAGGGCATTGGTGCTTGCTTTGGTCTGTGGCGTAGGGCGGTACCGGCAGGGCTCTCTGGGTTCGGGCGTCGGCGTTCTCGTAGTCAGGATGGGAGCGGGCAGGTCTTGAGGCATCGGCTTGCTTGCTCGCTTCTTCGGTAGCTGTTTGTTAATTTTTAGTTTTGGCCCAAATGCAGCAAAAAGCGTTTTCATTGCTGATTTTATTTGGGAGTTTGTTGAATCATCTTCACTTTCTGATTCTGATTCTTCTGAGGAGTTTGAATCTTCTTTTTCATTTTCGTTGTTTGATAACGTTTTTCGCGCCAGAAATTTTGAATTGAGCATTTTGATTGGCTCTGCTTTGCTCACCCTGGAGGCCTGTTGAAACCAAGATGGCTGCCATTCAAAATTTCGCGCGGGATCACCGTTTTTCTTCTTCGTAATGACTTTCTCTGCAGTCATATCACTCACTATTTTTGGGTCTTTAGACTTTTCATTAGTGATGTTTTTCTCTCTCGCTGCTCCGCTGTTCTTCAGCATATCTTGGAGTTTCGCGATGAGGCTTTCATCATTCTTCTGGCTCTTTAATAGTTTTAATATCTCTGACCTGAGTTCGTTATTCTCTATTTCGATTTCCTTCTGGTCATCATTTTCATCTATTATTTCTTCGTCTTCAGTGGTGTATTCTTCGGAATCTCTCGAAATTGCGTTTGTGGATTCGTTGATTATTTCTTGTTCTGTTTCCATTTCTTTGCTGTAGGCCCTGGTGTTGGGCCTATCTTTCTTAGACATTTTTAAGTTTTTATTGAGTCAATTAACCATCCTCTGCTACCAGCTTGTTGCAATATTTTCAAGATCAGACTCAATAATATTAGTAAGAGTTAAAGGTTTAAATATATTTCCTTTTATTTACAATAGGCATTCTATATTCACTGAATATTCACAGATAGAAGCAAGGAAAAGGGTGTAGGTGGCTCCTTATATATACAATGGGTGGAGCTATAAGTGGGAGTGGTGAATTATGAATACATTAAGAAGTGAAGAATAAGTTAACCCCTGATACCCCGTTCATATATTATTTACACATTAGAGAATAAGGCATTTACATCTGACACAAAGGCCCTTCCAAAGGTAAACAGGATGGGGCAAAGAGGATTCCTGAACCTTTTACAAAAGAAGATACGTTAATCAAACTCCCTATAACAAAGCAGTGTGCATGCATTATTGCATACATGCATTATTACATTGATCTCAGTCATTAAAATTGTTCAATTGTTGAAATTAACATTGGAAGAATAGGAGAAAGAAAAAACTTCTTCATTTGCATTCCATAATGTGAAAGCCATGACAGAGAAAGCAGCTTCCATCTTCCTGATAGTTGCAGTCTGTGGGGAAACTGCCCCTCAACTCTATTCAGAAATCTTAACTTTCCCCTATGTGTTTATGAAGGTGAAGTGATATAAGTTTATCAACAGGCCTACCAGGTTCTGGGTGTGTCCGCATTGGGACAAATGTGACTTTAAGATAAAACAAATCAGTTTGTGGTAGAGGAAACTTATGGAAATAAATGGATCTCCTTTTGCTGTTTCAGTTTCAGGAGGGTTTTATATAGGTATATGAGTTAGGTTTCTCTGTGTGAGGAAGGTTTGTGTGTATGTGAGAGAAGTGTTGGCAGAGGCAGATTGGGATCAATTATTGAATCTTCAGAGTGCTCAAAAAAGTGAACATTGCATAGGATTTTTGCCTGGGTTTCATTTTTTTTTTATCCAGTTTACTTTTGAGGGCAGTAACAGTAATTTTAGATAAATTCTTAGATAAATATAGCTTTCTGCCTTTTCTCTTTGAAAGAATTGTCCAACCAGTTTATCTCTCAGATACAAAATCCCCAGCAAATTTGGTCCTCAGGCATTAAGGTTGATTTTCTCATTGTCAAAAAGTGACCCCAAGTAGTTCTTTTGTAATTCCCATTGAAGATGATGATGATGATGTGCCATCAATTTAGTGCTGACTATTAATAACTACATAGATTTCATCCATGACGGACGGTCCCTAGGCTGGTCCTTCAAGTCTTCCAACCATCCATTGCCACTGTAACTGAATCCATTCACCTTCCTATTGCTGATCCTCTTCTCATTCCTTCCACCTTTCCCAGCATTAGGGATTTTATTTTTAGTTTTTTATTTTATTTTATTTTATTAATTTATTATTTTATATATAAAACCCAGGGGATCAGCTTGGTGCTGCTATCAAATTCTATGGCAAAATAATCTCATTAAATAGGCCACCCCAGAGATTTTATAGAACTGATTGGCTCCTGATGAATGTTTGGTAAGTTTGTTGGTGCCTTGTTGACGCCTGCAACAAAAAAGTGCCAAAGGCAGCACATATGCTTCCTCTAGAGTGGCTTTTTCATGATCTCCAATCCTAGGCTGCTCCTTGCAAACTGAATTGCTCTGGCAGATGGCTTATTAAAAAAAAAGAAGTGGACATAACAGATACTGGTCTAAGCTCAGGTTTAAACTTACATTGTGGTGATAAAATGGCTTCTCTGCAGACTTTGTTTCTTCAAATTCTTTACAGGTGTTTTAATACTGCTTCTTGTCTCTTCTAATGACTCTCTGAAAGTCTGCTAAGTTCTTTCCTGAAATGTATTGTCTTTCCCAGCTTTGGCCACTCTTTTCTTCTCCGCAATTTCCACCATTTGTTCTGATATCCAGATTGCTTTATCTTGTTTCTTCACTCTGGCTCTTTTCACACTCATCTTTAATGACTTCTTGAAATTCATGCCATAATTCCTCTGGGAATTTTTTTTTTTTAATCAACGATGTAAAGGACTTCAAAGCAGTTCCTGATGTACCCCTTGAAAATATTGGGAATACCATATTTTTCGGAGTATAAGATGCACTTCCCTCCCCCCCAAAAGTGGGTGAAAATTGTGGTGCGTCTTATACAGCAAATGTTGCTGAAGCCCCTCCCACCCATCGGTCCCCATCCTTCAGCTGTTTTTGGCCTCCGTGTGTTGCATTTTCAGCCTCCACATGCTCCGTTTTAGATCTGTTCCAGGCTGCGGGGATCGCCATAGCACATCGCTGATCACCGCCTCCATGCATCACATGTTTGGCCTCCAAGTGACACGTTTTCAGCCTCTGCACAGGATGTGACAAGTGTACAGATGATAAAATGGTGAATCGTTACTATGGCTAAAAACTGCCATTTGCGATCACAAGTTACAGAGTGAATAGAAGTTATACATTTAGTCATCAACTGATCATCATTCAAAGTTATGACAGCACTGGGAAAAGTAACTTATGACCAATCATCACACAACCATCACAGCATCCCTGTGCTGGCTACTGGCATGTATTTATGACATTTATGACAGTTGCAGTGTGCAAGAATCACATGATCACCATTTGTGACCTTCTGACAAGCAAAGTCAATGGGGGAAAACACATTTGCTTAACTCAGTGTGTATAGAAGCCAAAAGCTCCAAAGTTCAGAGAGACAGGCAAAGATTCCAGAAATTCTGCAGGGCAAAATTAAGGGCTTGGAGGTTTCCACGTGGTTTACTTGGTTGCTCTGTGTCTGCAGAGATCTTGAGCCATCTGATCATACTATAAGTGCTTTTTTTCTCAGCCTTTTTCTCCATTTTCTGTCATTTTTCTGTTCATTGATTAGAATGGAAAAGTCATTCTTGGCCAAATTACAGAAGTTTAACCCCGATGGCTACAGTGAAGGAGAAGATGTTAGGATAATTTTTAATATCTTTATTTTTTTATAATTCAACAAAGAATTGATCTTGAGCTATATCTTTCACATTACACTCATCTAGCAGAAAATGGTTTTATTTTTCTGAAATACAGTCACTTAACTCCTTGAGAACAGGAGGGGTTACTTCAACATCCTCTATGGGATGGGCTCCTAGTGAACTATACGGGAGTGGTGCCATTATTTGTTCATTAATGAATTCTGCTGAGCTTGAACAGCCATTGCCAATCAGATATAGGCATACTTAGTCAGAAAATGTAACCACTTCCTGATTTCTCTGTCAATGCAATCGTTAAAAGACATCCATATATATAAAAGGCAAGACACCACTCACCTGTGGCTCAAAGAGAGAGAGCTGGTAAGGCAAGATGAAGGTTTGGGCTGGTTCCTACCTGATTTTCCTGGTTGCTAGTTCTGTGGAGGGAGAAGTCTCAAATCATGATACTGGAGGACTCCAGGACACTGAAGCCACTTGTTGTGCACGTGAGTTCAAGCTATGTGATCTTTCAGCTTGGTCTTAGCCTCTGTGGGGTCCCTAATGTGAAGGAGCAGAATGGTTGTACTTAGTTTCCCAATATAGCCAATTCGTAAGGAAATGAATACTTGCCTTACAATCTTTCTTCTGTCCGCAACTACTGTGAGCCGAGGAATTTAGGCATCGCTGATTAGCAGTTTTACAAGTAAAGAGATGGCTCAGGAACAGGTGAGGGGTGGAATCTGGCTGCAGTGAAGTTCTGCTTAATAAGCATTTATTGAAGATGCTGGTAGGATTGAAAGGTTGGAGAAAGTTGAAATGTGATGTTCTTTGAGGGAAAGAAGCTCTTTTAAAAGAAGCAGTTTTCTAAAAAATTAGTAAGTTACTTTTTAATCAGTAAAACAAAATTAATCTTGACATTACTTTTAGGTGACATTTAGGTGGAACATATATTAGATCAGGTTTTGATTTCTACAAAACATGGATTAAATCTGGAAGCTACAATGGTTCAAAATGGAATAGCACAAGCAGTAACCAGCACATCTCATTGTGCCTACTATGAGAGCTGCATTCTGGGTTGGCTTCTGGGTGCAATTCAGAATGTTGGCTGTTCCCTTTAAAGTCTTGCATGGAATAGGACCTGGTTGCCTGAGGCACAGCCTTTCTCCCATTAAGTCTATCCACCCACTAGGTTCTGGCAGAGTGTGCCCTTTTCCATTCAATGTTCTGCTAGAACAACATATGGACCACTAAGAAACCACTGGAATAGAAAACTATGATTGAATGTGTGGATGGCCTTGGGGGATAATAAGAAGAGATGCTGCCTAGCAAAAAATAAGTCAAGAGTCAGGAGCCCTCAGTGGCTAAAAGTGGGAAAAAATGCCAAATCCAATCTAAATATCTGGCTGACTGGGCAACAAATTATAATAATAACACATATAAAAATACTTCAAAAGTGATGAAAAACCTGGTAAAAAATATATGTCTTCAAGTTTTAAATTTTATTTAGATTCATATATCTATGATGTGAAAGAAAAGACTTCGTAGCAGCCAAATTAAGAATGGGTTTTGGACTAGTACAACTCATTAACTACAGGCTGAGGATCACTGTCATACATGTTGTTTGCATGTATCAACATTCCCCAGTGAGACTCCCATCATCATCATTCAGCAAGCCCAACGGTTCCAAAAATGTCTACTATGGTTGTCCTTTCCCCCTGGAATTATCATGCTTTCTTTATGTAATCACTTTTTACTAGAGATCTCCATGAGTTAATTCCATTACAACAAGCATTCATATTCCTACAACAGAGATTATGGTGATTTCACACTAGGGGGTCCTTCACAAAGGTCAACTTCTGTCCCAGACATATATTTTGAGACCAGAACTTGCCTGAACTGACCCATTCAACCATCCCTATTCTTCCCCTAGAGACAGAAACCAGAAACTGCAAGGACCTCCTGGAACGTGGGGAGACTCTGAGTGGCTGGTACACAATCTACCCAACCAAGGGAAACCCAATGCTGGTGTTTTGTGACATGGAGACAGATGGAGGAGGCTGGTTGGTAAGCTGGAGTCCTCCAGAAGAGGAGGAGGTGGTGATGGAAGAGATGATTATTTACTTTAACAGAAGAGCAAGAAGCCCAATATTATGATAATAACATTTTTGAACAAGTGGCCTCCACACTGCCATTTTTGTTACAAATTAATAGCAACTGTTGAGGGGCCCATCAGCCTTCTCCCCTGTCAAGAAACAGGTGCTGGACAGTTTGCAGCCCTAGGCCTTAATAAAAACCTCTTCGGATATTTATTTATTTATTTATTTATTTATTTATTTATTTATTTATTTATTTATTTATTATTTATTTATTTATTTATTTATTTATTTATTTATTTATTTATTTATTTATTTATTTTCTATACCGCCTTTCTCCCGTAGGACTCAAGGCGGTGTACAGTCAAGAAAAATATAGACACACAAACATCATAAAATTGCTAATTAAAATTATTACTTAGTTTGGTCAATCAAATAAATATGAGGATATGAGCTCAAGGCAGTGGAAAACTTTCCTGTTATTGTGAGATTGAACAAACTGGAAGCCCTAAAATAGAGCTTTCACAGCTCCAAATTCTGTCCATATATGGAATGGGTATTTCCCACTTTGTGTCCCTCACCCTCTATCATTGGGAGCCGTCCCTCAGGAAGCCAATAAGGGAGAAAAGCAGCCAGGCCTAGCCTTGTTTGCACTTTCGCTTTTCTTGATAACAAGACAACTCAGAGAAGAGGCCATCATTGGTAGTTACAGGGCCATCCAGACACCAGACACCATCTCCATTCCTTGTAGGGAAGTTCCTCTTCATCTATTATTCCAATCTGAGAAGGGGATCTTGGGGTGGGGGACACAAAAAGTTAAGTGGGCATCTTAACTATTTATAACTTCCCATAAAGACATCTCTGACTCTGATTTTTTCATCTTGCTTGGAAATATGTATCTTTGCATCTCCTGCACTCCTTCAAAGGTCTGCCAGGATTCTCATCTCTAGCAATAAATTTATCACAGCATCTTTATAATAAATAAATTAGATTGATTGAGTCATCTCTCTAAACCTACATACTGAGTTTCATGGATCTATGCAGGATTCTTTGTTCCTCGTCCAAATATGCTCTAATCGTCATACCAAACTAGGCATGTTCTTCGTGGATTATTCTGGCATGGAGGGGACAAACTTTGGATTTCTTTAGTGATTTGTTGATTTAAAGCATTTAATTGAGAACACCTTTTTTTAACACAATGGGCAGTAGGATAATTTTCTATGGGATTTTTTTTGCCATTTGTCTTTGAGATGATTTAAAATATACCTATTCCAAGACTTGAGACATTAAAATAGCTTTTTAAGCAGCAAAATGCAGTGACATCCAGTCACAGTCTCTCCCTACTATAACTATGACAGTCCTATTCCTTTTTCAAAACAAGGCTGAAAGACAGTGCTCCACTTCAGAAATGGTGTAAGACAGGGTTCTACTTACCTTTACTACTAGTTCGCATCATGCCCCTGCGTGCACGCTAGCTTCTGTGCATGCGCAGATTGCTTCTGATGACATCCAGGTCAGTGGGCAGAACCTCCCATTGATTTTACTACTGGTCCTACAGAACCGGTCCGAACTGGGGGCAACCCACCAGTGGCGTAAGATTAGGAAAGCAGCTTCTCCATCAAGCAGATGTTGAGGTAGCTCCCCCTCTCTTTCCGCCAGCTCTTCCAGAGGCGGCAGGATGGATCTATCAATTTCTACCGTGACTGGGAATCATATAAGAAAGGATTCGGAAGTCAAGGATCAGAATTCTGGCTGGGCAATGATAAGATCCATCTTCTCACCAGTTCTGGTAAGCCAAAAATCTCCTCTTCTACTTGATACTCAGTTTGATATACGTTAAGTCTGTTTCCACAAATAATGCTTATTTTATCAGAATTAATTATGTAAGGAAAGATTAATATCCTTCCAGATTCAGCCTATAAATATTGCCAGAAGCTCTCTTTGCACCACAGTAACACAGTATGCATAAAGGAAACACTCTGATCTGTTTGTGTAAATCCATAAGACTTAACTTCCATTTCCTTCCATAGAGATGAATGGTATATTCCAAATTCATAAGTCAAATATGGGAAAAACAGATGTCCTTTCCTGTAATTTGGAAATTGTCTTGGAGCTTTATGCAGCCTGATTCTGCAAGAGGGTTAATCATTAACTGAAGAATAAACTGTTAGAATCAGGGAGAAAGGAGAGATTTGCCTTCTTTCTCTGGGGGACCATAAATTCTCCTGTTTTCGAAAAAGTATATGGAACCAAGACATCAAGCACCAATCTTGACCCCTCCTCACTCTCTTACCCATCACATGTAGGTAGAAAGTTATTAAAAGATAAAAGATCACTTTTGGATAAATCGTGCATCAAGTCCAGAAATGTCCAATGCTTGTGATTCTGTCCTTCTATATTGGTTAATTAGCACTGCTTTTGAATGGACATGGCTCATAATCTCACTGTGATCATGTCTTTATGGAATGAAAATCTACTACAATGATCAATATGCTTCCCTTATGAACTTCTGTATGTCTAGCATTCATTCTCTAATAACATCTATCCTTTGGGATTCAGGAACACAGCAGTTGCGGATTGATCTGGAAGATTTCAATGGTTCCAGGACCTTTGCAACATATTCCAGTTTCAGAATTGCAAATGAATGTGAAAATTACAGGCTAACTGTGGGTTCCTATTTAGGTGGCAATATGGGTGAGTAATACAGAGAATGCCTCTTCATTTGAGTACCTTCTGACAACAAATGTAACAAATATATATGTCACATGACCTGATGCAGAATGTAGAAACATATTAAGCCAGGGTCTGCTTAATTCCTTTGTGGCCTATCACAGGGACAATGATTTGGCCACATATCCTACGCAAACTGCAAATACAAACCAAGAACATCATTCCAACTCATTCCCTGAATGGAATGTTGAGGAGGGATGAGGCCATAGGTTGCCCACCCCATTTTTCTTTAATAAGTTCAAAATATTTCATAGGGTATCTAGCTAAGGCAGAAGCCTTCAGAAGCTGTCAAACCACTTTTGGTGGTTTGTCCCAACACCTGAGCATCACTGGGTTTGAATAAGGGTTTTACTGCAGCTATCATTGCTGATGTTTGAAGAGACTCATAAGTTCAATATGGCTGCATTTCACAATTGCCAGTGAAAATATTATTTTCTATAGATTGGTTTGGAAAGAAATATTTAAGAGGTTGTGGCCATTCTCCTTCCCACATTGTATAATGAATGCTGAGTACATTGTGATTTTGGTAAAGGAACATTTCTTCTGCTTCTTCCGGAACAAACCCAAAGCTAATTTCATTAGGAAACCCCAAAATTCTCTTTCTAAGAGATGGCAATTGACATATCATTTTATGATTTCACCTAGATTTTGATGAAGTGAGAATCATTTGGAGGCTATTTGGTTTAAAATGTGGGATAGAAATTGATTTATTAATGCATATTCTTGACCTATGTGGTAAGAAAAATATTTTTACTTCCTTGGATTAGTGTAGGAGTGGGCAATCAGTGGCTGCTGTACCACTGAAACTCAGCAGTAAATGCCATTTTTCCCCAGTGACATTATTTCTTAAACCTTCCCCAAAAAGCAAAGTGAAAAAAACTTCCATCCGGCTCCTTCTAGTTCTGATAGCATGTCAAAGAAATGCTTATAACCCTTCAACTGATCCAGGAAACAAAATGTAGTCCTGGACTCAGCCAAGTTGGCCACACTTTGGCTTAATGTATTAACAGGTTTCAAACATTCTAGGTTATCAATCATGATCTATAACGTGGGCTGTTAGGAAGACATCACAGTGGTATATTCAGCCAGTCAGGTTAAGCTGACCATGACTTCAAGAAACATAAATCACTATAATGCACGTTGAATAATCTTGATTGGGCTGGCTAGTGATGCCAAAGTTCAAATGTAGGAGATTGTGCAAATAAACCACATTAATATTCAATCTCTTTCTAATTCTTAGTGATGAAGGTGCATTTTTCATTGGTAAAACCTCCTGCAGGTTTGCATTCCTGGAATCTATGAATTTAGTGCTTCCTCTGTGATTTCCCCCTTTTAGGTGATTCTTTCTCGGCGCATAATCACTCTGCATTCTCTACCAAAGACAGAGACAATGATATTGATGGTGGAAATTGTGCTGTATATTTCAAAGGAGGCTGGTGGTACCATAAATGCCATGCTTCCAACCTGAATGGCCTGTATCACAAAGGGGAACATACCTCTTATGCTGATGGCATCAACTGGGCTACCAGAAAAGGGTACTATTATTCTTACAAGTATGCAGATATGAAAGTTAGACCACAATAAATGAAACCACAGTTTGACAGATTCTTCAACAGACATCACCTCAAAAGTACTAGCAGATTAATATCCTTCTCTATTTTCTACCTGAAAAAAACCAATTAAAATGCAATAAATTTTAAAACTGTTCCTTTGTGTGTTCATTGGACTGTACTCTCTTATAGTAGTCCCCTTTTTAATTACATGGGGATAGAAATAGCACTTAGATTTATATACCACTTCAGAGTGCTTTTACAGCCCTCTCTAAGCGGTTTACAGAGTGAAAATATTGCCCCCAAGAATCTGGGTCCTCATTTTACCCACGTCAGAAGGATGGAAGGCTAAGTCAACCTTAAGCCTGGTGAGATTCCATCTGCCAAATTGCAGGCAGCCAGCAGTCAGCAGAAGTAGCCTGTAGTACTGCATTCTAACCACTGCACCACTGCGGCTCATGGGGATGGAGTTCAAATGCTTCTCCATTTTGCAAATGTTTTGGAAGAGAAAGAACGGTGCTCCTGAAAATTGTGCAAAGCTGACATTTACCTATATTGATCTATAATTTATAAGTAGGTAAAGTAACACAACAGTTCCTACTCATTTGTCTGTCTATGCTTTATGAATCAACTTTAACAATAAGATTCACTCGGACCTCTGCCTTAGTAAAGCACCCTTGGAAGGTTTTCATAAACCAATTGCCTTAAATGACTAAGTTGGTAGAAGTAATAAACGAGATAGCGGTGTCAGTGTTTCTCATAGTCAAGGAAATCTGAAGAATGTAACTCAGATCAAATTTTTAGAACCAACTTGTAAGGGGAAAAATTTGCTTCCCTTCAACTGTTGATTCAGCCACATAATTCACACTGAATAGGATGTCTAATCACTAAATAAATTGGTCTAATTAGTTTCTGGGGCACCTACTATATCTGTATGATCATATTTTTCTGAATGACCTGGTGCTTTACAAAAAATTGCAACACACATACAATGTAATTTACTACTGAGAGGAAATCAGTAGTATTTGGACTGTTCACAGTATGACAGTCCCTTGAAAGTTAGTCAGATGTGATGTTTTATCCTACACAATGAAGACCGCTTTCTCCATAATTGATCCTGAGATCACACAACTCCAGAGTACTCTTTCAGTATCCCCTTCAGTATCCTTTCTGGATGCAAAATGCTAGAATGGAATTTTATAGCCAATAATTTTATGCTAACTTGTTATTTTGCTAAAATACCATAGCCATGTTTGTTTCCGTGTTTAATGGTGGTGGCATGGATATGGATATCAACAGTAGCTGAAATAATTAAATTATCCGCATTGTTATATTTTGGTACAGAAATTCAGTGTACAAGTGATTTAGTATGCAAGTTGATAAGAGTGTACAGGAATGAAGATAAAGATATCTGTTGGATCCATTGGATCCTGCAAGAAGCTACAGCCCCAGAGAAGACACAAATACACAATTTAAGATACATTGAAGAAAAGAAGCAAACATGAAATAATGAATGAGAGGAGGGTACCACTTGGCTTCTGCAAACCATTGCTATTGCTCTGGCAACCTTCATAATGGTCTAACCTTCAAGTTCGATCTTGCAGAAGGAAGATTGTAAGTTCTTGATTAGAAAGATGAGTAAAATTTCCTATAATTGTGTTTGTAAGTGCCAGATATTAAGAGTACAATTGACAATATAGCAATACATAGATTACTGACTCTGTGAATATTTCTGAGTCAAATACAGATGATTGTTACAAAGGAGACTAGTATATTTATCCATAGCAAAGGTATTCTTGTGCTCCTTTATATGTAGTGCACCCAGTGGTGGGTTTCAAAATTTTTTATTACCAGTTCTGTGGGTGTGGCTTGGTGGGTGTAGCTTGGTGGGCGTGGCTTGGTGGGCATGGCAGGGGAAGGATACTGTAAAATCTCCATTCCCTCCCCAATCCAAGGGAAAGTTACTGCAAAATCCCCATTTCCTCCCGATCAGCTGGGACTTGGGAGGCAGAGAATAGATGGGGGCAGGGCCAGTCAGAATTTTTACTACCGGTTCTCCGAACTATTTCCACTACCGGTTCTCCAGAACTGGTCAGAACCTGCTGAAACCCACCTCTGAGTGCACCTATTCAAACTGAAGATGAATGTGAAATATGCAGAAAGTGCAGGGTTAACTAGGAATTGTGCATGGAGATAAATTTGCCAATTGCAGCTACAAAATGGAGTGGATGAAAAGATTGTTGAGGTTTTCCCAGATCACATCTCATGTTTAATTATTATGGAATGTAATCCTAGCCATATTTCTCATTCAAAAGTCAGCTGATATAAATTTGGCCTATTCACCAATCACTGTACATAGAATTGCAGCTTTTGGCCTGTCTTTGCCATACAGTTGGGCTGAAATAAACTCCTAGATTTCCCCTTATTTGGAAGTGAATTCCTGTTTAAATATCACTCATTGTTTTATATAGATAATATGGTTCTTGATCAATTACAATAAAAATATACCATTGCTTTTTAAAGACTGCAATATACAAGTTACAACAGCACTGATAAAAGTGACTTACGACTTGGTCCTCACACTTACAATTGTTGCAGCATTCCTACATTTGATAAATCACCTTATCAAAATGCAGGCCTTTGGCAACTAACATGTATTACAATGTCTGCAATGTCCCATGGTCATGTGATTGCCATGTCAACTAGCTTCCAACAAGCAAAGTCACTGGAAGAAGCAGGATTTGCTTACTGATCACATGATTCATTTAACAATTGCAATGATTCATTTAACAACCATGGCAATAAGATCATAAAAGCAGGGAAGACTCACTTAAGAACTGCAATGGAAATTCTGGTCCTAACTGTAGGTGTAAGTTAAGTACTGAATGATTTTATGAGTGTAACTCATATGTAGAATTGATGAGGTTGACATATTGTGGTCAACACTGCCATCGTGGGGCGAGTCTGCATCAACACACCGTTATATTTTTCTTCATTTCATACAGTAGAGAATACAAAAATAATCTGACAGACAACCTTTTAATCCCATAAACATTATTGCAAGTTTAAAAAATATTTTTGATATTTTATTATAATCTCATAACTTGGTCTCTGAATTATAATAACAGATCAGACAGAGTACTAATAGTACATTGCAAGCTTAAATATTTGTGGGCTCTTAAGAATGAGATTCCGTACTCAGCTGTAAAATAAGACTATTAGGATTTTAAAAATGCCACTTAATATGTCTAAATATGTTTGGGCTGTTAAGCTAAATGGTATATATTGTCTGTTCTTCCTTAAGACTCTCTTGGAAGAGAGTTTGTTGGATAAATGGGGCAAGGCAGGGAGGAAGCAGAGTGAAACAAAAGTAAATTGGAGATTAAATGGTCCAGGCCCAAAATGGCCATGCAGGATGATGCTGGGTCGCTTATCCAAAGATACAGAGATGCTGAAGCTCCTGGTTCCAGGATAGCATGAACGGGGCTTTCCTTTAGCAAGCTGAATAGATTTGTGTGGACTTGGCAGCTGGGCCAGGCTTGACTAACACTGCTGAGTTACAGCAGAGAAACAAGCTCCAAAGCTACAAGGAACATTGATTTCTTGTAACTGGCTGTCCTGGTTGCTTGAACCTTCCCTTGACAGGAACAGCAAATTTTCACAGACTGGACCCTGGTTGCTATCTTGCTTTAGGCTCTGTATTGGTTTGGCTGTTCTTCTATTTTGAGTTGGGTGTAACTCATTTTGGCTTCAAAGTCAGGCTGTTCAATGATACTGTTCTGTCCCCTTCCTCACACAGGCAAACGTAATACCAAGCACACCTGTCAATATTTTATTAGGTAAATGGATTAGAATTCCTGGCAGACCAAGGTTTTGGCAGCAAACTGCCGAATGCCTGCCAAGACCGTTTTCACTCCCATAAAGCAGAAGAGGACTTATCTTCAGTCCGTTCCAGGAGCAACAAATTTTCCATGAGACAAGAGTTTAGTTAATGTTCAGTCCAAAATATATCCAAGCCGAATTTCAGAGATCACAATGTGACTTTCAGGGTTTAACTTTGTCCGTCACAAAGCCTGAAGAGCAACCCCACCCACTTTTATTCCTGGTGGGACGTGGCTCTGTGACTCAGCTCAATCTCTGGCCCTCCCACACCTCTTCCGTTGCTGCGCACGCTTCTCCCTCCGACGCTGCCTGGGATCAAGCCAGGATTCATCATCCTCGCTCCCTATCAATTGGTGCTCCGATATGCCTTCCTCCTGGCACATCCCAGGCTGTTCCTCCTGGCCTTCGGATGGAACCTGAGGCATTGCCAGAAAGGAGGGTCCTGGAGAGGGAGGCCTTGTCAGTTCCTCCCCATCACCTTCTGAGTCCTCCTCCTCTGTTAGGACAGGCTCAGGAGTCGGGGTCACAACAGATACTTTTATTACTCCCAATCCCTAACCCGGACAAAATGGAACAAACCATTGTTAATAAAATATTCAGCATATTTCAGTCTGTCCCATGTCCCCAATGGGGGATCAAAATGTCAACTTGGCAACCACGATAGCACAATGAAAGCTCCACCATTTTTAAAGCATGCAATGATGTTTGTAAGGCAAATTTATTTATTCAGTCAGTCAGTCATTCAAATTTGTTTTATCTGCCCAACTCTGACTGACCCTTTAAAACTTAAAAAAAGGGGTGGGGGGTCATTTCTAGTGTTTCCACATCCCCACCCCCATATGTCCCTGGTCCCAAGTACCAATTTGCACATAGGTTGCTATTAAAGTGAGAAGGAAAATACAAGGTTGTAAGTCCTCGACTTACAACCACAATCGAACCCAAAATTTCTGTTGCTAAGTGAGACATTTGTTGTGAGTTTTGCCCTTCTTGCCACAGTTGCTAAGTGAATCCCTGCAGTTAAGTTAGTAACATGGTTGTTAAGTGAATCTGGTTTCCCCAGATTCATTTGCTTGTCAGAAAGTCACCAAAGGTGATCACACAACTCCAGGACACTGCGAACATCATAAATATGAGTCAGTTGCCAAGCGTCTGAATTTTGATCATGTGAGTGTGGGGATGCTATAACCATCATGTGAAAAATTGTCATAAATCACTTTTTTTCAATGCGGTTCTAACTTCAAATGGTCACTAAACAAACTGTTGTAAATCGAGGACTACCTGTAGTCCCTATCTGGAATGAAAGACTGGAGGCATGAAAAGAAATTGTCTTAATTAAATAAAGACAAACTGTTTAGTTTATCTTAACTTATCAGCAAAACTGCAAAGACAGAAAAGGGTAAATAAAAGATGGCAATAACAACTTAAATCACAGGAATCAAGGGGACCCCATTGCTTCATGAAGCAGCTTCTAAGGATGCTTGATTTAAAGCTGTGGGAGCAAAATACTCCTTTAAAGCTTTGCACATTTCCATTTTGAGACTCAGATTCACAAGAGAGTTTCTCAGCAGGAAAGTTGAAATTAAAATAATTTTTCCCATTATTTTTTTTCTTTTAATCTTGTGGTCTGAGAGTTGCTGTTTAGGGAGATCCTTTCATTCACTAACAACCAACCAGCCCCGATTATTGTTGATATTGGCCTAAGAGACACAAAATAATGTCCTGAAATAGCCAGGAAATGTTCAAGAGAAACAGAAGTAAATTACTTTTGGTTAGCAGCTTTAAATGTGCCATATTTATTTACTTTAAAATATCTCTGCTGTTTTTCAAAACAAGTTTTCACAGTGCAGATTACAGAACTTAAATGATACCATGTGATGACAAGAGGCTTCTTGTTCAGGCATTTCCAGCTTACCTTTATCTGATGGATATCGTTTTGGCAGGATTCTCTGATTATTAAAAATAGCTTCTTATAATCACATGCTTTTGTCCTCCTTACCTTCTGTTAGCCTCTTCTTTGACTTGCCTTTCTTTCAAGCTGCAAAGCCTTCTCCAGTGACTTTGGCCTGCACATTATGTGTAAAAAAACAAGCTTCAGCTTCAGTGTTAATAGTTTCAGTGAGTAATCTGATTTTACTTTATCTATTATTGGATGATTGATTTCTCTTGCAATTCAAGATGCAATCAGAAAATCACTCCAAACTCCAGAGGTTAAGGGCATTGCCTTGTGGCTGTTTTTGTTAACCCAGGAACCTAGCAAACTTTTAATTCTGTAATTATAATTACTGCAAGTGTGGCACACAAAAAAATGGCTTTTTTCTTTTAGGAAAAAAATAATTGTATAAAATCAGTGATTACCTATTGGTGAACTAGGAATATGGTCAATGTATCATCAATGAGGGATCTCTTGCAGGATAAGATTGGCTCAGGGATTCCTTCTCAGAAAGTTATGAATGTGCTGCAGTATGCTTCAGAATCAGTCCAAGAGCAAATATCTTACCCTTAAAACAACAGTTGCTTATGGGAACTGATGTAGGAATGTGGGAACTTGTCCAACTAGGAAAAGTGTAAAGATTTATAGGATGTAAACCAATATGTTTTTGGTTTGATTTGGTTTTTTCTGATACAATGTGGCTACAATGCACACATTGTTCAATATAAGGAAAGGTTGGGTAATATGACGAACATTGCATAATTCAAGAGTACCCTTTTTCCTTAATAATAATGAACTCTGCTAAAGTTGCACAAACAGGCATTGCAAAACTGATATGGGCATATTTATCCTTACTCAGAAAATGTAAGCACTTCCTGATTACTCTGTTGATGCAATATATACAGTATATAAGAGGCAAGACACCACACACCTCTTTGTCAGAGAGAGAGCTGGCAAGGCAAGATGAAGCTTTGGGCTGGTTTCCACCTGATCTTCCTGGTTGCTAGTTCTGTGGAGGGAGAAGTCTCAAATCATGGCACTGGAGGACTCCAAGACACTGAAGCCACTTGTTGTGCACGTGAGTTCCAGCTGTCTGATGTTTCAGCTTGGTCTTAGCCTCTGTGGGGTCCCTAAGTGCAGGAGCAGAATGTTAGTACTTAGTTTCCCAGGAAAGCCAATTCATTAAAAAAAGGAATACTTGCCTCACATTCTTTCTACTGTCCATAACTACTGTCCATAACTACTGTCCATAACTACACGAGGACCCAGATTGTTGGAGGCAATATGCTTATCCTGTAAACTGCTTAGATAGTTCTGTAAAGCACTATAAAGTGGTATATAAGTCTAAGTGCTATTGCTATCTAGGCACTGCTGACTAGCAGTTTTGCAGGTAAAGAGATGGCTCAAGTGAGGGATGAATTCTCGCTGCAGGGAAGTTCTGTTTTAAGATTGAGCATTTCCTGAGGGTGTTGGTGGCATTTAAAGGTTGGAGAAAGTTGATGAGTTGCGATGCTCTTTAAGGGAAAGGGGCTCCTTTCAAAGCAGCAGCAACTTCAGAATAGTTTTTAATGATCAATAAGTTACTTTTTAATAAATAAAAACAGAATTGATCCTGAGCTACTGGATAATTTTCAGATGACATTTTGTATATGTGGAACATGTATTAGCTGGGGTTTTGATATCTGTAAAACATGATTAAGATCTTTGCCTAAGTATTTGCCTAACCATGTATAGGTAAACATGAGAACAAGAAAGTTTAATCCTACATCTTCTAGATACACACAGGGCCTCCTAATCAGTGGTGGGTTGCTCCCGGTTCGCACCGGTTCACAAGAACCGGTAGTAAAATTTTTTAGTAGTTCGGAGAATAATAACATTGGCTGGCCACGCCCCCGAACCGGTCCCCAGCCCGGTCACCGCTCACTTACCCCGCCCACCTCATCAGAGGCTTTTTTTTTACTTTTAAAAGCATTTTTCAGCTGAAGAGTTTGTAGAAAAAATGCTTTTAAAAGTTAAAAAAAAAAGCCTCTGATGATTGTGTGGCTCAGCTGGGATCTCAGAAGCTTCTAAAAGCATTTTTTCCTGCAACCTCTTAAGGTTGTAGAAAAAATGCTTTTAAAAGTTTTTTAAAAAATGTTGGCCATGCCCACCCAGTCACATTACCCCCCCCCACAAGCCATGCCCACAAAATAAGCCACGCCCACAGAACCGGTAGTAAAAAAATTTAGAATTTTTTTAGAATTTCCTAATGAACTCTGCTTTACATGAAAGCCCCTGGTTTCACATTGTATAAAGGGCGAAGATGAGAGCTGGTTTAGTGTAGCAGTAAAATATTCAGACTAGAAATTGGGGGACCATGAGTTCTAGTTCTGCTTCAGGCACAAAGTCATCTTCTTCAGGCACAAAGTGACCTTGGAACAGTCACTCTCTCTCAGCTCTAAGAAGAAGGTACGGGCAACTTCTGAGAAAGATTGCCAAGAAAGCTGCAGAAATTTGCCCAGCAGTTGCCAGGAGTCCAGACTCATTTAAAAGTGAAAGAAAGAGAAGAGAAGAGAAGAGAAGAGAAGAGGGAAGGAAGGAAGGAAGGAAGGAAGGAAGGAAGGAAGGAAGGAAGGAAGGAAGGAAGGAAGGAAGGAAGGAAGGGGGAGATATATATATATATATATTTGAAAAAGGAAGGGGAAAGGGAGAGTCAAAACAAACCAATACTTTTAAGAAGTATGCACTGTTGCGTTAGAGAAAAGTCCTTGGGCAATAGCTCCCTAATTTCATTCTCGCATTCTCCAACAGCCCAGGAACAGAAATAACATTTATGTGTGGAAAATAGAAGTGGAAGGAATTTTGTGTCTCTTTTATACCTTAATCACCTTGCGTTCTTCTCCACCCTGATTTTTTAGCACCTCACTCGTGCTATTTTGGTTTAATGTGAACCTATTGCTCCATAAGGAAACCACACTGCTTCTTTTCTGTTTTTCATGTTGTGTCCTTTTTATGCTCTTTCTCCTATGCCAGAGTTGAAGGGCTTAACACAATGCGGAAAGGACAAGATTCTTCTCCAAGGTCAGGCTGGGATACCTGGAATTCCAGGTGTGCCAGGAACAAATGGATCACCAGGGCTAAAGGGTGACCCAGGTCCTCAGGGGCCCCCAGGTGAGTAAATGCCCATTGAAGATGTCATTCCAGGTATTCGCAACAGCTTATTTGCTGTCTTTCCTTGCAACAGCGGGAAGCAAACTTTGCATTAATAAAGCTGCTTGCCTAGAAAAGAAGTTGCTGGCAGAGAGACAGAAGCAATTCTCTTTCTCCCAAATGCTAGATAGGAAATGAAAATTGCATGTTCTTTAGTCAGTAAGAGGATCCTTAAGATCAATGTCTTAGCAAAGTAGTCAGGAGATGCTTCTTTGGTTCTCTGGTATTGTGGGAACTTTTTAAAGACAGGAGGATTAGGTCGTTTTGTCCTATGAGATGTTCTTATGCCCATGAGCCTTCTTCCTTTCAGGAGAATCAGCAATGCCACTAAGGATTTGTTGGTCACTACCCTACAAATCCAACATAATTTCATACAAATCAAGACTCTCAACAGCCCTGAGCTAAAATTCAAAGCCATCATCTCAAATCCAAACATCTTTCCTCTTTGATTGTTTGCTCTCTGGAAGCTGTAATATTCTCATCAGTGCAATGTCTGGCTTCAAAAGTCTTTTGAAGATGTATTTTGATGCTCCTGAGCTGGTCTTTTTCCTCCTCTTCTTCAGGTGAAAGAGGATCTGCTGGGATAACTGGAAAAGCTGGACCAAAAGGAGACAAAGGAGACAAAGGTAATACTGATTGAGATCAGAAGTTGTGCAAGAGCTGGATTAAAGGGGAAGCATCGGCCCACTTGTATGTCACCAATCACACTTTATTTCATGGTGTCCTTGGTTGAATGGTTTGTAATACAGAACCAAATGTTGATAGCAGTCCATCACTATGAAGAATGGACAATACACTGGCATCTAAGAGATTATTCTTATTTATAGGCCTTATGGACCTTTCTGTTTACCCACTGCACAAGAAATTGCTTTTTTTTTTCTTACAGGAGATGCCTGCAGTTTAGACAATTGTCAACCGAAAGGTATGTCTCTTCTTCCTCTTTCTCAATAGCTTCCTAGTTGGGTTGCTTCAGTCTTTCACCTAGATGGCTAGCTGGATGATTCTGGGCCAAGAAACCTGGAAGCATCAAATGCAGAAAGCTTGTTTTGCTAGTGTCAGCCTTGCCAGACTATTATATCTACGCTAAGATGCCTATAAATCTGCCAATCAACTTCCTTTGACCGAGCACATTCCTATCTGTGCCAACTACAATCTCCATCATTTGCAGCAGCCTATCTATCTTAATGGATACAATGTACAGTATTATCAGTCATTTAACGGACTGAACTCAAGTTAGAAAAGCATATTTCTTTTAGCTCCACCCTATTACACTTCTAAGCAGGATTCATAGTCTCAATACTCTCACCAAGTTGTTATTTCCAGAAGCGTTGGCAGCCAATCAAGTATAAAAGCAGTACAAGTTATTAATGTAAGCAGGTGGAATTAATATAAGCAGGTGATAAGAGCTGATGACTTTTCTTCCTATCTGATTATTTCCTACCAAAATATCTGCAATTAAAATTACAAGAACTTACTAAGCCATCTGATAAGCTATATTTTTATGTAACTTTACAGAAAGTCAGTAAATATGTAAAGCTGTTGAGTCCTGAGACAGTGCAATACTTTACATTCAACATGGAAATATGTAATTTCTTAATCTTAGAATGAAAGGCTTCTCATGGTCTGGGAAAAAATAAAAACTTGTTATTGAATATACACTATATAAAAGGTAGTAAGATATAAGAGGAAATTCAGAAGATACTGTTGAAAATCCTTCAGAAGAAATTACATCATCATATATAAAGAGAAATGGCAATTGAACTGACACGATTCAGAATGCATGGGGGAACATGAGATAATATATTTAACAACAGGAAGATGGAAACATCAGAAAAATATTTTAAAAAGTTCTACTAAAAGGACACTATAGTACTTCAAAGCTTTTGTTAGGTGACAGCTGTGGCCATGAGCATCTTTGCATAGGTATATCTTGTAAGCCAGTTGTGTCATTTTCTTGACCTGGAGTCCCTGCAGGTGACCACTTATGCCCTGATCACTTTATGATTGAATTAATTTAAAGAATTCTACATAGGGCTATCCTTGAAGACTACCTCGAAACTACAATTGTTTCAAAATAGAATGAAACAAGCAGTAATGACCCTGTCTCATTGCGCCTATGTGATCACAGCGATGAGAGTGGCATTGGCTGCTAGCTGGCTTCAAAATGCTGGTTGTTCCCTTTCAAACCTTGTATGGCTTAGGACCTGGTTACTTGAGGGACAGCTTTTCTTCCATTGTGTCGGCTCACCTCCTAGTTTCTGGCAGAATGGATCCCTCCTGTTATATAGCAATAGCAATAGCACTTAGACTTATGTATTGCTTCACAGTGCTTTACAGCCCACTCTAAGCAGTTTACAGAGTCAGCCTATTGCCCCCAACAATCTGGCTCCTCATTTTACCCACCTCGGAAGGATGGAAGGCTGAGTCAACCTTGAGCCTGGTGAGAGTCAAACTGCTAAATTGCAGGCATCTGGCAGTCAGTAGAAGTAGCCTGCAGTACTGCACTCTAACCATTGTGCCACCGTGGCTCAATATATTGTCCTCACACAGGATCTAGGAAGCATGACTTCTCTGTGACCATAACCTTCAGTGGACAAAAATGCCAAATGCCAAATCCAATCTAAACATCTGGCTGGCTGGGCAACAAAATCATAATAATAACACTTATATAAAATTACTTTAAAAGTGATGAAAGACCTGGTAAGAACTTGGTAAACATTTTGAAGTGAAAATAATATTTTTAAAACATTGCAGCCCTGAAAGAAGGGAATAATGGCTTTCTAGAAAATATGTCCTCAAGTTTTAAATTTTACTTGGATGCATATGCTTACTGGATGAAGAGAAAGAAAGGACTTTGTAGTAGCCAAATTAAGAATCAGTTTTGGACTAGTACAAACTCATTAACCACAGGCTGAGGATCATTATGATACTTGTTGTTTGCATGTATCAACATTCCCCAATGAGACTCAAACTCCCATCAGCAAGCCCAACAGTTCCAAAGATATCTACTATGATTCTCTTTTCCCCCTGGAATTATCATGCTTTCTTTATGCAATCCCTTTTTACAAGGGATCTCCATGAATTCATTGTGCTACAAGCATTCATATTACTACAACTGAGACTATAGTGATTTCACACTTGGGAGTTCTCCACAAAAGTCGACATCAGTCCCAGATATCTATTTGCCTGAACTGATCCACTCATTTCTTCTCCCTATTCTTCCTCTAGAGACAGAAGCCAGAAACTGCAAAGACCTCCTGGAACGTGGGGAGACCCTGAGTGGCTGGTATACAATCTACCCAACCAAGGGGAACCCGATGCTGGTTTTCTGTGACATGGAGACAGATGGAGGAGGCTGGTTGGTAAGTGGAAGCCCAAGAAGGAGGATGAAGAGATACCTGAATGCATCAGAAGAGCAAAAAATCCCATGTTACTATAATTAATCTTTTAAACAAGCAGGCTCCATGCTATCATTTTTGTTATAAAATAATAAAAGCTCTTCAGTCTTCTCTCATCTGAAGAGATGAGTGATGGACAAGTAGCAGCCCCAGAGCTGAATGAGACTCCCAAGTCCCCTCTTGGGATTTGAGCCAGGAGAGTAGAGAACTGAAGGCACAAAGATGGTCTCAAGGAGTTGCTCCCCAGTTATGACTTAGAAGGAGAGTCATAGTTCTATTCAAGGTCTTTTGCAAAACAGACTGAAAGGCAGTCCCCCACTTCAGAAATGGCTTAAGATTAGGACAGCAGCTTCTCCATCAAACAGGTGCAGAGGTATCGCTCCCTTTTTCTCCGCAGCAATTCCAGAGGCGGCAGGATGGGTCTGTGGATTTCTACCGTGACTGGGAATCATACAAGAAAGGATTTGGGAGGCAAGGATCAGAATTCTGGCTGGGCAATGATAAGATCCATCTTCTCACCAGCTCTGGTAAGACCAAAATCTCCTCTTCTACCTGATGCTCACTTTGATACTTTAAATCAGTTTACACAGACAATACTTACCTATATCAGAATTAATTTTCCCACCCCACTCCAGGGGAAGGATACTGCAAAATCTCCATTCCCTCCCCTCCTGGGGGAAGGATATTGCAAAATTTCCACTCCCACCCCACTCTGGGGCCAGCCAGAGATGGTATTTGTCAATTCTCTGAACTACTCAAAATTTCCACTACCAGTTCTCCAGAACTTGTTAGAACCTGCTGGATTTCACCCCTGATCTGTACCCCTCCTCACTGCCTTAACCAATAGTATGTACATAGAAAATTATTAAAAGATTGACTTCATAATGGTAAAGGAAAAAATGGCAGTTCAGAGGATCACCTTCTGATTGTGCAAAAAGACTGAAAAAACTCAAGTGAAACTGGAGTTTAATTTATCTGGGACACCCTTTGTGCTCCTGTGATTCTGTTCCTCTATGTTGGCTACTTATCATTGCTTTTGGATGGACATGGATCATAATTCCACCATGATCATGTCCATATGGAATGGAAGTCTATACAGTGATTAGCAGGCTTCCCTTCAAGGACTTCTGCACCTCGAGTAGTTCTCTAATAGTATCTATCTTTTGGTGTTCAGGAACACAGCAGTTGAGGATTGATCTTGAAGATTTCAATGGTGTCAAAACCTTTGCAACATATTCCAGTTTCAGAATCACAAATGAAAGTGAAAATTACAAATTAATATTGGGTTCCTATTTGGATGGCAACATGGGTGAGTAATACAGAAAATGCCTCTGCATTCTAGTACTTTCTTACAGTGAATAGAACAAATATAAATAGTTGCTTCAAATAGTGAGATGGGCAGAAAATAAATTGAATCATAGAAAAACTGGAGAAGATAACAAAATACAAAGACCTGCAAGCAGAAATGGAATATCTGTGGCAAAAGAAAGCAAAGGTAGTACCAATAATAATAAGTGCTTATGCTCATGTACCACCACTTGAACACTATTGGCATTGACAAAATAACCACCAGTCAATTGTAAAGGCATGTTTACTTGAAACAGCTTGCATGTTGCAACAATATTGTAACACAATCAAACATCAATATCTGCCTATAATAGGTCCTTGGGAAGGACTCAATAGGTGGATAAAAATGCCAAATCCAATCTAAACATCTGACTGCATAATAATATCACATGACCTGATGCAGAATGCAGAAACAGTTTAAGCCAGGGGGCTGTCTAATTCCTTTCTAACTTATCAGAGGAACAATATGGGGGTGTGAATATGAAGAGGCAGCCGTTCAACTGGTCCAGGGAGCAAAATGCAATCCCAGACTCAGGGAACCTATCCATTCTTTGGCTTAATGTGTTAATGGGGTTCAGACATTCTGGTTTATCAGAAAGATTTACATCGTGACCTGTTAGATCAGTGGTTCTCAACCTGTAGGTTGCGACCCCTTTGGGGGTCGAACAACCCTTTTACAGGGGTCGCCTAAGACCATTGGAAAACACATATTTTCAATGGTCTTAGGAATAATTTTATGGATGGGGGTCACCACAACATAAAGAACTGTATTAAAGGGTCGCGGCATTAGGAAGGTTAAGGACCACTGTGTTAGATGGACCTCATAGTGATGCATTGAACAAGTCAAGTTAAGTAAGCCATGGCTTCAAAAAAACAACTAAAATCATTGAAAAACACATTGTATCTTCTTGACTGGGCTAGTGATGCCAATGTTCAAATCTAGGAAATTGTGCAAATAAACCAGATGCTCTAGCATTTATATTTGATCCCTTTCTAATTCTTCGTGGTGGTGTAGAAACATTTTTCATTGGTGAAAAACCCTGCAGGTTTGTGTTCCTGGAAGACATGAACTTAGTGCTTCCCTGTGATTTCCTCCTTTTAGGTGATTCTCTCTCTGCACACAATGAATATGCATTCTCTACCAAAGACAGAGACAATGATATCTATGATGGAAATTGTGCCGTAAGTTTCAAAGGAGCCTGGTGGTACACTAAATGCCACTCTTCCAACCTGAATGGCCTGTATCACAAAGGCGAACATACCTCTTATGCTGATGGCATCAACTGGCATGCTGGGAAGGGGCATAATTATTCTTACAAGTATGCGGATATGAAAATTAGACCACAATAAATGAAACCACAATTTCACAGATTCATCAACATGACCCAAAATTCTTCTTCTTCTCTATTTTCTCCTGGGGAAAGAAAAATTAAATGCAGCAAATCTTTAAAACTGCTCCTTTGTGTGACTGTTCTCTCTTGTAGAAATCCCTTTTTTATTTAGATGGGGATGGGGTTCAAACTCTTTTCCTTCTTCATTTTCCTTTTTTTTTCCCTGAGGAGAGAGTGTTCCTCAATGTGCTACAAAGCTGATGTTTATTGATCTATAATCCATAAGTAGGTAAAGTAGCACAATAGTTTCTACTCATTTGTGGGTCTCTGCTTTATGAATCAACTTCAGTAATAGGATTCACTTGGACCTCTGTCTTGGGTAAAGCATCCTTGGAAGGTTTTTATAAATGAACTGCCTTAAAATGACTAAGTTGGCAGAAGCAATATCAGAGATAACAATGTCAGTGTTTTTTATGCTCAAGGAAATCTGACAAAGAATGTAACTCAGATCAAACCTGAGAATCTACTTGTAAAGAGAAAAATTATCTTTGCTTCCTTCCAGCTGCTGATTCAGTCACATCATTCACACTTAATAGGAAGTCTAACTCACTAAATAAATTGGTCTGACTTGTTTCTGTAGCATTTTACTTTATCTGTATGATTATTACATGCTTTTCTGAAGGATCTGGTGTTTTACAAAAGTTGAAGCCTTTGGGAAAGTGTTTTCAACACATACAATGCAGTTTAATGCTGAGAGGAAATGCCTCCAGAAGGGAAAAAAGCTTGTCTCTCATCTCTAATTTGGCTGGCAATGAAGTATTTTAATCTCCAAAGTATAACTACAAGCCCTTGAAGGTTATTCAGAAGTGATGGTTCATCCTAGACCAGAGTTCCCCAACCTTTCTGGGTTGGTAGAGTGGGGGAGGGGGAAAGAGGGGATGATTTTGTGGGAGGGGCAAGTGCGTGTGCATGTGCGTACATGCACAAGTGCCCACAACTTTCACACGAAGCTGGTGCAAGTGGGGCCATGAGGGCCCACAATGTGGCCTGCGTGAGTGGGGCAGCAAGCGCCTGCAATGACACTCGGTTGAGTAAGGCTGTGCCCATGCGCAGATACACACATACATGGCCCGGTGGCAATTTAGCCCACAGCCCAGTAGTCGGCTGTGTCCCACAGGTTGGGGACCCCTATCATAGACAATGAAGATCCCTCTCTCCATAACTGATCCTGAGATCACACAGCTCCAGAGTGCTCTTTCCATATCCTTTACTTACTTCACTTTACTTTTATTTGATTTATATACTGCCCTACTCCCGAAGGACTCAGGGCGGTGAACAGCCAACAATAATATATACATATATATTGTAACATATATACAAAATTTAAAAAGCAGAAATAAAATTGAATTAAATAGTTTGGCACAGACAGATTAAAACCCCAATCAATTTAAAACAAATTTAAACTTTGAGTATTAAAAATATTAAAAAATATTAAAATATTAAAATTGTTTAAAAAGAGGGAGAAAGTTAGGCCAGGCCCACCTGTTGAAATAAAAAGGTCTTTAGAGCGTGGCGGAAGGTGCGCAGATCCGGGATCCTCCGTATTGTTGTGGCCCCGCCCTCTGAGCCTGTCCCATCGGAGGAAGAAAGCTCCGAGCATGAGGAAGAGGAGTCAGCCAGGCCTCCCTCTCCAGGCCCCTCCCCTCCGGCATTGTCTCAAGTGCCGGCCGAGGGAGAAGAGACAGCTGATTCAAATCAGAGTGATGAGGAAACATCATTCCTGGACGCACGCCTCCGAAGGCGTGATAAACGTTTGCAGCAGCTTAGGAGGCGTGCTAGGGATTAGAACTGAGTCACTGGACCACACCCCAGAGACTATATAATAGAGGGTAGTGGTCAAAGGATCCTTGTGACGAACAAAGCAAACCTTGGATAGTCACTAAAGCCTCGTCCGGAGCTGCTGAGAGAAAGATTTAAAGTGTCGGACATTTGGACTCTTGAGTATTTATCTTTCTGTTTTACTTTGAAAATAAAGTCACTTGGCAGACGGTGTGTCTATCGCTGCCAAGTGGGAGATAAGAACTGGGTGCGTTCCAAAGTGTTTCCTTAACCCTCGACTGGCTGTGTGTGTGTGTGTGGGTACGGGGACAGATCACGTATCTCCGGGGGGAGCTTGTTCCAGATAGTAGGTGCCCCCACAGAGAAGGCTCTCCCCCTGGGGGTCACCAGTCGACATTGTTTGGCTGACAGCACCCGGAGGAGCCCCTCTCTATGAGAGCGTACCGGCCGGTGGGAAGCTATTGGTGGTAGTAGGCAGTCCCACAAGTACCCAGGTCCTGAGCCATGGAGTGCTTTAAAGGTGGTAACCAAAACCTTGAAGCGCACCTGGAAGACCACCGGGAGCCAGTGCAGCTCACGCAGGAGGGGTGTTACATGGGAGCGCCATGTCGCTCCCATTACCACCCGCACGGCCACACTCTGCGCCAGTTGGAGCCTCCGGGTGCTCCTCAAGGGGAGCCCCATGTAGAGAGTGTTACAATAGTCCAGGCGGGAGGTGACGAGGGCATGAGTGACTGTGCGTAAGGAGTCCCGATCCAGAAAGGGACGCAACTGGCGAATCAGGCGAACCTGATGAAAAATCCTCCCAGTAACGGCCGTCAAGTGCTCTCCTAAAGACAGCCGTGAATCCAGGAGGACGCCCAAGTTGCGCGCCCTCTCCGTGTGGGCCAATGATTCACCCCCAATAATCGGTGATGGCACCAACTGACTATATCGGGACGTCGGAAACCACAGCCACTCAGTCTTGGATGGGTTGAGCCTGAGCCTATTCCTCCCCATCCAGATCCGCATGGCCTCCAGGCACTGGGACATCACTTCAAGGGCATCGTTGTGTGAACTTCCACAAAATTATTTCTGGATGCAAAATTCTAGGATGGAGTTTCATAGCCAGTTCTTATGAATTTATACTAACTTTTTATTTTGCTAAATAATAATTAAATTAGCTGCATTGTTATGTTTTGGCACAGAAATTCAGTGTGCAACTGATTTTGTTTGCAACTTAATAAGAATCTACAGCCCCAGAAAAATAATATGATTACCTGTGTCTGTCTGAGCACATATAATTGTTACATAGGACACTAATATATTTGTTTATAGCAAATGTGTTCCTGTGAATAGTGCACTATTCAAAGTAAGTTAAAATGTCTCCTATGAGGATTAATATGAACTGTGTAGGATGTGTGGAAGTAGCTAGGAATTGTGCATGGATAATTTGCAATTGGGCCATAATAGGGATGAATTATTTTAGCTCTGTCATTTTGTAGATCTAAATCCCACATTTATTTATTTATTTATTTATTTATTTATTGCGATTTATATGCCGCCTTTCTCCCTAGGGACTCAAGGCGGCTTATAAAATGACAACTTCAATACAAATCACAATACAATACCAAATTAAAATCAGTAACCCAATTAAAAAATGATTTAAAATTATACCAGTGTACCCCCAAACGGATCAGTTTAATTGGCGGAAGAGCCACGTCTTCAGCTCGCGACGGAAGGAAAGAAGGTCGGGGGCTGTCCTGAGCTCAGTGGGCAATCCATTCCAGAGGGTCGGGGCTCCCACAGAGAACGCCCTCCCCCTGGGGGTCGTCAGCCAACATTGTTTGGCCGACGGCACCCTGAGGAGGCCAACTCTGTGAGAGCGCACAGGACGATGGGAGAACGGCTGGAGATGGTCCTGCAAGTACCCCGGGCCTAAGCCATGAAGGGCTTTATAGGTGAGCACCAGCACCTTGAAATGTATCCGGAGTGCCACCAGTAGCCAGTGCAGCTCACGCAGGAGAGGTGTTACATGGGAGTATCTAGACGCCCCCGTAACTACCCGCGCGGCTGCATTTTGGACTAGCTGAAGCCTCCAGACACATCCCAAGGGCAGCCCCCTGTAGAGGGTGTTACAGTAGTCCAACCTAGAGGTAACAAGGGCGTGAGTGACCGTGACGAGGGCATCCCGGTCTAGGAACGGGCGCAACTGGCGCACAAGACGGACCTGTGCGAAGGCCCCCCTGGTTACGGCCGTCAGATGGTCATCTAAAGACATCCTTTACTTAAGGTTAATTAAGGTTTCCTCTAGACTGAGATAAATTATCAGAATTGCCTGGGTCAAAAACCATAATAAGCTAGATCAGAATCAATTTTCCTCCGTAGGGAAGAAATAAAGCTTTCCAAGACGGTAAAGTAAAACAGAGACTCACCCATCAAAGATTTGTTTCAGCCAAAACCTGACAAGGCAAAGTGAAAGTCAGCCAAACTCTAGCCAAACAATTCTAAAGATCTTAGACTGAGCAGTTTCTAGAGTAGAGACATTCTTATAAACACAGAGTTGTGCAACCATGTAACAACAGACTCGGAATCTTTGCTTTATACAATTTTATTGCTACAGGGATGTTATTATTGCCGGTAAAACTGATATACTTTAAGATTGTGTTAGCAACTTTTTGAGCTCTAATAGAAAGCTCACTCACTTCATTATTCCAATCAGTAAAGGTAACCAAGTTACTTTAAGCCCTTAACTTGATTCATTTGTTTTTTAAATTGATTTCCCATGTAATGGAGGAATTAAAGTGTATTCTAGATTAAACCAGGACCTTTATTTTTTAGTAATTGATTTCAAGAAATTTTCTGGAAGAATAAAACACTAAAGCATCTAGGCCCATTTAGGTTACAGATAAGGTGCCTACTTAACAAGATGATTTCAATCTTCTTTAGAAGAAGATGGATATAGGACAGTGGACAAGCATTATGGGGTAAAATCTTTATTTATTTATTTATTTATTTATTTATTTATTTATTTATTTATTTATTTAATTAATTAATTAATTTTTATACCGCCCTTCTCCCGAAGGACTCAGGGCGGTGAGCAGCCAGGGTTAAAATACATGCAGTATAAAAATTAAAATAATTTAAAAATAATTAAATCCAATTTGGCTTTCCAATTTTAAAACCCCTTACCCATAAAATTAATCAATTAAAATTTTAAGCCAGCCCAGCTCGCTGAAATAAGAAAGTCTTCAGAGCCCGGCAGAAAGTACGGAGGTCCGGGATCATTCGTATCCCTGGGGGTAGCTCATTCCAGAGGGCGGGTGCTCCCATAGAAAAGGCTCTCCCCCTGGGGGTCACCAGTCGACATTGCTTGACCGACGGCACCCTGAGGAGACCCTCTCTGTGGGAGCGTATTGGCCGGTGGGAGGTTATCGGTAGCAGAAGGTGGTCTCGTAGATATCCAGCCCCTAAGCCATGGAGTGCTTTAAAGGTGAGAACCAAAACCTTGAAGTGCACCCGGAAGACCACCAGAAGCCAGTGCAGCTCGCGCAGGAGAGGTGTTACATGGGAGCGCCATGTCGCCCCCATAATCACCCGCGCTGCTGCATTCTGGACCAGTTGGAGCCTCCGGGTGCTCCTCAAGGGGAGCCCCATGTAGAGAGCATTACAGTAGTACAGTAGTCCAGGCGGAATTTAGAAAGAACTGTAATTGTGTCATTTATGTAGAAATTGACTAAAGAACAAGGATATAGCCCTAACTCTTCTGAAGATGAAATGGTTAAATCATCATTACAGATGCCTCTAAACTGTGATGTAAATTTGGATTAACAGAAGGAAGCAACAAAAATTGATTTTTTTGCTCTTTGACTTTAATCAAGCAAGTAAATATATTTTGATTGTTAAGATTGGGGAAGTGAATTAAAGCAGCATCTTATCAGCTCATTTCAGTAGTATTATGACTAGATATACAATCACTGTATATTATGGAACAAAAAATTCAGACAATAAAATGAATAACATGTGTCACAGATTACAAACAGCAGAATCTGATCTTCATAAACAGAATTTGAAATGTAGAGCAATTCAGAAGAGAACAATTCTGTGGGCATATGGAACAGATGCTTAGAAATTTGCCTGACATTGTAGGCATGGAGGAAGCTGAGGTGGAGTATGTGATGAAACAGAAGAAGCTCTGGAGGAAGTAAGTCAAGCAACTCAGCAGTTTCTGTTTGATGGTGGACGTTGTGTATGTCTGTTTGTGTGTGCGCGTACATGTGCCTGAGTTTCAAAGTGGTTTGACTTGAAATTTTACCTTAGCAAAGCAGCTCTTTTTTTTTCCAAATAATTTTACTGCATTTTACAAAGCAGAAACATTAAAAACAACATAAATCAATGATTAAAAAATGATTAAGAGTAAAAAAAAAGAAAAAAAGAACAGGGACTGAAGTGTAATAAAAAAGTATTTTTTAAAAAAACAGAAATATATACAAAGAATGGCTTTCAACGTCTTCCAAAGTTATAGAGAATGCTTACTTTTGGCTTTAGTTTAAAACTATACTAAAATGTCAATTTTTCCCAAAAAAGAAAAGGGGAAATAAAAAAAATCATCAAATCCATATGACAAATTTTGATGTTTCTTCATCTCCTGCAAAAAAGTCCACAATTAGAAATGAATTTCTTCAGTGATTTTTCTCTCACTAGGGCCATTAACTTGGCCACTGTTGCCAGTTATGCCATTTTTATTACTACTAATACCTACTATTTGTGGACATTGTAGGAACTTTTCAATGCTGAGTGTATAAAGGTTGTGCATTTTTCATATATAACAATAAAGCACTATGTGATTTTTTCCCATTGCTTTATCCATAATGTTACGAACTATTCTCCATTGTCATTATAGGAATACCTGTACTGAACTGTTTTATGAGTGCATATAGAATTGATGAGGTTGATATCTTGTGGCCAACACTGCCATAGTGTGGAGAACTTCTGCATCAACACCGCATTATATTTTTCTTAAAGTTTATTGCATAGAAATAAAGAAATGATCCATCAACAACCATTTAATTCCATATGCATTACTGCACATTTTTAAAATCATTTTAGATATTTTATTGTGGACTCCCAAGTTGCTTTCTGAATTAGATCAGACAGAGTACTACTTGTACACAGCATGCTTAAATATGTGTGGGCAGTTAAAAATGAGATTCCGAAAGAAAAGGGGGTAATGACTGAAACCCTTAAATATATTAAGGGTATGAATGAGGTTCTAGAAGGCAGCATTTTCAATATTAAGCAAAAAATCAAGAACATGGGGACATAACCTCAAATTGACAGGAGATAAATTCAAAAGTAAATTTAGAAAGTATTACCTCACAGAAAGATTAGATGCTTGGAACCAACTTTCAGCAGAGGTAGTAGGTTACCCATCAGTAATTGAGTTTAAATATGCTTGGGATAAACACATGTACATCATTTATTTATTTATTTATTGGTTCGATTTATATGCCGCCCTTCTCCGGAGACTCAGGGCAGCTTACAATGTGTTAAGCAATAGCCGTCATACTTTTGTATATACCTGCTTAGTAGGGCTTTTGGGCCCCCCCCAAGTGGTGTTCTTTTTTATACAAAGTCAGCTTATTGCCCCCACAATCCAGGTCCTCATTTTACCTACCTCGGAAGGATGGAAGGCTGAGTCAACCTTGAGTCTGGTGAGATTTGAACTCACAATCATTACAGGCAGCTGGCAGCTAAGTGCTATTTAACAGCACTTAGTCCCCTGCACCACCAAGGCATCCAATAAAAACATAAAAAATTAAAAGAAATATTTAAAAAAATCAAAGAACAAATTGGATGGACCAGTAAGTCCATTTCTGCCATCAGTTTTCTATAGTTCTATGTTTCTATATAAGATTAATTCATTTTAACTAAAAATGATACTTATTCACAATGTGCCTAAATATGTTTGGGTTGTTAAGATAATTGGTATAAATTGTCTGTTCTTCCTTAAGAGTGACCTGGGAGAGAGATTCTTGGGTAAGTGGGCTGAGGCAGGGAGGAAAGAGAGTGAAAGGAAAGTAAATTGGGAATTAAATGATCCAGGCTCAAAATGGCCATGAAGGGTGATACTGGATTAACTATCCAAAAACGCAGAGGAGCTGAAGCTCTTTGTTCCTGGATAGCACAAATGGGGCTTTCCTTGAGCAAGGTCAATAGACTTGGGTGGACTTGGGAGCTGGGTCAGGCTTGATTAACACTGTTGAGTTAAAGCAGGGAAACTTGAGCTTCAGCAAAAAGATCTGTTGAAAAGAAACAACAAAGTTGGAAGGGATATTGATTTCTTGTGACTGCCCTGGTTGCTTCAACCTTCCTGTGACAGAGTCGCTGGTAGAGCAAGTCTTCACAGATTGGGCCCTGATTGCTTTCTTCCTTTGGGTTCTCCATTGGTTTGGCTGTTCTTCTCTTCTGAGCTGAATGTAGCTCATTCAGTTGATCTTCACAGCAAATTTATTCATTCATTAGTTCAAAAATGATATAATTGTCCAACTCTGACTGACTGTTTTAACATTTAAAAGGTGTGTGAGGTTTCAATTGCATGTTTCTCTCCCCACCCCACCCCATATACCCCTTATCAAAGGTGGTATTCAGCAGCTTTTGACCAATTCTGGAGAACCAGTAGTGGAAATTTTGAGTAGTTCGCAGAACCAGTAAATACCACCTCTGACTGGCCCCGCCCCCATCTATTCTCTGCCTCCCGAGTCCCAGCTGAGGAAATGGGGATTTTGCAGTAACCTTCCCCTGGAGTGGGGAGGGAATGGAGATTTTACAGTATCCTTCCCCTGCCACACCCATTAAGCCACACCCACCAAGCCACACCCACAGAACCAGTAGTAAAAAAATTTGAATCTGACCACTGCCCCTTATCCTCAAGTACCATTACACAGAGGTTGCAATTGAAGTGACAAGAAAACTAGCCATTAACTGGAATGAAAAAAAAATTAAACTGGAGGTGTGAAAAGAAGACTGTTGTCTTAACTGACTGAGAGAATACAAGCTTCATCTTTCCACAGTAATAGCATGGAAAGGTAGTCCTCAGTTCCAACGGCAATTGGGATCAAAGTTTCCATTGCTAAGCGATGCGGTTGTAAAGCATGATGTTACAAGAGGGCAATTCTCTCTCCCAACCATCTCCTCTACAATGGAAAAACTAGAAGGGTCTCTTCTAAGCCTCTTTCCCTGCCCACTCTCTAGCTGCAGGCTATGTTGTCCCTTGGTAACATCTCTTCACCTATTGTCCTAAGATCTTTCTCACATACCATTACAAGAGATGTTTTATTTTAATGTAACCTGTTTTTATGGCAAGACTGGCTAGGCTAGGACAAATTGCTTTTTGGGAAAAGCCTATTAATCTACTTGCTAGATATTAATCTATTTTCTAACCTTTCACTCTGTATACCATATTTTAAAAAACAATTTATTCTATACTATACTTGTCTGGATATAAAATACATTTATAATCCATAAGAATTTATGAAAATTGCAGAAGGGATTAATGAACAGCTATTAACTTTTAGTCATGCATTAGATACAATAAACTTAGCCAGGATAATTGAGGTAGTGTCAGTTTTTGTCAGGGAGTATTTATCCAAGAAGGAAAATTGTAAAAGCTGATGTACTTATTTACCTGAAGTGCAGCTCACTCATGTTCCTCCTCTCCCTCTGGTAACTGAGGTTAAAGATCCACATTGTTCCACAGAAAATGCTCAAGGAAGGACAAGGGGCGGGAAAAGTAATGTGAAGCAGGGATTTCTGTTATTTCTAGAGCTCCATCAGAATGGCGCCAAGGTTTGCGAAAGCAGGTGTTGCAAAAGAAGACTTTCAACATGTACCTTTGCAAGGAAATTCTATTATTTCCTCATTTCTCTGTCTACAGAACACCTAGGCATTGCCATAAATACAAGAACATCTAAAACCCCAGCCCAGTTCAAAGTCATATTTAAAGGAGAGCAAACTAGTTTCCCTGAGGCAAGATGACAACTTGGATTGGTTTTTGCTTCCTATTCCTGATTGCTCTGTCTGCAGAGAGGGGACTATCCATACAGGAGGAGACAGAAACCAGCTGCTGTGCACGTGAGTCTCAATTGGTCCTTTCTGGGGTGAGCCAGTTAATTAAGATAGATTGCTCTAGAGAGCTTCTCCCATAACCGCAGGACACTTCATCACCAGTGGGAACGCCCGTCTCATTTCACCTTCCAGCTCCTGGGACTTCCCCTCCCTTTAGGGAAGGTGCTGTTTAGCTCTCAGCAATGGTTAATTTTGTTTTGTTTTTTTTTAAATTTGATTTATATGCCGCCCTTCTCCGGAGACTCAGGGCGGCTTACAATGTGCTAAGCAATAGCCTTCATCCTTTTGTATATTTATACAAAGTCAGCTTATTGCCCCCACAACTGGGTCCTCAATTTACCTTCCTTAGAAGGGATGGAAGGCTGAGTCAACCTTGAGCCTGGCGAGATTCAAACCTGCAGTAATTGCAGGCAGCTGGTCTTAATAACAGGGTGCTTTAAACCACTGTACTACCAAGGTTTTTGTTTTTTATTTTTTTCCTCACTGTGAAACCCAAATATAACAGTGAGTGGAAGGCATTGTCTCATAGCCATTTCCTGCTTGGTTATTGGCCAGAGGGAGGAATGGATGTTCAAGGAGCAAAGTTGGCAGACCCACAGAAGGACCTTTAGTGAAATTACAGACGTTCTAGGAAAGGGTTTAATGGGTGGGGAAAGAAATAGACCAGTGGAGTTTGTCTTTGGCCAAAAAGGTATGCCTTATAAAAAGATGCCTGCTCTTTTCTGTACAATGTGCTGTTTCACGACTTGAAAGACACTTCTAATCAGATGACGGGGAGCTTTGTGCCAAAAGCCTCTTTCACACATAAAGGCTGAGCTAATCTTGTAGTCATGAGAGGCTCCAGGTGGGCTTCATGTGCTGAATCAATCAGCTTTGGAAGTAGCTCATATTCTAGTGTAGAGTAAACACAGTAAAGGCAGTTTTGAAGATTTTCCAGAGTTGCTGCAGTTCCCCATTGCCAAAAACAGTTCCTTGGGGTTCCCCTCACTAAAGTTACCCTGGTACATAGCCTCTACACAGCCCACAGCATTGAGACAGGGCACTGTCTTTCTGCTTTTTGCAAGAAACAAATACTAGAATGGAAGAGGATAGAGTCCCACCTTGTTTTTTTAGCATTTTGCCATTGACCGGTAGGAAGGAGTGCAGTTGGCTCAGAAAGCAGTTGAGCTTGCTTGTTGCAGATCAGACAGCAAACATTCTGTGTAGGCTGGGTGAGGCCAGAGACAACAAGGAAAGAGATGCCTAATTACACATTTTGTGGAAATTAAGTGAAATCTGTCAATAAACATCAAATCTTTTAAACCTATGGATTTAATATTTCTACTGTACAAATCACTAAAGACACATGTGTGTGTCCTTTTAAATGTAATGACCTGTGCATTATCTAAGAATTTAGCTAACAGTTTTTAGGAATACATTTGAAAATATAAATGAGAAGAAAGAAATCTGATTCTTATATGTATAGATGGATTCATTAGAGGACAAATATTTTCTGGGCTCCCACTGAAGTACTCTTTTGTGGAAACACTTGATTTCCCACTATATTAAGTGTGTACAGTAATCAACTAGAATATTTGAAAAGCAAGTATGTACATGTTAATATCAGGGATTGTTTCCTAAGAGTATCCTGTACATGTCATTGTTCTTCTGCCCTTCTCACCCTTCCTCTTGCAGGTCGAAAAATATAAGCTTTAAAAGCTTGTGAAGGCTCAGTAAAAAATAAGAGTGAACTTCCCATGAATTTCCCATGATAGAAATCCAATATTATCTGCTGCATCGTCCTGATTTTCTAGCATCCAAACTAGGGCCACTTTGATTTAGTGTGACTTGTCAGTCTGTGAGAAAACCTTCCTGCTTCTGTCTAGTTTCTCATTCTGTTTATGCTCTTTCTTCTATTCCAGAGCTGAAGAGCTTAGAACAATGTGGGGGTGACAAGATTGTTCTCCAGGGCCAGGCAGGGATACCTGGAATTCCAGTGTGCCAGGAACAAATGGTCTTTCTGGAGCCAAGGGTGAGCCAGGACCTCAGGGCCCCCCAGGTAAGTTGATGCCGACTTCTGTTGTCAATTGATGTCAAAGAGATCTAGCAGCTTATTTGCTCTGTTACTAGGAAACTCAAAGCCTGGACAGTCTAGAAGAATGGATGTTGGAGAAAGCATCACCAAGGTTACTTGGCAGAGGGATGAAAAACATGCCCTGCCCCTCAAATTCCAGCTAGGAAGGGAGGGTGCTGTACTAGGAAGGTTGCATTTCAGGTGAGGAAGAGGATTTTAAAAATACTGATGGTGGTTCAATAGTAGCAGTTGGGAATGCCTCTGTAGTTGGAACTTCTAGTTCTTTTTTAGGGAGGATGGATTGTATCATTTTGTTAAAAGAACTATTCTTATGCCCATCAGCTTCCTTCCTTTCCAGGGATCAGTCAGTTCTTTCCTAACAAGGATGTTTACTGTCTTTGCAGTGCTTGAGAAAGATGGGTAAAACCTGAAAAACAATCAAAGGGTTGCCCTCTCTTTGCAAACTGAGAGATAAAAGCAGGGGTAAAATGCTCCTGGTTCGGACCGGATTACCCGATCCGGTAGCGATGGCGGCTGGTGGTTCGGAGAACCGGTAGCAAAAATCCCTGCGCGCCCCCACCCCCCATGCCCAGCTGAGCTGCGCGATCACCAGAGGCTGGTTTTTTTACTTTTAAAAGCATTTTTTCTACAACCTCTTCGGCCGAAAAAATACTTTTAAAAGTAAAAAAAAAAGCCTTTGATGATCTTGCGGCTCAGCTGGGATCGTCAGAGACTTCTAAAAGCATTTTTTCTACAACCTCTTCAGTCAAAGAGGTTGTAGGGGGAAAAATGCTTTTAAAAGCCTCTGGTGATCCCACCTGAGTTGCCTGATTGTCAGAGGGTTCTAAAAGCTTTTTTAAAAATCAAATGCTTTTAAAAGTTAAAAAAAAAGTTGGCCACGCCCACCCAGTCACATTACATCCCCCCCCCTCACCAAGCCATGCCCACAGAACTGGTAGTAACAAATTTTAGATTTCACCCATGGATAAAAGCCTCTGTGATTGTCTTGCTTTTTACAAAGAAAAGATTTAGAAAATTCTTGGTATATTCCAGGTGTTCCTTTAAGGAGCTTTGTTCTGTTCTCCTTAGGTGAAAAGGGCTCTGCTGGGATTCCTGGAAAAGCTGGACCAAAGGGAGACAAAGGAGACAAAGGTAATGTATCTCCAATGAGGGAAATATATGGAAATCCTAAAGCCTCTTGGCCTCCAAACAAATATTCTTACTGAAGCTTCTACTTTGGTGATGACTCTGCAAGACAAGTTCTTTGCAGGTAGATTTTCTACAAGTCTATTCCTCTAGGCAAGAAAATAGATAAGGAACTTGCATAAAGAGAGGTGTTGATAAACAGATAGTTCTCAACGCATGACCACAATTGAGCCCAAAATTTCCATTGCTAAGACGGTTGTTAAGTGAGTTTTCCCCATTTTATGACCTTTCTTGTCACAGTTGATAAGTGAATTGCTGCAGTTGTTAGTAAGATGACTCTTAAGTAAATCTAGCTTCCCCAGTGGATTTGATTGTCAGAAAGTTGCCAAGGTGATGACAAGACTCTGGGACACTGCAGCCATTATAAATATGAGCCAATTACCAAGATTCCGAATTTTGATAGTGTGAATACAGAGATGCTGCAACAGTTGTCATAAGTCACTTTTTTCAGTGCCTTTGTAACTCCGAATGGTCATTAAATGAATGGTTGTAAGTTGAGGAGAAACTGTGAAATAGTTCTCATCTTCATATTTCCTTTTACTTGGAGCCCTGAGTTTGTTCAGCTCAAAAGCAGTTTTTTTTTTCCACTTTCCACAGGGGAACCCTGCTGCTTAGAAGGCTGTCAGCCGGAAGGTATGTCTAAGCATTCTCCCCTTGCTTAATCATTAACCTCAAACTTCTCCAGATAATTGGCACAAATGCCATCAGCTTGATTTTATCTTTGTTTTGATCTCCATTTGTTTGACCTTTATCACTCAGGATAATAAATGCAAAACTGCCTGAACAGCCTAGAATCGATGTTTGGAATAGTACAAATTGTCTGATCACAGTTTAAGGATCATTGTGATGCATTTCATCTGCACATATCAGCTTTCCCCAACCTGTGTCTTCTAAAAATGATAGACTCTATCTCCCGTGATCCCCCTCCCTGATAATTAATGACTCTAGTTTGGAGAACCTGCTACATATTCAAATACTGTATGTCTTATTCAGGTCTTGAAGGATCTACCTATACCTATATGCTGTAAGCCACTCAGAGCCATTAGATATGAGATGGATGGCATATAAATATTATAAATAAATAAGTAAATAAATATTTTCTTTAATTTTCTTTAATTTTTTAAATATTATTGCATACCAACTTGTATCCATTCTCCTACAATAGACATTATGGTGATTTCATTGGACAAGTTCTTGCATAGAAACCTGTAATTGTCCTACCACATAAATTATATTTTTCAGACTATAAGATGCACTCCCCCCCAATAAAGGTGGGTGGAAATGTCTGTAGAGCGAATATTGCTTGAGAGGGATGGACGATCAATGTGATGCAATACCGATCTAAGCAGCGGGGATCGCCATCGCCACCTATTGCCACCACCAAGACACATTTGCTGCTGCCCATTCACCACCGATCACAAATCGAACAGGTCGGAATGAACGGGCAGCGGCGAATGGCCACCGGCAAACGGGCGGTGGCAAACCATGGCGGTGGCGAACATGCTGCAGCAAACAGGCAGATTTCTTTTTCTTGTTTTCCTCCCCTAAAGCTAATGTGCATCTTATAGTCTGGAATATCTTATAGCCTGAATAATACGGTATTTTCAGAACAAGGAGAATCTGAACTGATCCACACATTTTTCTCTTTCCCACCCCCAACCCTCATTCTTCTCTCAGAGGGAAGAGCCAGAAACTGCAAGGAGCTCCATGAACAAGGAGAAACCCTCACTGGCTGGTACATCATCTATCCAATCACAGGGAAAGTGATGGTGGTTTTCTGTGACATGGAAGTAGATGGAGGGGGCTGGTTGGTAAGTAAGAGAGTTTAGAGATGTTTCCTTCCAACATTTATTTATTTGTTTCAATTTGTATACCGCCCTTCTCCAACAGGACTCAGGGCGGTGAACAGCCAGAATAAAAACAAAACATACAAAATTTAAAAACAGTTTAAAATAATTAAATATTTTTGGCCGCAGTTTAAAACAAACCCAATTTAAAATCAATTAAATTTAACCCAAAACTGTGGGATCAAGCCAGCCTGGCTAGTTGAAATAAATAAGTTTTCAGGGCCCGATGAAAAATCCGGAGGTCTGATATTGTACGTATCTCTGGGGGGAGGTTGTTCCAAAGGGCAGGCGCCGCCACAGAGAAGGCTCTCCCCCTGGGGGTCGCCAGCCGACACTGTCTGGCGGACGGCACCCTGAGGAGGCCCACTCTGTGCAAGCGTACTGGCCAGTGGGAGGCTATTGGTGGCAGAAGGCGGTCTCGTAAATACCCCAGCCCTAAGCCATGGGGCGCTTTAAAGGTGGTCACCAACACCTTGAAGCGCACCCGGAAGACCACCGGGAGCCAGTGCAGCTTGCGCAGGAGAGGTGTCACATGGGAGCGCCCCGTCGCTCCCATAATCCCCCACGCAGCCGCATTCTGGACCAGCTGGAGCCTCCGGGTGCACCCCAGGGGGAGCCCCATGTAGAGAGCGTTGCAGTAGTCCAGGCGGGAGGTGACGAGTGCCTGAGTGACCGTGCGTAGGGAGTCCCGATCTAGAAAGGGACGCAACTGGCGTATCAGGCGAACCTGATAAAAAGCCTCCCTGGCCACGGCAGTCAAATGGTCTTCTAAAGACAGCCGTGCATCCAGGAGGACGCCCAAGTTGCGAGCCCTCTCTGTGGGGGCGAGTGATTCGCCCCCAATAGCCAGCGATGGCACCAGCTGGCTATATCGGGACGCTGGAAGCCACAGCCACTCGGTCTTGGAAGGGTTGAGTCGGAGCCTGTTTCTCCCCATCCAGGCCCGCACGGCCTCCAGGCACTGGGACATCACTTCAAGGGCATCATTGGGGTGGCCTGGGGTGGAGATGTACAGCTGGGTGTCATCAACGTACTGATGGAACTCCACCCCGAAGCCACGGATGATCTCACCCAGTGGCTTTACATAAATGTTCAACAGAAGGGGTGAAAGGACCGACCTTTGTGGCACCCCACAAGCAAGGTGCCTCGGGGTCGACCGCTGCCCCCCTGTCAACACAGATTGCGACCGGTCAGAGAGGTAGGAGGAGAACTACCACAGAACAGTGCCCCCCACCCCCAGCCCCTTCAACCGGTGCAACATGATACCATGGTCGATGGTATCAAAAGCCGCTGAGAGATCTAACAGGACCAGGATAGAGGAGCAACCCCTATCCCGAGCCGTCCAGAGATCACCCACCAACGCGACCAATGCCGTTTCCATGCTGTGCCCAGGCCGGAAGCCGGACTGGAGCGGGTCTAGATAGACAGCTTCATCCAGGTACCGGGGAAGCTGCTGTGCCACCACACTCTCAACAATCTTCACAACAAAGCGAAGATTGGAGACTGGACGATAGTTAGCCAAAACAGCCGGATCCAGAGAGGGCTTCTTGAGGAGGGGCCTCACCACCACTTCTTTCAAAGCGGCTGGCAGGACCCCCTCACTCAGAGAAGTGTTAACAATCCTCTGGAGCCAGCCTCGTGTAACCTCCCGGGAAGCCAGTACCAACCAGGAGGGACACGGGTCCAATAAACATGTGGTCGCGTTCAGCCATCCCAGGATCCTGTCCATGTCCTCAGGAGCCACAGGATCGAACCCCTCCCAGATAATGCTCTCAAGACCTGCCTCAGTCATCCCATCTGGACATACCCAGTCATAGGCCAGCCCTTCCCGAATCTGAGCGATCTTGTCATACAGATACTGCACAAAATCCTCAGCTCGACCCTGCAAGGGGTCATCCCGTGCTTCCAGATGGAGGAGGGAGCGGGTCACCCTAAACAGGGCGGCTGGGTGATTATCTGATGACGCGATAAGAGCGGCAAAATAGCTAGATTTTGCCGCTTTTATCGCCACTAGGTAGGTCTTAATATGAGACCTCACCAGTGTTCGGTCAGATTCGGAGCGGCTGGTCCTCCAACTACTTTCCAGGCGTCTTTTCTGGCGCTTCATCTCCCTCAGCTCCTCGGAGAACCAAGGAGCTAGGTGAGTTCGGTGCCAGGTCAGAGGCCGCAAAGGCATGACATGGTCCAAGGCCCCAGCGGCCGCACTATCCCAGGCGGCCACCAGGTCTTCAGCTGAGTCATGAGCCAGAGTCTCAGGGAATGGCCCAAGCTCCATCTGGAACCTATCAGGATCCATCAGGCGCCTGGGGCGGAACCACCTGGTCGGTCCCGCCTCCCTGCGGCGGGGTGCAGCGGTTAGAAAGTCCAGTCGAAGGAGCGAGTGGTCAGACCATGTCAAGGGTTCGATAGCTATATCCCCTATATCAAGGCCACTCAACCACTGACCAGAGACAAAAACTAAGTCCAGAGTGTGTCTGCCTGTGTGAGTGGGGTCATGAATTAACTGAGTAAGGTCCATGGCCGTCATGGAAGCCATGAACTCTCAAGCCACCTCAGACGTTTTGCCGATAGATGGCATAATGAAAGCAGGAAAATACCTTTTAATTCATTAGTAATATTCAAAGGCTAACTCAGCTTTTTCCAACCTGGCTCCCTCCAGATCTGTTGGGGTGACAGTATCTAGGATTCCCAGCTGTTTGTCCTGCTGGCTGAGAATGTCAAGAGTTGCTGTCCAGCATACCTGGAGTGGGCCAGGTTAGAGAACTTGTGTACAGAGCACAGAATACTGAATAACGGAGTTGGAAGGGACCTTGCAGGGCTTCTAATCCAACCACCTGCTCAAGCAGGAGGCCCTATGGCCTATGCCAGTGATGGCTAACCTTTTTGCCATCGCGTGCCAAAAGCGGGGGGAGGGGGGGGGGGTCGCACGCATGTCCACACCCATAATTCAATGCGCCTCCCCTTCATGCATATGCACACAACCCCCCCACGCTCCCCACGCTTTTGGCACGTGATGGCATGGTGGGCCCAGTAGGCCTGTTTTTCACCCTCCCCAGGCTCCAGCGGCTTTCTTGGAGCCTGTGGAGGGCGAAAACGGCCTTCCCCACTCTCCCCGGAGGCTCTCCGGAGGCTGGAAACAACCTGTTTCCTGACTTACGGTGGGCCCAGAAGGCCCAAAAATCAGCTGGCTGGCACGCGCATGCACGCTGGAGCTGAGCTAGAAAAACGCTCGCGTGCCCACCAATATGGCTCCACATGCCACCTGTGGCACGCGTGCCATTGGTTCACCATCAGGGGCCTATGCCATTCCAGATAAATGGCTGTCCAGTCTCTTCTTAAAAACCTCCAGTGATGGAACACCCACAACTTCTGGAAGCAAGTTGTTCCACTGATTAATTGTTCTCACTGACAGGAAATTTCTCCTTAGTTCTAGGTGGGATCTCTCTTTGATAAGTTTCCATCTGTTACTTCTTGCCTTGCTGTCAGGTGCTTTGGAGGAAATTATTGAAATCTCCCTTCTACCTGCCTGAAGCAGAGTTCAGCTGCTGGGTTGCCCCTTCCTCAGCAGGAACCCTAACCCCACAAGCCCTGCAAAGAAGACAAGGCAATCCTTATTCTAGAAAAAAAATAGGCAATTCTATGCCACCTCAGTTTTTCTTGATTTCCTTTCTTTTGGTCCAAATGTGAGTGCAGGCAAAGGTGGCCTTTCACACTGCATTTTAGGTCCAGACAACATGGGTAGTAGTCAGTGGTGGGATTCAAGTAATTTAACAACCGGTTCTCTGCCCTAATGATTTCCTCCAACAACCAGTTTGCCAAACTGTTCAGAAAGTTAACAACCGGTTCTCCCGAAGTGGTGCGAACTGGCTGAATCCCACCACTGGTAGTAGTGCTTCCAAACAACTTTTTAATTATGCAGTCACCCTGCCACAATGCTTTACTTTTAAAGAAGTAGTAAGAACTTGCTAAGCCAGGATGAGAGACCCAAATGGAAATGGTATAATATTAAGAAAGCAGATTCTCTCTTTCAACCAGGTCTTCCAGAGGAGGCAGGATGGCTCTGTCAATTTCTACCGTAACTGGGAATCATACAAGAAAGGGTTTGGGAGGCAAGGATCAGAATTCTGGTTGGGCAATGATAAGATCCATCTTCTCACCAGCTCTGGTAAGTCCAAAATCTCCTCTTCTACCTGAGGCTCAGTTTGATAAATTAAATACTTTTACACTGATAACGCTCATCATTATCAGAATTAATTTATAAGGAAAGATGAATATCAGACACACACACACACAAATGTTCATAGATAGATAGATAGATAGATAGATAGATAGATAGATAGATAGATATAAATATAGATATAGATATAGATATAGATATATAGATATAGATATAGATATAGATATATAGATATATAGATATATAGATATATAGATATATAGATATAGATATATATGGAACCAGGACACCTCAGCATCAATCTGTATCCCTCCTCACTGCCTTACTTGCTATATATAGGTAGACAGTTATAAAAATATTGACTTTGTGAAAGCAAAGGAAAAAGTGGCAACGCATGGATGACTTTCTGGCTAATTGTGCAAAATGATCCGACAAAAATTGTGACTTTCTGACAGTGGTTTAATTTTCCTGGCTCAACTCTTGTGCTCCTTGTGGAATGAAAGTCTACTACAGCGATCAATATGCTTCCCTTCAAGGATTTCTGCATCTCTGGTATTCATTCCCTAATAACATCTAACCTTTGGTGTTTAGGAACACAGCAATTGCGAATTGATGTGGAAGATTTCAACGGTTCCACAACCTTTGCAACATATTCCAGTTTCAGAATCACAAATGAAAATGAAAACTATAAGCTAATGTTGGGCTCCTATTTGGATGGCAACATGGGTGAGTTATATAGAGGCTGTTCTTCATTTGAGTACCTGGTATGGAATAGATCATAAAACACAATTATTTTAAAACAGTTAAAAATTTGCCATATACAGCAGGTGTTTTTCTGACGGCTTTTAGCCAAGTCCAACAAGCCTCAGGGCACCATATGAATATAAAAAACATTTCTTATGGTTTTGCCTTCCACTTCTATTTATAAGAAATGTATTATTTTTTATAGTGAATTTTAGAATTACTAGTCTGGCTAGTATTTCTGCATATAAGATGCATTCTATTATTTTTTATTTCCTGAATTCTTCCTAGCAGACAATATACATTTTTCACTGTTGTAGCACTGTGACTGAAAGTAACAATACAGTAAATCATTGACTTTCTCCTCTGATTATCTTCATTCAGGGGATTCTTTCTCAGGACATAAAGGCATGGCATTCTCTACAAAAGACAAAGACAATGATACCTATGAATCCGGAAGTTGTGCTGTGAGTTACAAGGGAGGTTGGTGGTATGGTGCCTGCCACTCTTCCAACCTGAATGGCCTGTATCACAAAGGAGAACATAGCTCTTATGCTGATGGCATCAACTGGTCTGCTGGGAAGGGGCACCATTATTCTTACAAATATGTGGACATGAAAATTAGACCTCAATAGGTGAAATATCAGTATATTCACAATTGTTCAACTCTTACTAAAAATAACTCTTCAGATTTGGTTTTCACCGGCTGTGCCAATATGATGTATCCAATAAACCTGTTCTTAGAGGAATCTACCTGCCTCGGAGTTTTGCTTTCAATGAGTGCATTATTCAGAACGCTGACAGGTAGTGTTTGACTGAGAACAGCATTTGGGCCTGGAATTTCCATCACTGAGTAATATTGTCATAAAGCATGACCGCATTGCTTAGCAACAGCAATCCCTGCAATCCTGTTTTTATAGACGGGGCTATTTCAAGACACTTTCTCTTAGGCTGGCTTGCTTTCTATTGAAGGAAAGAAAGATTTTTTTTTCATCCTGGGTAATGATTGGTCAATTTCTCTTCTCTTTCTAACGTGAGTGCAGATGCAAAGAAGGAGAGAGGGAATAGGCTCATATAGAGTTAAAAAACTAATCAGTAAGCCAGTTTAGTCTACTGCTGTGTTGGCGAACCTATGGCACGCGTGCCATAGGTGGCATGCATCCCCCTCTCTGTGTGTACATGAGCTATCGCCCCAGTTCAGCTCTGTTGTGCATACGTGTGCGTCTCCCGCCGGCCAGCTGGTTTCGGGTCTCTGCTGTGCATGCAGAGCCCATGCAGGGGGGAATGCACACATGTGCAGGAGTGGGGCGCAGTGGGGCTGTGTGCATATGCACAAGCACATGCAGGGGTGTGCACATACGTGGGAGTGGGGCGCATGCACGGGGGCCACGCACGCATTGCATTTTGGGGGTTTTTTGGGCACTCGGTCCGAAAAACATTGAAAAGCTGGTGATCTGGAAGAGCCCTGGGACAATGCAGTAGAGATAGGTTTTCTATTCTTTTCCATTAAAATTGTCTCACACTTATTTGAATTCTCCAGTCTTCCCATTGAATGTATTCCTACTGTATTACGACATATTTCTTGTAATCTACTGGAATTTACTATTGGGAAAAGACATGTAACAAATTTCTTTATGATGCAGAAAATAAGTCTGTGTCCCTAACGAGTGAGATAACTCATTAGATGCAAGTTTAGCAACTGCTAAAATGTAATCAAATATTAAATGGGAATCTAGCACATGTGTTCCAAATGCATACTACTGTAATATATTTGGCTACTTTAAAACCTGTGTGTAACTTCCACTTCCATCAGGGTCAGTATGCTACACAGACCTTTCAGATATCTAGAAATATAGCTATGCTGTTATAAAAGTAGAGTTGATTGGTTTATTGAATTGATTCATATGACCATTTTGCAAATGTGACTCTGGGCAATTAACAATGTACTTAAAACAATACAAATCACAAAGCAGCATTATATAAAAATATATAAAATATATAACTGTTGCTAAGAATGAGCCCAATGAACACTCTATGGTACCAACATTTCATAGGTCATCTAATCTCATGACCCCCATGCTGGTAAATTCCATCTTGGAACACAAATTCTATAGTATCAACTAGGAGACAGGGAAAAAAGAAATGGAAAAGTCAAATATAAGATTTAAACATTCCAAATTGTGCTTTTAAGAGATCAACTTCAAAAGGCACTCTTCCTGTTTATATATCTCTGTATCTCAATCAGACGGTGAACATATTACCACCGAATATTCCAAAATTTAGCTAAGCAATAGCACCTATTGTGGAAGTGTAGAAGAGTTATGTTAATGATTAAGACCCAAAGATGTCACCATTCTGCAAACACTATAAATTATTCTTTTCTTAAAGTCAGTGAATCATGCCTCACTAGCATTAGAACAAGTTCCTTACTGTATTATGTGCATAAACGTAAAGGTTCCCTACACATGCATGCTAGTTGCTTCCAGCTCTAGGGGCGGTGCTCATATCCGTTTCTAAGCCGAAGAGCCAGCGCTGTCCAAAGACGTCTTCCTGGTCATGTGGCCGGCATGAGTAAATGCTGAAAGCGCATGGAGCACTGTTACCTTCCCACCAAAGTGGTCTCTATTTTTCTACTTGCATTTTTTACATGCTTTCAAACTGCTAGGCTGGCAGAAGCTGGGACAAGTAAGGGGAGCTCACTCCATTATGCAGCACTACGGATTCGAGCCCTGAACTTCCAACCTTTTGATCGACAAGCTCAGCATCTTAGCCACTGAGCCACCAGGTCCCTTATGTGCACAGTTGTGTTCAATTCTCCATATTTGTATCACTGTACTGAAGTGGATCAAGTAATTGCAAATTGGTAAGATAATAAAACTGTGTAGTAATAATAAAACTAAATCATACTATAATTTTGAGTTCAAAGATGGAGGAGCAGCTGTATCAAGTCATCCTTGTGCTGTTCGGATCATATCAAATTAGCTAACAGAGTCATTTCTAAGTTATGGGGAATATAAAAAGATATTGCTATTAACAATCTCTTTGAAGTGGCATGGGAGTTTGTATCCTATTCCACTATTAAAGGTCAGGAAGAGAAAAAGTCACCTGAGAAGGGATGAACCTGGCCTTTGCTACACAAATCACTCCCATTTCAGGATTTTCCGCCTCTGACTGATTTTTAAAAAATGGAGTAGGGTATGCATTACAACTCAAATCACCAATTCAGCGCTGCTTATTAAGCCATGAGCATAACTTGTCTTAAATAGCCTGTAAAGGGGAGTGGGGGGACTCCATGCAATGGACAATTGTGCTGGTGCTGATTTCTCTCTGCGGGAAAGGACATTAAGATGACATCCAGTGAACTCGCTCCTTTATAAGAACCTATAGGAAGCACCACTTCACGTCTTCAGAAGCTAGTCAACTTGAGGGGCTAAACTCCAAAGTCCAAGCTTAAGGACAGATATATTTTATTTTATTTTTTTTATTTGATTTGTTTGTCAAACATGTACAAGGTAGCAAGTGTAAATATGAACGTGAACACGAATAAAGGAAATAAATACAGATAAATGGAGACAGTAAGACAGGGACAGTAGGCACGCTGGTGCGCTTATGCATGCCCTCTTTATGGACCTCTTAGGAATGGGGTTGGTGGGCGTGGTGTGGCTTGATGGGCATGGCTTGGTGGGCGTGGCAGAGGAAGGATACTGCAAAATCTCCAGAAGGATATTGCAAAATCTCCATTCCCACCCCTCTGGGGCCAGCCAGAGGTGGCATTTGCCGGTTGTCCAAACCACTCAAAATTTCCGCTACCGGTTCTCCATAACCCGTCAGAACTTGCTGGATTTCACCCCTGATATGAGAGTTTTAAGGTTGAAGCTGTAAGGGTTTATATATTATAATTAGAATTAGAATTTCATGTATGTATGTTTCTATGTATGTATGTATTTATTTATTTATTTATTTTTACGGATTACATTAAACCGGGTATCTGAATAGGTTCGTTTTCAGGAATAGATTAGTTATGGATTGATTAGAGATTCCGTCTTCCACTCTCCGGAAAGATAATCTATTCTAGATAGAACGGGAAGGGAAAGAACGCGGGAGATCGGCTTCTCCCTCCTTTTCTCTTCCCCCCCACCCGCGCCTCTCCTCCGAAAGCTCCGCCCCGCTGCGCCCTTTGCGTACTCTCCTTAACCCAGCCCCTCCCTTCCGTCTGCTCCTCTTCCGCAGCGCGTAGCGCTGTCGTCACATCCGCTGCGTTCCGAGCGAAGCACCTGCAGGCGGCGCTCCTCTCGCCGAGCCTGCGACAATCTCTCTCTTTTCTCTTTTCTTTTCTTTTTCTTTATCCCCCCCCCCCCCGCTGACCTTGCGCAGATCTTCCCAGCCTAGGCGCGGTTTCGGTCGGCGGCTGCAGCGGGTTCAAGGGCGGAAGGCCGTCCACGCGTTTCTCCCTCACCCCCTCCTCAAAGGGTGAGCGGGCCGAGAGGCAGCCACCGGCGCAGTCATGCTGGCTTTCCAGAGGGGGCTGCGGTTGCTGAATGGGACCGTGAGGAGCCAGATCCTCCCAAGGGCAAAGATGTCCACCAAGTCAGGAAAGAACAGCTTCTTGGTGAGAGTTTTTTTTCCCCTTTCCTTAAAGCTTCCAGCACCACACACACACACACACACACACACACACACACACACACACGAGCACCGTCCGGAAGAAACACGGGGTCAGGTCAAAGGCTTCTATTTTAATTGCTCTGCTACGGGGAGGCCGTCTTATATCGTGCCTCTTTTTCCGGGACGGACTGAAATAATGTGGTGGAAGAGGAAATGCTGCTCCCAAGGACGGCGTCACGTCCCTTCATGTCTTCTCTTTAAAAGGGAATTTTAAAATGGTCGTTTAAATGCCTACGGTAAAAGTCTTCAGCGTAGCTGGCTGGAGAATTCTGGGAATGGAAGTCCACAAGTCTTAAAGCTGCCAAGTTTGAAGACCTCTGGCCTATGGTATTAGGCAGAGGACCTTCACCTAGTTACATGGGGGCCGTATAGTTGCAGGAGGCCTTAATGGAAACCAATAGACATAAGCCTTAAATCCTGTCTGCATTCTTGCACTCACTTTGTTTACTAAAATAAAGATCATAATAGGAAGGCCGGAGAGATTAACTCTCCCTTCCTTCCTCGCCTGCCAATATTTTCCCCCTGAAATTCATTTAAATGTGTAAGATTTGCTCTTAATAAGTAGACTTTTAATTGCTTGTCACTTTAAGACAGTGTTTATATCCAACATTTTACAATCTGAAGCATTATATCCCCCCACCACAAATGCCCAGTGTTGTAGCAATCTGTGTTCCTGAGAGGCTGCCATGTAACAGATGAAATCACAGTGAAAAATAGGATGAGTGGTTTGAGCTGGTTGTTTAAAAATCATTATGATTGGTTTCTTAGTTTGGAATGCTTCCACTCGGCGCATTTGTGTTTGCTTCATAAAGAATTTTATGAGAGTAGACTAGATAGTGGCCTTTTTCAGTTTTTAATCTTTTCTACATTCCCATTTTTTTCATTTCACAAGAAACTGGTAAGAGGGGAAAGTCTTACTGCCAGGAATTCTTATTTCAAGACTATCTAAATTTTAATGGTTTCTTGCAGCAAACATGAGTACATTATTTTTCATGTTGAAGATTTCCCTGCAGTATAGCACTAACTGCATACATTTAAAATAGACTGCAGTACATCTGAGATTTATGTTGCCATTGTATTTGCTGTAAGAAATAAAGTAAAACGTAACAGATAGAACCTAATTTGAAGGCAGTACTCTGTAAAATTACCTCAAGGAATCTACAGGAATTTGTACTATTGAGAAAACTCAGGATCATTAAAATTACAATGAATATTGTATATGCCATAAGTTATTTGCTATATGAATTATAAATCACATGTACAGTAAGTTATAGAAGTTTGCACGTAGTCCATAAGCTTTCATATATAAACTACAGTAGAAATGAAACAAACAGTCACAATTCTCACCTCACTTGTGCATCTACTATCTTGTATGCTGCATCCTTAACACTTTTTTTTCAATTTACAGGAAAATGCCATTGGATTCACAGTGATTTTTACTGGCGGCTTTTTCCCAATTTGTTGGGTTATGGGCAATCTGGACAGTTACTCTAAATGAGAAGAAAAAGCTTTGGGAACATGGTCACGAAGAAGAAAATATCAATGTTTGTTATTCCCAGAGGCTTTCATTATTAAAACTAAAATTTAAAAATTCACAACAGCAGGTCCAAGTTTTTATTTAGAAAAACCAGTATGCATTATCTATGATAGAAGTAAATATTGGGCTTTTCTATATTAATTACAAAAATATTTTATGCAAATTCCAGACACAAATTTTTTAAAAGCTTCCCAGGAACAGAAGGCACGGTTGAAGAAAAACAAAGTAGGCCCTCATCATCATGAAATTTATATTGGCAGAGAAAGATGATATGAAGAATAGTTTTTGACACCAGTTACAGTGTTTAAATTAATTTTTATTGGCAGGACACCCAATCTTGAACCTAGTCACCCACATCTAGCCTAACATTGTACAATTCTAGTCTGCAGTTGGTTTATAATTCAGAAGGCCATGTGAAAATGTGATTGACTAAACCATGGCTAAGTAAGTGTAAGTAAATGTAAATAGTGTAAGTAAATACAACTAGTACTCGGTTAACAGCAATTGGGACTGGAATTTTTGTCACTAAGCAACATGATCTTAAAGTGAGATGTCAGATGACCACATTACTTATTCACATCAGTTCCAGCCTTTCCTGGTTGCCATTGTAATAGAATTACATGTCATTAAGTGAGGACATTGCTGCCATTTGTGACCACCTGCTGGTTCTCATTGAGTTTGTTTGAAGCTAGCAAACAAGGTTGCAGATGACAATCACACAACTTTGGGATACTGCGATGGCTAGAACTTTGAGGATTAGTCGTAAATACCATTTGTTCAATGCTGTCAACAAGTTAAAACTGTCAGTGAACAAGTCATTAAATGAGAACCATTTGTGTTATAAATAACCAGTCAATCTGGAAACAAATATGATTTGTAACAAAGATTGAGAGTAGGGAGCTATAGGGTTTATGAGAAAGAATGCAAGGAGTTACAGCTCAGCATTACATTTCTGTTTCTGGATTCTATCACACTTTTTAATGTGATACCTCATAAGTATTATATGGCTAGTTAAAATGCTTTTTAGTTTTTCTGATAAAGAGAAAACTCAAGCTAGATTTTTATTTAAGTTTTTTAACCAGGACTGTCAGCTGAACCTAATTACAGGTAGTCAACTAACAAAGGTTCATTTAGCAACCGTTCAAAGTTACATCACTGAAAAAAGTGACATGACCATTTTTCACATGCAGCATCTCCATGGTCACATGATCAAAATTCAGTTGGTTGGCAGTTGACTCATAAGTTGCAGTGTCCAGGGGTCATGTGATCACCTTTTGCAACTTTCTGACAAGCAAAGTTAAATGGGGAAACCAGTTTCACTTGTGTGATTAACAACTAGTGATTCACTAACTGGCAAGAAAAGTCATAAAATGGGACAATACTCACTTAGCAAATGTTTCACTTAGCAATAGAAATGTTGGACTCAATTGTGGTCGTAAGTTGAGGACTACCTGTAATTTATGTTGACTTTAAAAAAATGGCATTTATTTAACCCATTTAGGCTGATTGCATTTTTACTGTTTCTATAAAATGTGAGGGTAGCATTAAATTATAATTCCTAGTATCTTTCTACATCTGGCATGCAGGGCAAAACTACTAGTATTTATACTCTGAAAGCCACATAAATGGTACCATAAGTACATTAGAGGTGAGTAAATAGGGCACATAATTACTGAAAAAGTAACATTAATGAGAACAGGTTTATTTAGCTGGCATGTTTGAACTATGAAATAGTCTGAGGAATTAACTTTGCTTGTTCTATAAATACCCTATGTAATTTTAGATAAGCAACTGAAGTTTGGTATACCTCATTTGCTGAATTACCCTAATATCCCACAGGTCTTTATGGACTGTACATGGAGTATTCAGATTTTTAAGATAAATCTGGACAGTGAAAGCTTGACACTTGGTTGGAGAAGCTGAGATATCCTGATAATGAGATTATCTATTATGCCAAATCTATAATGGGTGGGGTAAAGTAAGCATTTAAATAAAAGGATTTGGTGAGAAAATAAGTTTTAATGTTGTTTGGCAGGAAAATATAAATGGCTGTAGTTTTAAAGACATTGGACAAAAATAACATTTTGTAACGTTTTAGACATTGGCTGAAAAATAAGACTCATTAAATGGTCTTAAGCTAGGTTCCATTACATATTACATTAAAAAATAATACAATTTTTGAATATATCTATTTGCAGGCATTATTCAACTTGTGTGGGAATAAAGCTTGCATAATTTTTGAATACAGGTTTTTAGATTCAAAAATATGTGACTTGTTTTTGTTCAGAGTAAGATAACATTTCAGATGAGCAAAGCACCGTGATTTACATCCCATCTTTTTTAAGCAGAAAAGGGTACTGTAGTTGCATTCTTTTTTCCCACCAATCTTGTGAAATAAGATGACTTCATTATGTATGACTCGCCTACTCAATGAATTTTTGTGGCTAAATCTGGGTTTCTCTGCTCCTAGCTCAGTACTTCAGTTGCATTAAATGCAAACTCTTTTCCATTAGAAAAATAAAAGGCATTCATTCCTTATCCATCTTACATTTTTTGAAAAAAATTATGGTAGATCTGGCTGAAAGTGGTGATCTTTGCAGAGCACATTTGCTTTCATCTGATACTCATATTCATAAAACTGTTGGCCTTAATGCATAGGAATCCTGATTTTCCTTGTGAAAGCATGAAATTAGTTTTAAGCAGCTACACCTGATCTCTAACCACCTAATACATAGTATAGTAAGATTGGCCAGTGATATGCAACACTGTTCACTTGATTCGGTGGAGGTGAAGCCTTATAGCGAATTGCCATGCAATTTTGGGGACAACAATCTTAGAAGTGATTAGCCATTGCTTCTTTTCCTGGGGCTGAATGAATATGAAGTTCCCTATTGAATTTGTACTTATGGAAGGATTAAAACTGTCTTCTTGTTTCTAGCCCAATGTTCTTTCCACACCAAAGTGACTCTTATTTGGAGTGTGTGTGTAGTTGCTGTTTTCTTGGCAAGATTTTCAGAAGTGGTTTGCCACTACCACCTTCTTAGGACTGGCTTTATGCCAAAGTTGGTGTCAGAGTTCAGTTTCTTTCCAGCTTAGTGCATTAACTACAGCAAACTGCCTCTCATGACGTCCTTATTTAGTGACTGTTTGCTGTTACACCAGTGGCAACAAACTAACTTTGTGACCAATCATTGCGTTTATGGCTTTCACAGCCTTTAAGGCAAAGGAAAGCTGAATTAAGGCCATAAGCACAGTTTCACTTAGCAACCATTTCACTTAACAATGGAGTTGGTGGTCCAATTGTCACTAAAGGAAGACTACATGTATTAGAAATGTAGTGGTGCAATCATTAGGACATCTTTGCACATAATCTACACAAAAAGGCAATGAATTAAATGAAGTATGAAAGATATGATGCTGCCAGAATTATTTTAGAAGACCCAGCCCATGTACAAAAGACAGATGTTAATTAATACATTTCAAATGTTATAGTATTGCCCTTTAGTTTGTTTTCTGCACCTCCAGTAGGTAAGCTGTTGTAAATACCACTTACTAGTTTTCACTTGGAGACCACTCGATTTTTGTTAATACTTTTTAGAAAGTAATATTGCACATCATAGCAGAACAAGGAAAATAAATTTAGTCTTAAAATATGGCACTCTAATAAAAGCTCACTTTTCCTGTTTCCATCATAAAATGTTCAAGTATGCATTTTAATAGGACTTATTAGTGCATTACTTATTTCCATAAAAAAAATATTTGAACACATGGGTACGTTAGTCGTTATATTCCAGAAAAAAGTCACAAGCACCTTTTTCCAAGAATCTGTTTTAATACAGATAAGTGTGACTGTTCAAATCACAGGGAAGGCAGGAAATTTTAACAGACCAATGGTTTTGCCTATCCTGCCATTTAAAAAGAATGGCTATGATTTTTCTCCAATGAACTTTTGAAATTTGAAATAAATACTGCATGTAAAACAAGTATCTTTGTAAACTACAATAAAACTACAACCATTTCCCTTACTCATCCATTAAAGTTGGAAGAAACCATAGCAGAAATTATATCAGCAACACTAATTCCATTCATGATCAGAATCTTTTAAAACTATTTCTACATCATTAAACAACACCTTGGATCTCTTGAAAACACTCAATTCAAAAGTCAGCTTGTAAAAGAAAATCAATAGAAATGCACAAGAGGGATGGCAGAGACATTTATTCCAGCAGTTGTTTTACTGCATCATATTTCAGGATAAAATATTGTAAAACATGAGGAAACCCAAAGAAAAAATATAAAAACAAATCCACAAAATTTATGACTTTATTCTCAGAAAACTCACGATGGGACTGAGCAATTTCCTTTATTGCAAAATATGGGGAGGCAATGGGAAAAAGTGTGAGTTCCCAGTTTTGTTACCTTTGAGCTATCAGGAAGGTTCCAGGAAAAAGATCATACTTTCCGTCCACCCATCAGAAATGCCTGACAATGGTTGAAGACAGCTTTACCTTCTTGCACAATAAGTGCAAAATGGAAGTCTTGCTGCTATCCTACTGTGGAGCTAATGACCTGCACCCCTTTAGTATATGGAGCACCTAGCATTCTCCAGTGGAAACTCACAGCAAGACAAATTCGCCATTATAGACTACCAAACCCCATTTTGGTGACAACAGGATGAATGCTCCCAAGGAATACACTACTCAAATGTTAGTGCATAGGAAGGAATTCCTGACTCCAAGCACCAAAGGGTCATGCAGCAAATGCCACTTAGATCTCTGTACAAGCATGACAAAACGTTTCCCCCAGTCCCTCCCCCCTTAATAGCATTTAGTACAGAGTCAGTGGTCAGGGCACTGCCAGTTTCAGCAACAGTACAAGATATTTCCTCAGCCAGTGCAAAGTCCTCTATGTTAGGATATCATGGGCTTGGTGTTCCACCAACATTTCCATGTTCTTCACATCTGTGCACCAGAACTCCAGACGGTCTTTCATACCCTTTATCTAGAAAACAAATCAACAATCATTAGAAATTAAGACACAAATGTGACAAACTGAGACACTACAATTGCCATATCGAAAATTTCGCAAACAGTGCACAAGAAGCTGTAAAGGCTCTCCTAGCTCTCACATTTGGCAACCTGTGGACCTGTACTCCTGAAAGCACTGAGACTCCTAGATGACAACTGCCACACCTCCACCCATGCCCTGAAGTCTCAGATGATGCCACACTCGAAACCCAGCTGGGCACATTTCAAAAAGAACCAGCCCACCTGCCTCCCTTCCATACCCAATTAGAGTTTGGCAATATAATTGCCAAATACAATACATATTTGAAACATTCCACCTGCTCAATAGAACTTCATCAATCTAGTGAAAGGGGTGAAAATTTCTTGAAAATACCAGGACATTTGTTTTAGGTAGTTCATTTTGAGGCATTCAAATACTGATAGTGCTCTACAACAGCTAGGTGCCCCAACTTTTGCTACGGTGCTGCACTGGATGGTTGGATCATCCATATATAAAATTATATGGGGCAACTGATGAGAGGGAGAATGAGGTCCATGGGTGGAAAACTATAGGTGAAAATAGCTGGTATAAAACCTCAAATAAAGGGACAGTAGATGTGGAGTATAGGCAGCTTCAAAAAGTTCACTCTGAAGACCTCTAAATTCTAGCATTCATTTAATCCAGACTGAAGGTGCTGTGAGAAATGTCTTTCCAATTCTAAATCAACAGGAACAAAAACTTCCAAAACACCCTACATTACTGGAGAAAGCATACTTTTTTTTTCTCAACTCAGAATTCGTTTCCCAATATCTTAATGGTTCCATCTGTCTTGGTAGCAACATATTACACTGACTGAAAAGTGTTGATAGAAGTAGATATGCTGGAAATTAGACAGAATTAATGTGATTTCTGCTGCTCGTTACAAAAATGTAAGATTTCTACATTCTAAAACTGATGTGTGTGTATATATTTAAAATGTGAGGATTAAACAAGTGAAACACACTGCCAACAGCCTATTCTATTTTCCACCATAAAACTTTTTGGTTTAGTTCTAAAACAAAACCTGTGAGGGAGTGCATGAGGAGAGGCTACCTGTTGTAAATCCAACACACGTGGTTGAACCCATGTCATGTGAACCTTTTTATCCACTTCATCAATACTGCCTTTCACCAAGCCTACTGAGAGTGCTTTCATCACTAGCAGCTCCACCTGCACAAGAAAAGAAAACAGGGTCTTTACTGTCTTTCGAAGTAGTATCCAATATGTCCCAGGTACAATTTACTGATCTGAAAACATGGTACAGCTAAAGGTGAAATAGTGAACAAATACAGAGAACACATGGAACTTACAGGAGTTAGTTATAGCCTTGCCCAAAAGCTTAAACAACAAAAGTTACTTGAAATGAAAATGTTAAATTAAATGGTGGATTGATTTCTATTCAACTGAGTAAAAAGATGGTATATAAAGCAAATAAATAAACTGCTCATCGGACCAGAACATCTGGTTACAACTGAGGTTATTTCCAAAAATAACTCACCTCATTTATAGTAACTTTGGCACTTCTAGCAATTTCTTCAAAAGTAAGTTGCCTGTGATTAGCTGGTCTGGTGAAGGTCATCTGTAGCCAAGAAAAGCTAGAGGATTAAAACTAATATGGACTTTAAAAAATTATAACATGCCCACTGCACAAATCTGTTTTTATCTATCCTTGCTGACCTCAGTACAAAATGTTATTGACATATAGATTTTTGATAGAATCTTTAAGAAAAAATAGTATCTTGTATTATAAATGAGAACTATATAATTATATATAGAACTATATAATGATCTCAAAAACACGACCCCCTCAAAGCAAGCTTTCAAATAAAATTTAAAATTAACTGATATTAAGCATGTGATTAACATTTAATATATATTTAATAACAACAATCAATCCATATGAAAATATTTCATATAATGGCTTCCTTTATACTGTTTTGGGGGTCTAATATTTTGAACAACAAACATTAAGACTGACATACCAAATGATTTTTCCCCACTAGTATTAAATAGAAGCCAATACAGAATGCGATTCAATTGAATGACATACTGCATATGGAAGGACAGGAAGCATAATATAAGTATTACTAAGAAACTAACTGGTGTTCTTAAAATCCATTTATTTCAACCACCATGAGAAACAGCCACTCTTTTTGCATCATAATTTAGTTTCACAAAACTTAAATAAAGAAAGTTTCAGTGATAAGCAAGACAGTTTCCAGAATAGGGGGGAAATGATCCTTTGCAGTGAGGATGCAAATTAAAGTAAAAGCAATGTCAGTTAACAACATAAATATACATTTTTGCCCCATGATTTTAACCAAAAAAAAATTATGCTATCCAGATAGCTAGCAATGGTGCTATCTTTGTTGCAAGACCTACCTCCATTAAACACAGTAGTTGGATTTTCTGCAGCAGAAGGGTTTCATTTGCAGCCAAGTCTGGCTGTAAAACATAAATCCAAAAAAGTTAATCTGCATTATTTTACAGTACCATTCATTTTGTGTTTTGCTTCTGTGCTCAAAACTATTCTCAAGTACACTACAAAATCATTCTAAACTTCTAAATGCATCTATCAAGATGAATTAAAATAGATCTTGTGAAGGGAAAGTGAAGACAAATAATAAAGAATTCCAACAGTCTTTGCAAATTATCTTTATCTCATTTTACTGGAGATTCTTAGCTCTGGATGTTAGGGATGCAGTTTTGCGGAAGAGGTTCTGCAGAACTCTCTGGAGTGTAAATCCAGCTCTTATCTGCAACTCTTTAAAGCTGCATCTTTTTCCAGGAAGGCACAGTTGCTTTAGTGAGCCAAAAAGTGTTATACATTCCAAAACATTGTACAGAAGAAGGCCTACACAACATGTGGAGAGCCAAGCAGATTGGTGCAGCCCATTAGCATTTTTTGAAAAACAACCAGTCCACTGACACAAAACGTCACTGCCACCAGAAAGTATCTGCTGTTATTGCCTAAGTTTTCAAGGCCTCTTCCATCCTGAAAGACATGCTGTCAAGCCCCTAAAATGCCTCCAGGCCTCATGGACACCACTAACTCTACTCCTGCCACTGCACTACTAGCAGCCAACAGCTGATCATCTCACCAGCTATTTCAATGTGATCTGTGATTATCTTTTAAGGTATAAATCTGGCCCTTTTGCCTCTACAAACTATGTAGGATTGATTTTACCGTGTTTCCCCGAAAATAAGACATGTCCTGAAAATAAGGCCAATTGGGCTTTTCAGGACATGTGATAAGCCACCCCCGCAAAATAAGCCCCCCCACCAACTACGGTCCCCACTCCCCACATTGGGCATGACAGGGCTCCTGCCCCTTGTTTAGCCACCCGCCCCCTTTAGGGTGCAATTTGGGGGTGGCAGGTGGGGCGGGCGAGAAGCGACTCGCTTTTCCCCCACCCCACCTGCCATCCCTCAATAAAGAGACGGTGGGAAAGGAAAGCAGCCAGGCTGCTGTTGCCATTGGGGTGGGACGCGTTGGGACGCAAGATACGCATTTACCTTTCCAGCACCATCATATTCGTCGCCTTTCTGTCCAGGGAGACACGTTGTAGAAAAAACTTTCTCGTGAGTTCAAGGAATTTGACTGAACTGACGAGAAAGTTTTTTCTACAACTTGTCTCCCTGGACAGAAAGGCGAGGAACGTGATGGTGCTGGAAAGATAAGACATGTGTCTCACGGCCCAACACGGCCCCGTCCCATCCCAATGGCAACAGCAGCCTGGCTGCTTCTCTTCCCCACCGTCTCTTTATTGAGAGGGGTGGCAGGTAGGGCGGGGGAGAAACAAGACGCTTCTCGCCTGCCCCACCTGCCACCTCCTAATTGCATCCTAAAGAGGGCGGGTGGGGGCGGGTGGCTAAGTGAAGGGCAGGAGCCCTGTCATGCCCGGCGGAGGGTGGGGGAGATGAGACGGTAAGGAGAGCCACGTCTTGCTTCACACGTCTCACTTCTCCCCCACCTGCCAGAAACGAGTCTTTGTGAGACTCGTGGTGCCACCGCCGCCGCCTCGTAGAGCAGGACTCTGCAAGGCTTGTGCTGTTGCATGCAGGAACTGCAGCACAGCTGCAAGGTTCGACCTACTGGCACAGCCACAAGCAGCAGAGCGCCAGCTGTGCCGGTATGATGAAGCTCGTGGCAGTGCTGCAGTTCATGCACACAACGGCACAAGTCTTGCAGAGTCCTGCTCCATGAGAAAGCAGCGGTGGCAGGAGACATCAGAGCAGCGGCCAATGCGAAGAACGGGGAGGGGAGGCAATGGCAACAACGGGACATCCAGTCCCACTCTTACCGCATCCTGCACCCCCAAAATAATAAGACACACGCACATCCCTCCCGATAATAAGGCCAAGCCCTTATTTGGGGGGGGGGGGGCAAAAGAAAATAAGATTCAAGTCTTATTTTCGGGGAAACACGGTAAGTCAATCCAGGTTTGCAGGTTGAGTTCTGCTCACAGAACACAGTCAAACATGGATTGTGTTCTGCAAGATGCTCAACAGCTCTTTCAATTTTGCAATACTGGGCAGGCAGTGAAACTGGGGCCTCTTGTTAATTAATCAGCTTAACAAACCTAAGTTTGCATAAGAACTATTAAAATGATTTGATCTCTCTGAATTCATATCTTTACAGAAATAAAGAAATCGATTCATCTAAAGGTGTTTATATTGCTTTCCTAAAATGCTGTCAGGTCATGCCAATCACTAACCTGTTGGCCCCATGATGATTTCAATGCTTGGAATTTTTCCACATTGCCACTATTGAAGGCATAAAGGGTGTCAATCAGCCATTGTCTGTCAGTGTCCCTCAAAGATTCCAGTACAGGATGCATAAGCTATAGATGGAGATTAAGATATATTATTAACAGAAAACTTTTTTTAAACTCAACTGTTAAAACTAATATAACTCTACTTACCAGTTCCCCGAAGTTATAGACTCCTTCACCCAAGAGTCCTGCCAAGCCTAAAGTAAAAGCTCTTTCCTGCTGGTCTGCCACTGAAAAGAAAAATTTTCTACTTCAGTGACTATCCCACATTCCTTCCCCCATTTCAGTAGCTGGGAGAATCCACAATTTCATAATTGCTATTTTAAACTCCATTCATATCTATTATATTTAATAAATACATGTAATATCTATTAAATATTTAATTCTATTAAATAATATTTAAAGCTGAAACACTGACTTTGTATAAGATAAACACATATTAGTGTGCATTCCCCACCCTTTTGAAAAATAAGGCTGTCTCTCTCTGACCATTCTATTCATAGAAGTGCCTTGTTTTTTCCTTAAAATGTTTGATGTGTATTTTTCCATCTGTGTTAGTTTTTTATAAAAGTAAATTCTTGAGTGGAGTTGCTCCTTCTAAAGGCCTACCTTTATAAGCATTACACTGCCAAACACTGCCAAACACATTCAGTGGGAGAGGGGGTGGGGAGAAATCACTACCTGGCAGGTCTTTGACATCTATGCAGCCCAGGAACCTTAATGCATCCTTATAGTAAGAGGCATGATTTCCAATTGTTTGATAATACTTGCTAGAGAGATCATAGAAGCGGCTGTGAACAGATGTCACTCCAGGAAGATTATTCAACATCTCCTCAACTTGTTCAATTGTCTCCTAAGGAAAATAAAATGGAGGCCAAATCTTAATTTTCTTAATTCTTCTTCTTCTTGTGCCATATCCGTCATTGGATGTTGGTAATCAAGTTGGCGATCCTATTTTTATCAACAGCCACACAAAAAAGTGCTGTTGAGTTTTGTCCAAACCAATTTTCTTAACTATATGTTATTATGGAATATATATACGGAAAGAATGTAAGTTTGTTTTTAGAAATATATGCATATACTCAATCAATCCCGAAGAAAATTATCAGTATTTGAATCAATGAACATTAGTAGATATAGCCTTGGGCTACCCATTTATTTTAGGAGTATGGCAAATAAATAGGCATTTACATGTCTCTAGAGTACATAAAGTTAGCTAGATTGTCCTGAAGAAGGCCTGGTATAATTAAGCAGGGAAATTTGTCAGAATGAGTGAACAATATCTGAAGTCAAGCAAGAGACTTCCTGGTTTCTAAAGAAGAACTAGGTCGTAATATCTGTATCTGTATATTTATTGGCAATAATTGCTTCAATTTCTCTGAACTGATATAAAGTATACTCCATTTATGTAAAGTAGAAAGGTACAACCTAAACTCTCCTGTAATTCCACATCTTAAGAGTCACTCTTAAAAATTTTAACAATTTTTAATCAGAACAATTTTAATCAGAAACAAGAGAGGATGAATTATTAAAAAATTAAAAGAGAATATGTATGATTAAAAATGGAGAAAATAGAATTTGAGGGCAAAAGAAGATACTGTTTACAGAAATAAGAATAGAAATATTAGGATTTGATTAAAAAATATGGAAAAAGAACACTTTGGCAGAAACTGTAACTAAGCAAATATATTTGGATATGACAAATTGTGTATGATATGGTCATTACTCTGTTTCAAAAAATATGTGGGTGTGTATTGGGGGGAAAATTAATGAAACTTGTTTTTTTTAAAAAAAAGAAACAAGAGAGGAAACAATATATAGGAACAGCCATATTAACAATATTTCATTAATTTAATTAAATCAGATTTTAATTTTCACGGAATTCAATCGTAAGCACAGGAATACTGGAAAGGAGAAATACTTAAAAATTGTGAGCAACCTAAAAATATAACTATTTAATGCAAAAGGCAAAACTGAGTCAATGAACATACTAATAAAATACTGTCTCACCTTTGTAACTTGCAGGTCACCAATGTTTAATTTTAGAGCACCAATGGCTGTTTTACATAGAATTACAGCTTCATCGCTGCTTTTCACCTACAATCAATATAAATGTCAAGTCAGCTGTTGTATACTGATACATCTGTATCAAACAGTAAAAATATCAGATTAAAAATCCTAAATCTGACTTCTGCCCTTTGTCTATTTTCTTAGTGAAGAAAGCATACAAGTAGATAGATCTCAGTGTGATTAATGAATCCCATAAATTAGTCATTTTTCAAATATTCAAAATATGTCTATGGAAAATAGGGTAATTGGTTTCAGTTCAAATAAGCAATTAAAATTTTTAAAGCTTACATTTATTACTGAAATACAGCTAGTTCTCATTTTATCAAACATTCGGCAACTGTTCAAATTTACAAAGATGCTGAATGAATGATAAGTTACAACTACTCCGTGAAGTTATAGTTGTTGCAACATCTCTACAGTCACATAATCAAAATTCAAGCACTTGGAAGGCCACCCACATTTACAACTGTAGCATGTTGTAACTCCTCCTACAACTCCTCCAATCTCCCTCTCTCTCTCCCATATATGTCTTTTGGTTACCCTGCTCTCTGCTGCCACCATCCATCATCTTCCTCCTGCTGTTGACAAATCATGCCTGGCCTAGGCAGTTGTTGGTCCTTCACAAAGCCTTCACAACAGTCATCTATCTTCCCCCATCTCTGCCCTTTGGGCTGCCATGCATAACCTTCACAAAGGGCCAGAGACTGCCTTGGCCAGATGTACCTCATCATGAGGAGGAAGAGGATCGTGAAGATCAGCTGGGCCAATGGAGGTACATGGTGAGTGCAGGATGGCTAAAAGGGCAGAAATGGAGGGGGAGGAAAGGCAGATGTGGGGAGGACTGAAGCAGAGGGGAGAATGGCAGGGCAGGAGAATTGTACAGTCCCTGCCTAAAGACTACCAGAACTTCTGTCACTAAGTGGCACAGCCATGTAATGTTTGCCTAACAACCACTTCGCTTAATGAAAGAAATCCTGTCCCAAATTAGGGTCGTTAAGGAAGGACTACCTGTACTATACTAGAGTAAAAGGGGATAAACCTATATCCAAAGCATACGTGCTATTTTAAGTTCTTCAAAATTAGCCTCTTCTTTGAGTTAAATTTGTATTTACCAACAAAGAAATAAAGGGAGACTAGTATAGATCTATTTCAAGCTATTTAGCTCTAAATAGCTCTATGGCTATTTAGCTAGCCATACCCTTCTGAGATTCAAACCTGGGCTTGAATAAATAGCTTGAAATAGATCTATACTAGTCTCCCTTTGTCAGTAAATATAAATGTAACACAAAAATAGTTTGTCGCAAAAGTGTCTGCCTGCGAAGGTTCCTGGATTGGGGCTGAAAGGCGAAAGCGGAAGCAGTATGCTCCGTCCCATATTTGGGTAGACCAGGTTACCCTGATAAAAAAACTTAGTCTCTTCTTTGAATTTTCCTCAAACAGAATTTTCCTTTTCTCCATTTTATACACGCAGCAATTAACACCTAAAACCCAAACAGCAACCTGCACTAACTGAAATGTGACCTGATATCAATTTATATTTTGTATTAAATTATTATTTGCGACCTACTTGTACATTGTATACCTGGCCAGTATAGCACATGTCTAAAACTATTTGAATTAATAAAAAATTATATATGACTGTCTATTGCGTTCTTTCCTTACCTTTTCGCGGGTCTTTTCCAGAAATGTAAGAGCAACATTAGGATCTAAAGAAATACATACCAGAGGCAACATTAAGGATTAGTTTAAAAATATATGCCATGCCCATCATGCATTTCAGCATTAACCCTTTAAAAATATTATGTACAATGAAACATATTAATATAAAACTTATAAAATATAATAAAATGCATTTCCACATTATTTTAAAAAGGAATGTATACAGTGAAATATATTAATATAAAACATATAAAATAGGATAAAAGAACTTCAGGCATGCTTTTTGTATCTCTTAATTGTAATTCTCTCAAATTAAAGGAAATCTATGGCATAAATAAAAGTGGATTTCTTGCATATAATTTCATCCTATACTGAAGGAACTGTAAACTCAAGATAAAATCCTACAAGTAAATGAGCAATAAAATAATATTTCAATTTCAATTGAATTGAATACTTTATTTGGCCAAGTGTGATTAAACACAAGGAATTTGTTTCCAGTACAGAAGCACTCCAGAAAAGCAACAGAAAAAAAATATCAATACATACCATTAAAAGAGGGGAGTAAAGAAGATAACAAGGATAAATAATGCTACAGCCACACTACATGGATAAATATACATAAACATTACATAGTACTGTGAGAATTGGGCATTCAGCAGAGTAACGGCATGAGGGGGGAAATGTCCATAAAAAATTGTTTTCAATCTATACTTTCAGAATTCAGCACTTAGCTTGCATATTAATACCATCTGTGAGCAAAATACTCAAGTTTGAAAATATTTTTTTGAAAATGTTCAAATAATGTTTGTTATCTTGGAATACTTTTGGAATAATCAAAAGTTGCACATAGCTATTCTAGATTTGAAACGGTTTACATAACACAAATACTCCTTTGCCGTATTTGATATAGGTATTTCAAAGTCAAGCAACATTAAGTACACACAAAAGGCTAAATATACAGATGTTTTTCCCTAACAGAATTAAAGGGTCAGATGCTACTACTTTATTGAAGGTTACTGTATACCATTCCCAGCTTCAAAATTTCAACCTGAAATTTGTTTTTAGGAAAATAATTATGTGTAAAAGGAGTTTACCTGTCATTTGCCGTACCACATGAAGAATGATTTCTACAAGGGATAAAGGGTTCACCCTGAAATAAAGAGAAATTACTATGAATCGATGAAAATAATATAGGCTTTTTAAAGTCTAGCTATATGAAAAAAATTTACCTGTGTTCAAATTCACTGATAAAGTTCTCATAAAGCTGTAAGCCAAAAGAAAAAGAAGATAATTTTAAAAACACAGAAGCACATGTTAAGTATCTACAAATATTGCTACTGAGCACTTTCTTGACAATAGAAATATATCTGAACAAAAAAAGGGAAGAGCAATGACAGTTCTATGAACAGTAAAGAGACAGGATAGGGGTGTGGAAATCTGGCAAAATCACTTTCTTCTGTCCCAGTTCTACAAAGATATGAGAGAGTATATAGCGGAAACCTACAAAATTAAAGTGTCTCATTAAATCAAGGATAGTATCCCATAATCTATCTTATTTTAGAAGTCATCCAAGTAAGAAAGTGCACCCCTATCTCCAGGCATTAATGTAATGCCCTTAATGTAAGAAAGATTCATTACATGCTGCATCAGTATCTTTAACTGAAACTTGTTAGTTATAATTCTTCGAAGACAGAAACCTAGTTTTGTGTCCCATTCTAAATGGTATCCTTTCAAGAGTTTGAAGAGTATCAAGTTCTCCAATAGCAAGGAAAAATATATCCATTTGATCCTTCACTGGATTTGTTTTCAAAATCACTATAAACTTTTTATTTTTGCTATATAACTTCTTCAGGGCCTTACTTCATTGCAGTGACATTACATGCCATTCTACAGCAATGTGAATATCTGTGTTATAACCCTAAAAAGTAAAATCAAATTACTAAAATGAAGTTCCTTTGAATATATAAATTACAGTACTGAAAACAATAACTACTCTTTGCATTTGTTGGGGATGATTCTTAAATAAGACATTCTAATTGACACAAATTTAATAATACTAGGACACATACCTTGATAAGACCATCTCCTTGAGCAAAGCAGGGATCTTGCACAAAGTCCAAAACCTGCAATGTTAGTTGGTGCCAGAGCCTGTAACATAGACAAAAGAAATAGTATCAATATTGACAAATGTATACACGAGCAAATCCAAACTGAAAATTCACTCTAACACCTATTATATATGGAATATTTGTTTGGATAATAAGAAAACTTAAATAACATTGGTTTTAAAATAATGTACCAACAGAGTATGTTGCTTAAAATAAGAAAATAACCAATAATAACAAAATAACTTCCTAGGAAAAGTCCATCATTAAGAAATATCAGGTAGCAGGTTTTCAGGGAACTTCTGCCATTTAAACAATACTGAACAAAATAGACTCTCATTACAAAATAGCTTCAATATATCCATAGTCAATACTTTACAACAATGTATGCAGGCCATCAAAATCTGGGTAGGTATGTATGTATGTATTTATGTGTTTTCAAGTCAATGTTGATTCCTGGCAGTTGCCTGGACTGCAGTTTTTGTGGCAGGAATTTTTCAGAAATAGTTTGCCATTATTTTGGCAATACCTACATGTTGGTTGAATCCCCCAGTGGAGCCCACCTGTTCTCTAATATTTGAGAATTAGTAGTCTCAAATGCAGAGCAGATAAGACCTGTACAAGGGATTGCAGAAATAGAACATCAAATGGAAATCTGCTCTGAGAGAATGGAATCTTATATGCCTGGAATATATTTTAATGTTACTTTAAAAAAAAAAAAACCCAAAATTGTTCGGAGCATAAACATTTAAATATTCTGCTCAGAGGGCAGAATCAAATGCTGTACTGGCACTACCATTAGCTGCATGAAAAGCCAGGAAATACAGAAACTAGCAACCAGCAGACACCCCCACCCCAATGTGCATTTCCAGAGTAGACCAAGTCAACAAGATCGGCCTGAAAGCAAGCAGGACATAACAGGGCAGGAAGTCTTGCCAGGACAAGTGAAGCTGCCTCGCCCAGCATGAAGAAGGGGATGAGATAGAGAGACAGGTGAGTGTCCTGTCTTAAACACACACAGCCTGCTGCGAAAAATGGGGTCTTTTTTTTTATTTGATTTATATGCCGCCCTTCTCCGGAGACTCAGGGCAGCTAACAGTGCGTTAAGCAATAGCCTTCATCCTTTTTTGTATATTTTATACAAAGTCAGCTTATTGCCCCCACAAACTGGGTCCTCAATTTACCTACCTTAGAAAGGATGGAAGGCTGAGTCAACCTTGAGCCTGGCGAGATTCGAACTTACTTTAATTGCAGACAGCTGGTGTTAAATTACAGTGCTTAGTCTGCAGAGCTATCCAGGCTCTTCAATCTCTCAATAGCTTAGCCGTTGCTTCTTGTGCTTCGGCATCTCCCGAGTAAGGCAACCCCCTTGCAGTTAGCAAAGATCTCCCCCCCCCACCCCCCCACCTCCAAAGCACCTGTTCCCCATTTCCTCCGCCCCCCTTCCCCCCGCTCTACTGAACCGATCCCCAGACTCACTTTTTATTGTAAAGCTCCTCCAGCCGGTGCCAAACGGCGGCCTGACCAGGCCCCGAGCTCTGGCTCTGCTGTAGGAAAGCTGGGACGTCCTTCATGGTAGGACCGGGAAGGGAACAACAGCACGGAAAGAACCGCCGTTCACTCCGAAGAGCAACAGAGACCGGCCCTTCTCGCCGCCGGAAATGCACACTCACTTCCGGCACTTTCAACGCGGAGCATGCCGGGTACCGTATGGCCCTGCGTAGAGTAGCCTCGCTTCAATATTCCGCCCCCGAAGAAGGATTGGTCGGTCTCTGTGCTAAGCTCTCCGAATGGTTACTTGGGAGTGTTCTTCTGAGCTGCCTTTCTCGCTCGGGCGCCCCCTGCCGGTCAGTTTGCGAAGTGACAAGAAGGCGCAGTTGGTTAGCATTGGGCAGCTGCCAGGTGGGAACGCGTCGTCGTTTCATTCCTTTCTGTCGCGTGTCGTGTCACAAGGATAGCAAGACGTAGTACGATTCATTATTGTTGCTGCCTAGGTGCGTTGACATTACTGTAGTCTCTCTTGTAGGGACCCAGGACTCGGTGGCCTTGCTGGCCATGGATCTTGGGTTCACACTCGTAGCAGAACCAGTAAATGGGCTGCCCGTCCTCCAATAAAGCTCTTTGCTGTTTTCTGTATATTCGGGCTTATTTTAGAATTGAGCAAATTAGAAAAAGTTAATGTTAGGAAAGACATTTCTATTCCGTTCTGTGTAGTTTGGAAAAAGCAGGTGGCCCTTGCATTTTAAAACAGTTTTGGGGAAAAATTCATGGTTTGTTTTAGAAAAATGCATGTGAGGAATAGTAGGAGAGAGATTTTTAAATTTTTGTTGAATTTTTTTTGCAGAGTAAAACAGTGCAACTTTAAAGAAGGAAAAGTAGGGGGGAAAGGAAGCAAAAATATATAAAGAAGTATCTTCTACTCCTTACAGCAGTTATAAATGCATTTATAATTTCTTTTCTATAGATATTGCTCCATTCTTTCCATATTCTTTATAATCGTCAAACCCATAAAATCACAAGTTCATTTTTATTCTATTTTCAGCTTAAAGTCCATACAGGATTCCAATCACAAAATGTAGTTGCTGCCTTTTCCCTAATCAAATAACTCATTTTTTGCCATCTCTGCAAATTCTGTCATCTTCACCAACCTCTATTGTGTGTGTTTCACAGTGTTTCCATCTTTGTGCATGTGTTAATGATCTTGCTGCAGATAAAAAGTGAGAACAAGATTTTGACTGGCAGAGAGTTTTTCTACAAGGCCTTCCAATCTATTTAATTAGCCAATCTTACAGTACATACTGTGTTTCCCCCAAAATAAGACCCTGTCTTATATTTTTTTGAACCCTGAAATAAGTGCTTGGCCTTATTTTCGGGGAGGTCTTATTATTTTGGGGCGCGTGGAGCAAGATGGGACTCCTCTTGCCATTGTAGCTGATTTCCAGCTCTGCGTTTTATTTAATTTAATTAAATTAATTAAATATTTAATTTTCGGGGAGGGCTTGTTTTCAGGGGGAGGCTTATTTTAGTGTACGCATTCAAAAGCCCGATTGAGTTTATTATCAGGGGATTTCTTATTTTCAGGGAAACAGGGTAGCTATATAGGTGTGCCCCTATACCTAAAGCAGTGTTTTTCAAACTTGCAACTTTAAAATTGTTGAACTTCAACTCATAGAATTCAACAACCAGCATTTTAAAGTGCCAAGTTTGGAAAAAAAGAACCCAAGGAATATTATTTATGGCATTAATCTTATTGGTTTTCTAAAATACAACTTTTGTTCATACAGCTGTGTTGATAATTTTAGTAAACTCCGCTTTTTGGAAGGAATTTTGTTTCCAGAAATTGAGCCTTTCCACTTTACTAAGTTAAAACTCTATCCATCCATCCTTAAGCTGACAGAAAAATATACCTGCATGGGATCTGCTATCCCTATTCCAGTCCCAGTTTCTGCCAGTCACCTGTCTTGCTTCCAGAACTGTTTTAAATATCTTGATGCTGCCCTTAGTTGGTCTTGGAATAAGAAGATAAATGTTCCTTTTGACAGTGGTACAGTTTAGGAAATTTTAAAACTATCTCACAGTGTGGGGATAAAGGCAATATTACAGATGCAAGTTTCTACTAGTTAGTTGAAAAAGGGGATATGGTTTTAGTCATGTAGGTTTCAGTGAATCTTGTCTAAGTGAAACTGACTAGAATTCATCCTGTATTTTTTTGTATGGAAATGTAGCCACTTGTTGTGATAGAGGGATGGTAGAGGACAGGAAGGCCTGGAGAAAGGGATGGTAGAGGACAGGGAGGCCTGGAGGAACGTTGTCCATGGAGTCGCAATGGGTTGGACACGACTTTGCAACTAACAAGAAGCCACTTGTTAAAATTATTTAAAATTTTGGTTTTAAGTTTGTGGTGCTTAGTCAAAAAAATCTGATGATTACAGAATTATATAATGGCTAACACTGGAAATTTAAGCTTAAAGTTCCACCGAGCAAGTAACTTAATTATCACTATACTTAGAGATATTTACTTTTTTCCCTAGTGTTTGCTGTATGTGTATTTGGTTGGTTTTCCATATGTTTTTCTTCTTGTTCAAAATTAAATAGAAAAGATGACTATGAACACTACTAAGGGAATAAATATACTCCTTTATATATGAAGAAGGGGGATAATACCCAATAACATTTTATATCATCTGAGCATTAACAGAATATTTTATGTTTTGTCAGTTTTGCCTTGCCTTTTATACTTCCATTTTCCTAACTATAGCAATGTAGAACAATGCCAATTTTCTTAATTCATGCTAAGATCTTTATTATATGCATCACATTCTGGCAAATGGCAGAACATTTCAGTTACTAATTCCCTCAGGTAACACAAACATTTGCTTAGTTTTTAATTTTACATTTACCTCGTGTCGTAGCTGTGCTTTCATATTGTACAACTTCTACCATTTCTACTGAAAGGCTGATTAGCATTGTCAGCTGTAATGAAAATGATTGGTAGCAGTGACTGTTAATAACGCAACTCTCCAAAAGGTGATTAGTAGTGAAGGCAGTGTTGATAACAACTAATACATGATTTAACTGATTTTTACTAAATCACAATTTATTGGCTTATTAATCATGCATTAATTCTTATGTTTTATATGTATGCTTATCCTTTATATATATATTTTAAATATTTTTGTTTTCACAATTATTAACTCTTTGTAGTCTACCCTTTCTATTAAGACCATAATAAAGATTTGAAAAGAAGCTGTAATCACATTAAGACTTAGCTTAGTGAGTATATCTAAACTAAAATTTTGAGGCATCTAGAAAATCTTCTAGTTCAGAATCAAAATTAATTTCATATGTCAATCAATGAGTTCTGCAATAAATCAACATTTGAAAGGAACCATATATGAGAAGCAGTGTTGTGTTTTCTTCCTCAGTTCTCATATGGTGATGGGATTCAGCAGCCCCCAAACTGAATATACCAGGTGAGTTAAGCAGGCAGTTTTTCACATAGTGATGTGCCAAGTAATAAAGAGCTTTATAGGTAAAGACCAGCTCTTTAAATTTTATGTGGAAGCCTACTAAAGCCAATGCTGTTTTTATACTCCATGTAAAGTAAATGATTGAAGCAAGAGGTATGCTTTGGGAGAAAAGGCAAAATCTCCTTTGGATTGAGCTCAATTCCTGGTGATTTCATGGGCAAAGTCATATACTTTGTTTAGAAACATATAGACACGGCAAGGGGAAATGGGACTGGCTGGATGCCATTTTTTTACATTCTCCCCTTGGTTAGGTAAAAGAAACATTGGCTGATTTATGTTAGTTTTTTAGTATTTCAAGATTGACTGTAGTGAGAAAAAATAGGGGTGGGTTTGAAGATGTTTCTGATGATTTTGGGGAGTGAAAGCAGGAGCCTTTTGGGAAAGCTTACATTCACCAAGGTCTACCCCAAAACACATCTTACCTCCTACTCCAACCCTCACTATTGCCTTGCCTCACCTGTAGCAGGTCCTTCGTCTTGAAAGAGAAATGATGGGGCACAAGCAAAGCAGAGCAATGCCCATTCTACAGGTTTTCACATTGGATAGAAGGGAGGCTATAACCATTTCAAACACCAGAGCTGTTTTGTGGCATAAGTGCTGCTGCGTTTCATTTCTGTTCTTATTTTTTCAGAGGTTTAGTAAGAGAGTAGTAGTGGAATCAATCACACTATTATTATACTATGCTCAAATACTGATAAAATAGGCTGTCATTGGTCCTTCTATTAGGAACATTGTGGTAAACAGTGTTCAGCTGTGCTTCCTGGCTCAAGATAATTGAAAGCAAACAGAGCTATGCTGCTTTGCCCTATGTCCTAAATTAGTCGTTAGATCATAGCCACTGACTAAATAATGCCAGGCTTTTATCAGCCCCTATAAAAACAATACTTTAAAAATCACTTCTCTTGGTTTTCTGATTTAGGACTAGGCCACTGAAGGGAAATGAACTGGAGAATGCATTTCAGAGTCTCTGCAAGGAAAACTGTGCTTCAGACTGCCAGTTTACAGAGATTAATTGGTAAGTCTCAGACTGTTTCAGGTAGCTCGCTGGATCTGGGAAAAGCATATCGGAGTTTAGAAAGGCTATGGAGATTTGTGACAGTAGGTGGACAAATATATGGGAGTTAATATATTATGAACAACAAAGGGAAAAGTTGAATATAGGAAACAATGCTGTTAGGATCCTCATCTAGTCACTAGGAATAAAGCTCAATTTACTTATTTTTACATTTTATTGCATAAATTGTAAGCAAATGCAACATATAATAAACAATGATAAAACTATTCCCATATGGCAAGCATTAACCATGTACAATTTTGTTTTGCTGAGCTAAATTATTTGTCATTCCTCTACAAAATGATTCTTCACTTTCAATATTTTCCCCAAAAATGTTTTTTAATAATTTTTAGGATGGAAGTCTCTGGATCTCTGGATGTATGCCCAGCATCAGCATTTTGGAAATTCTTCCAGTCTGACAGCCAGCAAAAATCTTTCCTTAATTCCATTCAGATCTGCCCTCTGCTTTCCTCATGGAAAACATTTGCTGCAGAAGACTTCAGAAAGTAACTTAAAAAATACAACAGACTTGTCTGGGATAAGGTAAGGCCTTGATATCCTTTGTGTAAATATTCTTTAACATGAAATTCTATTAAATCTTATTTAACAGTAAGGCTCAGTAAAACTCAGGAGATTTTTGACTGTTTGTTATGAGCCTATAATAAGCTACCTTTCAGGTTCAAAGTTCTCATTCTCATGATAGTTTTATTGCTGGCAGAAGGAAAGGATCCAGAGGACACTTTGTCTGTTTGGTATTAGACTAGAAAGCATGTAAAAAGCTATTCTCTGCATAAAATGATATATATTTTAAAATGTCATTAACTTAATATAAAATACTTTTAAGTATTCCAATCCATAGGTAATAATACAATGTACAGTTATCAGGCATACAATTTAAAAAGATTTTTTTTTAAAAAAAAATTAAAATTATTTAAACTAATGTAAAAATATTTTTTGTTATAAGGACAAAATCATCCCCATTTAATGATACTGTGGAGGACATGTTTATGATGTTGGGTTGCAGTCAATCTCCAGAGTATTTTTCAGAGCTGTCTTCTGTGTTTTCCATAAGAATTCAGTTTTATGGGAATCAGGGTAGAATCCTTCTTTTTCAGATCAGGTTCTAAATATTTGGCAAGTACAGCAGAATAAGTTGGTCAGGAGAACAGATAGCATGAGATACCTTCTACATTGCTTTTCTGACAGAGACAGACTTGTCAGCAGGGTAAGACTTTTAGGAGAATGGCTGTCATTTTTGGCCAATGCCATTTCTTGTGCTTGAAATTGTGTTAGTGCTGATTGGAGGGAAGTTACAGTAATATATTTCAGATGTTGCCTCCATTCAACTAAGTATTTTCATACTGCATATCAAAGTCCAACTTTTTTGTTAGCAATTAAACTTTAATCAGCTTTAATCCTGCAGATACAGTATATCTAATACCCTGCTCTTGAAAGTCTATCAAAGCGTCCCCAGATGCAAAAAAAATAAAATAAATAAATCTTGGTGAATACCACGTTTTACATAACATGTAAAAAGTGCTTTTCTGTGTAAAAAGTAGAAGCTAGCAAACATATACTATATGAGAAATGATGCCATTGATTGTCCGTTTTGGCCTTAACTTTAAATGGAATTATCTAATAATTAAAAACACTCCGTTCTCCATTGAACCTAATGGTGCAAATATGCCCAATAAGGTTTTTTTCCCCTACTATATCTCCATGGTATTGCTTCAGCTTGACTTAAGTCCATGAATGAGAAAGCCCTAAGTCATCCTTGGCTGAACTGATGGTGTTTTTCACTTTACCTTGGCATGGTCCAAGGACAATCTGTATAAAATTTCTTAAGCCATATCGTCCTTTATCAAGGAAGTCAAGCGATTGCAATTATTTGAATGAGAGACAATAGGAACTGGTAATGGGAACAGAAAGCTCTATGCTAGTATAATTTTTTTTCAGCTAAAGGCTGGGTAGATCTGGGTAGAGATTGCTTTAACTCTGCATCAAGGGAAGAGGAAAAGCTCATGCTGATCCTTTTCTGAGTAAATTAGATAACAATCCATGGATGGGTATGCCTATAAATCATGGATTGGACTGGAATGTTGGTTCTTATTTTTTCCCTTATAAATGTGCTTCTTTATAATCTAAAGCAGGGGTGTCAAACTCGTGGCGTCACATTGTCACGTGACATATCACAACTTTTTTCCCCTTCACTAAACCAGGGGTGGGTGTGGCCAGCATGTGACGCATCTGGTCCGCGGGCCATGAGTTTGACACCCCTGATCTAAAGCATACTTACTGATAATGTTTGCTGCAGGACCCAGGGAGTAAGGTTCTTGTCCCTATCCACATTCTCAAGAGTGTTTTTTGGAATTGGCCAAGGAGGAAATAATGGTGGAAATAAGAAGCTGAGCCTAAGAGATGTGATGGAACGCATCCGGAAGAAAGAATGCCATAGGATAGTAGTGATGGCTGGAGCAGGACTCAGTACCCCGAGTGGGATTCCAGATTTCAGGTACTGTATGGAACTAGTTATATGGCTTTGCCAGCTTTAACCAAATAAGCATCCACCTCACCAAGCCACAAGGATGGTTATCCATGAAACCTGTTTTCAGTAGGTGTCACACTGTCACATAACTTTTATCATGTGTTAAATATCAGCGGCTCAAATAGGGTATTTTTTTTGGAACTGTAGAGAAATGTCAGTGTAATTTTTCTGCCTCTCCCAACACAGAGCCTTGTTTCCTTGGGCTACATGAAATGTCATACCTTCAAGAGTTTCTTTAGAGGTTCTCAAGAATGATTGTGTTGCTAACAATAATGTTAGTATTATTGACCAAGAATCATTCGGCCTTTTACTTTCCTTTTTTCATTTGATCTTGCTATTCTAAGACATTAACACACTTCCTATTTATTTATTTAGTGTTCAACTAGATTTGATTATGTGCTTATTTCAGAAACATTTTCAGAACTGGTTTAGCATTGTCATTTTCTTAAGGTTGAGAGCAGGGGTGAAATGTAAAAATGTTTGCTACCGGTTCTGTGGGTGTGGCTTGATGGGTGTGACTTGATGGTCATGTGACTGGGTGGGTGTGGCCAACTTGACATCATTCACTATTAGAGCCAGGAGCTGCACATTTTGAAGCACATTCTGCCCTTCTGAAGCCCCCAACGCTTTGTTTCCTTCCACCACCCAAGCGAACATCTTTTCTTGCAGAAGCAGAATCCAGGCACAGAAATGGAAAAGGGGGGGATGGGGAGGAGAAAGTGTAATTATCAGAATCCAGATATAGAAATGGAAAGGGGGGGGGAATGGGGAGGAGAAGGTGTAAGAAGATGTTTCCTTAGATCACTGACGCTCCCAACAATGAGTTTGGCAGCAATCTAAGGAAACATCTTCCAGCTCTTCAAGATCAACTTTAAGCCAACAGCAAAAGTAGTGGTGGCGGGGTGGGGGCAACAGGGGCATGTGTGTGTGTGTCCGTCCTTCCCTCCGCAAGAACTTAGAGGCAAACCCTCTGAGGAAAAGAGGCGGCAAAGCCCTGGCTGTCACCTGGGAGAGGAGGACCACGGAGGGACACAGACACACACACACACGCCCCATCGCCCCCGCTGCTGCTACTTTTGCTGTTGGCTTCTTGGCAAGTCGATCTTGAAGAGTTGGAAGACACTTCCTTAGATCACTGATGCTCCGAACAATGAGTTTGGCAGCGTGGAAGGCAGGCAAGCATGGCAGGCCTGCTGGGAAGGGAGTAAGCTGCTAGTTCCCTTCCCCACAGCCCTGCCATACTTGCCTGCCTTCCACGTGGCCTTACACTTGCCTGCCTTCACAAGCTGGCCACGGGAAGGCCGCATGGAAGGCAGGCAAGCATGGCAGGGCTGCGGGCGGTGGTCTGGTTCGGGGACATGGCCAGGCAGCAATTGCTACCGGTACAGCGAACTAGCCCCAATCTCCGCTACCGGTCCTCCCGAACCGGTAGCATTTCACCCCTGGTTGAGAGGGAGTGACTGGCCCAAGGTTATCCAGCTGGCTTACTATGCTTACATCAAGACTAAAACTCATGTTTTTCCCATTTGTGATCTAACACTTTAGCCCCCAGATCAAACTGGCCTGAATTTATAAATTAGTTGCAAATTAAAAATCTTTTTTTACAGTTGGTCCTCACCAATAGTAATTGGGACAGGAATTTGATTGCTAAATGACATGGTTATAAAGTGCAATGTCACATAATTGTGCTGATTTACAATGGCAGTTCCAGTAGTCATTGTCATTAGGTGAATCATACGTGACGGTCATGTATTTGCCATTAGTGGCCTCTTGCTGGCTTCCTCATTGACTTTGCTTATGGAAGCCATCAATGAAGGTTGCAAACCACAATGATTTGGCCATGAGATGCTGCACTATCATAAGTGCAAGCTGGTTGCCAAGCACTTGAATTGCTGTCATGTGTGTGCAGGAATGTTGCAACAGCTGCAACTAGAGAACCCATTATAAATACCCCTTGTTCACTGTAATTTTAAGCAATTGCTGAGCAAGTGAATGTTACACAAGGACTACCTGTATATGAATTCATTTTACCAGGTAGGCCAGTCATTTCTGTTGTCTCCAGTGATGCTATTGGAATGTTGTGTTGCCTGTTGCATTTGGTAACTTGTGGATAGCAGCAGAAACCAATTAAATATCTGCTGTCGCTGTCTTAAAGTTGGGTGAGGTGAGCTTCTTCCTTAAAGCAAATCCAACCTATCGCATGCTCATTAAAACCCACATACATGCAAAGTAAAATATGTCTGGGAGAGGTAAATTTATTAGGTCCAACAGATGTTCTGTATTTTGTGGTGACTTCTTGGGATAATTTTTTTCTTGTCAAAATACTTCTAACTTGGAACATTCTAGATGTAATTGTTTTGTTCTGAGTGAAAAATAAAATGCATTTACCACTTTCCTTTCCTTAGAACTCTAATCATGTTGATTTCTTGGATTAGATATTTCAGTACTGTACCTAGGTATTTCTCTGGTTAAGGCTTGGTGAACTTGGTTTCCTGGCCTATCATTATTCTAATTTTACTCTACTACTCTTTTTGCAGGTCTCCTGGGAGTGGGCTATACAATAACCTTCAGCAGTATAATATTCCATACCCTGAAGCCATATTTGAACTTAGCTACTTTTTCCAGAATCCCAAGCCTTTCTTCAGGTTAGCTAAGGAGTTGTACCCTGGCAATTACAGACCAAACTATGCCCATTATTTTCTTCGACTTCTGTTTGACAAAGGGCTCCTTCTGCGCCTCTACACACAAAATATTGATGGGCTGGAGAGAGGTGAGCCACTTGCTACTGGCTCTGAGAAGATAAATTGAAAGCAGATTACACAGCAATAATATTTGTGGTGATGATGAGGGATCATCCATTTTAAATATCTTTTGAGTTGGTGAAGAGCTTGACCAAATCTTATCTTCCTGCTTGTGTGTTCTAGTTGCTGGGATTCCTCCAGATAAACTAGTTGAAGCTCATGGCACATTTGCTTCTGCTACATGTACTGTCTGTCGAAGAACATATTCAGGAGAGGATTTCAGGGTAAGCCACAATGCAGCAGATAACAGCACTCCAGGAATAGTACAAGTATTACATGTATCATTTTTAATGCAAATGTACAGTGAGCCTGCTTTTGTTGATTCCAGGCCTCCAGAAAGGTAACATTTCAATCAGTGGTGAAATATAAAATTTGTTACTACCAGTTCTGTGGGCGTGGCTTGGTGGGAGGTAATGTGACTGGGTGGGCGTGGCCAACTTTTTTTTTTTTTAACTTTTAAAAGCATTTTTTCTACAACCTCTTTGGCTGAACAGGTTGTAGAAAAAAATGCTTTTAAAAGGCTATGGCGATCCCAGGTGAGCTGCGCGATCATCAGAGGCTTTTTTTTTTTTACTTTTAAAATAATTTTTTCTACAACCTCTTTGCCCGAAAAATGCTTTTAAAAGTAAAAAAAAAAAGCCTCTGATGATCTCGCGGCTCAGCTGGGCATGGGGGGGGGGGCAGGGATTTTTGCTACCAGTTCTCTGAACCACCCACCACCATCGCTACCAGATCAGGCGATCCGGTCTGAACCGGGAGCATTTTACCCGATTTCAATCCTTGAAAGCCTTGTCCTACTAGAACACCAGCCAGTGGAGATATCTGCTCCTCATCCTTACCCACACTTCATAGGGAGCATCTCCCTTACCCCACATCTCTCATGACACAATCCGAGATCATCATCTTTTCTCACGTATCAGTGAAGTTAGCAGTGTGATTTCTCCAAAATGCAAAGCAGACATTGATAAGACAAAGACAACCAGCCACTAATGCTCCTCCAGTTCTTAGCTTTTTCCTGGCTGCTCCTATTCATAGGCTAGGCCTCCTTCCACTGGCCAGGCTAAAAAATCACAGTTGCTGCCAAACTCGCTGGCTCCTCTTTTCAGGTGGATCCACGTATTTCGACTAGATCCTAGATCTTTGCTTCAGCAGGCTCATAGGATTGCCTTTGCTTTTATTGCAGTTTTGGTGTGCGCTGTCATCAGTTGTGATGTCAGTCTTGTGGCTTGTGCTGCCTGATTAGGAATTTATATTCCTATTATCTGATTTCATTTCAGGGGGATGTGATGACTGACAAAATTCCCAAATGCCCTGTTTGCAGTGGAGTAGTCAAGCCTGATATTATATTCTTTGGAGAAGAGCTTCCTCATCGGTTCTTCTTGCATTTGACAGATTTTCCTATGGCAGACCTGCTTTTTATCGTTGGAACCTCCCTTGAGGTCTGGCTATTATGAACATGGGAAAGAATAAGAGATGGGTTTTTAAGACAAAGTGATTCAGAGACTCTGGAGAACAGAGAGAAAAGCCATGAGAAGTCAAGGGAATGGAAGGGTGGCAGTTCAGCAATCAACAAAAGAGATGGGAAGGAATTTCAGAGTTTTAAGTTCATTATATTGTAGAACAGGGGTGTCCAACCTTGGCCACTTTAAGCCCCGCGGACTTCAGCTCCCAGAATTCCCCATTCTGGCTGAGGACGTCCATGAGTCTTAAAGTTGTCAAAGTTGGATACCCCTGCTGTAAAGCCTTAAGAATTCATTATCTTCAGCTGTCTTCCCCTATATGAATAATATTGCAGGCCACCTTGCTAGGAGGTTTCACTCAAAATATATTTTAAAGACTCTTAGGAAAATCAGCATACAAATAAAAGTACTGTATCATCATCTTAAATCTTGACAGTACCATTTTTAATACCCTGTGATTTGTGCACGGCTCATATGGAGTGGGCATATTCAGATGTTTGGTGTGAGCTTTCAGTTAGCATTTGAAGATGTATAACAATTTTTTTTCTTAGAAAAAATACCCTAAAGTGCAGCAATTTTTACTTTGCAAGAGAGACAACTCCGTACACTCTCCTTTCTAATGCTTTATTTTAGGTGGAGCCCTTTGCTAGTCTGGCAGGAGCTGTCCGTGGTTCTGTGCCCCGTGTTCTGATCAATCGAGACCTGGTGGGGCCATTTGTGGTCCGGTCACAGCACAATGATGTAGCTGAACTGGGAGATGTAATCAGTGGAGTGGAAAAAGTGGTAGAACTGTTAGGCTGGAAAGAGGAGTTACAGGAACTAATAAAAAAAGAAAAAGAAAAGGTAGGTCATTTTGATTTGAAAACTTTGCCTCTTGCACTCTTTTTATTTTGCTGGCTGGAGTTATGAAAACAATACAATTAAGGATAAGACTTTAACTAATATAGACTACGCAGTTATTTTATCCATCATAGTCATATAGGTTTATTTTTCTTGCATTTGTTATAGCCACCCAATTCCATGGGATGCTATCATTTTCCATCTTATATAACTCAAGGGAAATGACTATGTCACCTGTCCTTTGTGACTATTTATTGCATTTTATTATTTATTTCAGTAACATTTGCTTTCTCAGAGTGAAATTTGAGATTTGGAAACAATAAATAAAATTATAATTTGGGTATTCCTTGCATATCAAACACTCATTCAATAACCAAAGTTGCAGTAGAACTGAATGAAAGATACTTAAGATAGTTCCTCTAATTTCCTGCCATCACAGCACCCTAGAGTCACATGATTGTTATTTGCTTGCCTGGCAACCAGCTCATACTCACAAAAGTTGCAGCATCCTGCAGTCATAGGATTGCCATTTGCAACCTTCCCTACAGGTTTCTCAGAAGCAAAGGCAATGGGGAGTTGGCAGGGAAGGTTCTGGTCAGTCTCCCACCTTCTGCTCACTGCACCACACCCTTCTTTTGGTTTCCCTGCCCTTGTATCAACCTGTACCTTTCTTCCCTCTGTGTCCCTGTACTCGTGTGAACCTGTGCCCCCCCTTCCCTTGGCCTCCCTGCACTCGCAATGTACCATAGCACACTCCCAACTCGTGCAGCCTGTGCCAATTATGTAAAATGAGCATCACTCTGTTTTGAGAGAAGGCCGCACAGACATATGTTAAACATATTTTGTCTGACAACCCAGAATGATATGATGCAAAATGTCAGTACATTCTGCTCAGGTTTAGGTAAACATAAGTGTGGTTAAAATTGGTTCTTCTTTGTACATTTATTTTACCATTTGGCAATGGTAATGTTTTTGTTTAACTAAATACAGTCTCTACTTCATCACTTTTTCTTTGGGGGGGGCGGGATCTCAACAGTTGGTGTGGGTTGTAATCCATGTTTTTTGTGTTTTCAGCTGGATATAAAGGAGAAATAGAAGTGTATTCTCTACTTTTGGACAGATTTAACTCCTCAAAAAGTAACGTATGCCTCAGCCAAAGGTTATAATGATAAATTCACAGATTGGGGTGAAAAGATGGGTTTTTTTGTTCACCTAATAGGTAACGGTAAGAACTATCTGGAGATAGTAATTTAATTCCTTGGACATTTTTGATGTCTCAGAGCAGGGCATGTTCTCAAGCCTCTTCGGGACATGAAAATAAAATAATTTGATGAAGACTAAACCTTTGGTCCCGGTGACCAACCCAGATTGGATCCTGCAAATAATTTGAATTTAATTTTCTATGAAGATAAGCTGTAAACATTTTCAATGTAGCTGCTACCTCCCTTTTAGAAGGCATTAATTTTCTCCCATTTTTTTTTTTTTTTTTACTTTTCCACTTGGATTATTTCTGAGTCATTTAAAAAGTATCACAGATCTGAGGTTTTAGTCAGAGCCTCAACAAGAGTATTATTTCATTCATACTGAATCCACGATTTTCTACCCACTCGGAAGAAATCAATATTGGGAGTGGTTTTTTATCAAAAAGTGAATTCCAGCTTTATTTATCAACGTGTAAAGAAAAAGTTCTTAAAATAATGTGTATATTAATTCGCAGATATCACTTATGTATCTTGAAAAGATCATTTGTTTATGCGTCAACATTTCTAGTAAGAAACTAGCACATACAGGAATGCTATACTGTAGCTGCTGGATGAATGTGTAGCATTTGCAACTACAGTTCAATTTAAAGCAAAATAAAATTATTTTAACAATAGCTCAGTATTTCTTTTGACTAATTAAAGCTTTTATTCTCTGACCTTGATTTTATTTAATACTTATATTTCAAAAAATCCTTATAATTTGGTTACATCAATCCATCAAACCATTCAACCATTATTTGAATCCATTCAGCAGATTCAACATCAGTTAACTAATTTCCTGTTTATCCTCCTCTTAAAAGAGATAGTGGTGTGCCTTTTAAGCGTTTTTTGTTTCATTTTACAGTAGTCATTACAATAAGTGAAGAGCTATTCAGAAATTTGTTGATAGACTACAACTCTCAACAGCCATAGCCAAAATAGGCTAAGGTAAAAAAAAAATGATTTGAAATGTAATCCAGCAAAATCTGAGGAAAGTCACAAATTCCCCTTTCCTGCCTTGTTATCTTCGTAAACTGTGACTCTGGAGGCCTCCGCCGGTCCCGTTTTTGCCCTCCCCGGCGTCCAGAAACACTCTGCAGGCCAAAAATGGGCCTATTTTTGGCCTGCAGAGCTTCTGGATGCGGGGGAGGGCAAAAATGGGACATGCAGAGGCAAAAAACTATTTTTTGTTCTTGTTTTCCTCCTCTAAACCTAGGTGCGTCTTATGGTCCGGTGCATCTTATAGTCCGAAAAATACGGGTAATTAATGAAATTGATATTTTGTTCTTCCCTTATCAACTCAATATTGTCTTGACTGTAATATTCCTGTAAATGGAATCATCCACATTGATTTTAACTATGCCTTACATCTTTTATAAATATCCATCTGTTTTTAAGAATCATCACCCAAATAATTATAGACAAAAGTTCACATCTTGGTATTGGAAGGGTTTGTTTATTCCAATGAAAATTTTTAATTTACATTTGTGCTAAATTTTGAAATGCTAGTAAAATGAAAACAAGCTGGGAAATGGAATTTCTTTCTAAACCAGGAAGTTTAAATTCAGGTAAAGGATAAAAGTAACCTGTGAATGCAAAATGCTATCGAAATACAGAAAATAAAGCAGATAATTTATGGAAATAAAGCAGTCTTTTGTCTCAACAGTACAATGAGCAATGTTATTTCAGACAACTAAACTTGTAGGAAGAGGAACACAAATGTAGTTACGACTGAAAAGATCAAAGTCCTACTGCAAATACTGTATATGTACTTCATTGTGGACCAAATACATCTCTGTATTTCCCATATATTCCCATATTTTATTTTGTGTGGTAATTTTATTAAACATTACAATTAAAAATTTAAATGTTAATGCAAACTAGGAAAAAATAAAAATGTACAGAAAAAATCGTGCAGAAAACAGAAAAGAAAAAACGTAAGGAAAATAAATATAAAGAAATGACTCCCCTTCCTTTATCACATGCATAAACAATTTTAATCTTTTTATCTTCTCTTAAAATACAAATTATCTCTTACTAGATCTCATCTCATCTATAAACAAATCCTTAAAACTTCATTACTGATCAACAAAAGTCCATTAAGCATTACCAGAGATGTTTATTTTAACTTGATCAAATAAACCAACTTTATATTTCTACCTTTTATTTTTAACAAACTTGATTTTTAATCCCTTCAAATAATGTTTTAGAACTTGGTTCTTTTTCTGTCTCACAATTATTCTCACAAAATTCTTCAAAATTTTAACAAGTCTCTGGTAAATCCAATATAGGGTAGATATCCAGATCATTTTTTTCATTTGTTATTTGTATATCCAGTGTAGCATTTTTTTTCCTATATCACTTGTGTAGCCTATTACTTTTAGGTCATCTCAGTCTTATCCAGGAAAACATGTTCCTCTTCCATAACGTCTTTTAAACACCGTCTATTTATAACAGCAGACATTCTGAAAATTAACTTTTGTGCTATTGTTCACAAATATCCCTCAAAAAGTTTAATCTTACAGTATTTTGTTCCACTCTATACTAGTAAATCAAGTTTAAATGTCCTTTAATTGTAATTTTCAGTTCCTTCTGGCATCCAATTTTTAAAATGTTTGCAATGTTGTGTTAAAGAATTCAAAAGGACAGCATTTTCCCTGGGGAAGAATTCTTATAATTTCAGATTTTTATTTCAAATTTATCTGGCGTATTGCTCCGTTTGTAACTTTCCAAAATCAATGTTCTAATCATTTTTTTGCAATTTAATTAGAAAGTTTTTTTTTAAACTCCTTAAACTTAACCCGTTTTGCTAAGGATTGAACTAAATTTACCCATTGCTGTAAAATCTGTTGTTCCAAGGATTCTGAAAACAGTAAGGAATTTCCAATTGATTAAAAAAGGAAATATGTGAACCTTGTGTCCAAAAGGACGTGAACTACGGTTTGGATGAAGATAGTGCTCTCTCATCTTCCAAAGCCCTAAACCTGCTGGACTCTTCATGAGGAGCAACTGTCTGGACCATGTGTGGGCAATCCCAAGTCCTTTCTTATCTGGAGAGGAATCCAAAAAAGTTGGTCCACTTGCTGTCTCTTCATTCCACTGTAATTGTTGGCTCCTCTGTCTTTAGCTCCTCATTTCTTCCCTGGAAATTCTACATTCCCATATTTATTTAAACATACTTCCTTGCACCTACCTACACACACACACGCACTCATACTTTCAACAATGGCTCTTTCGTGAAGATTTCCAACCATCCTTCAAAGGTAAAGGTTCCCCTTGCACATATGTGCTAGTCGTTCCCAACTCTAGGGGGTGGTGCTCATCTCCGTTTCAAAGCCAAAGAGCCAGCACTGTCCGAAGATGTCTCCATGGTCATGTGGCCGGCATGACTAAACGCCAAAGGCACAGGGAACACTTACCTTCCCATCAAAGGTAGTCCCTATTTTTCTACCTGCATTTTTTACGTGCTTTCGAACTGCTAGGTTGGCAGAAGCTGGGACAAGTAACAGGAGAGCACCCCATTACGTGGCACTAGGGATTCAAACCGCTGAACTGCTGACCTTTTGATCAACAAGCTCAGCATCTTAGCCACTGAGCCACCACGTCCCTTTCCAACCATCCTGAAGGTGTTCTAAAAAGGAACGGTATGCAACTACATTGATTGTCACACAATACATTCATAAAAATGCACACTTTGTTCACACATTTTCATAATATATTTCTAGACATGTATATTATACATACACATTCATATTTGCCTACATTTCCCATAACACAGTTTTTAAATGTTGTGCTTGGCCCAGAGATTAACGTAAATCCCTAATTCATACAATTTTTTCTCCCTAAACAATTGACTACATGTATGTACCCTTAGTGTTTCATGTGTTATAAGCTCACTTGAAACCACCCTCTCTTGCATCCTTGCCAATCTGCTGGAAAATCTTTGGAATGCATCAGAGGGTGAGACTCTTAAACAATGAGGAGAAAAGACAGTCAGAAAGACAAAGCTATAAAAAGCTTTCAACAGAAGTGCTGTAGGGCTGCCGAAAGAGAAATCAGATGGATGTGGGTGGAGGAATCTAAGCCATCGAAAGTCTTTTTCCAGGTGTTTGTATCAGAAGATCAGTCCTGATATAGAGAGACAATAGCAGGTCCATAGACTTGTGAGAAATAGAGGAGGATGACTCAGTCTATTTCCAAATCAGAATCAGATGATAACCTCTGCTCAGCTATCTGATGAACAGCTTCATCCAGGGAGGTTACATTGACAGAGCTTAAATTGCCATCAGGATCCAGGCCCATAGGTCTGATGATTTGCTGTCTTCAAAGGAGAAAAAGAAGAAATTGCAGGGATGAAAAAAAAGTGGTTTCACCCTAGAGAAAAGCCTGCCACGAAATGTCTTCTGACAAGTGAATATAATGAAGTGTTCATTCATCAATTTAAGCCCTGAAGATCTTGTGTGAGGATCTAAATCCTTTTATTAAAATTGAAAGAAAATATTACTCCTAATAAAAACAATTCTAAAATTTCCAGAGATTGATCCACAATGTATGTACTGGGACTGGTTTTGCTAACTGACATTTTTTGAAGAAGGTATGAAACTTCAAAATATTCTAAACAGACACTTTGAAATGTAATTGCTGTTGTTTTATATGAAAAACTCTATTTCAGGTTTCAAAAAAATGTAAGACAGTGTCTTATTTTCAGGGAAACATGGTATCATACATGTTTATATGAACTTTATATGAAATATTTTCATTGAAACCTGAAATAAGCGCTTGGCCTTATTTTCGGGAAGGTCTTATTATTTTGAGGTACGTGGAGAAAGATGGGGCTCTTCTTGCCGTCTTACCTGATTTCCAGCTCTGCGTTTAAATATTTTCGGGGAGGGCTTATTTTCGGGGGAGCCTTATTTTAGTGCATGTGCTCAAAAGCCCGATTGGGCTTATTATCAGGGGATGTCTTATTTTCAGGGAAACAGGGTAACTATTACAAACTGTCCTGGATAATTTTACTGAAGTTTGAAGGCAAGGCACCACCTCAGCCCCTTTCAGTGCAGAGATTATAGTAATACAGGTAAATGAAGAAGAAGAAATCAATCTCTTCAACCATCCTCTGGGCTCACAGTTGCCTTCAGACATTTCTTCCAATGTTAATAGAACTCTCAAACTAAGTTGCAAATTAGTTCAAAGAAAATGAAATAAGTTGAAATAGCTTGTCTGAATCCATTGTGATTTTGTATCTTAGAGCTTTTGATTTAACCAACTGCTTTCTTTCAGCCTGTTTGCCTATTAACAATCCATTTCTGAATAATTATGCTGAATCATTTAGTACCTGGAGAGTTTGTCAAACATGTTCACCAGTTTCATTGCCTCAAGCTCCTTCTGTTCATCTGTCATCCCTTCCATTGGATTGGGAAGCTTTTCCTCCACACGTCCAGTAATAGGATTAATGCTAAATAGTTGAATCACATAGTAACCCAAAGAAAAGAAGGTAGAATATATGAAACACAAACAATTAATCAACAAATCCAATTCTTCATTATTTTTTCAGGAAGGTAACTATGGTCAGCTTTCCCACTCGTAAAAATTAAAAGGGCACAGGGACTTGGAAGATATGATAAACATATCAAAATTTATATCACATATTCCCTTGGATGTTGTTTTTTAACGGATAAGAATAAAAAGGTATGGCGAGTAGCCTAAAAATATAACTCTAATATTCATTTGATTAACACAAATACATGCTACTAAAATGAAGAGCAACTATATGGAATATGCAGATAATGATGTGTTTCTCTCCCCAAAACATGTCCATTCCATTATTCTTAATTCAGTTTTGTCTATCAATTTTCTGTTACTAGTCTTGCTTCTAAGGTTACAAGGAAATTCCCAATTTAATAACAGTACATCTTACATAGAAGAGTTTCCTTTCTAGACAATGTATTTAAATGTACAATAAATGTGTGCAGAAAAATTGGGAGTAAGGTGAAGCAGGAGGGAAACATATATTGCATTATATGTTTCCCTCCTGCTTCACCTCTTCCAATTTTAGAATAAGATGTAATTAAAAATTGAAGAGCCTTGGTAGTACAGTGGTCTAAAGCACCCTGTTATTAAGACCAGCTGCCTGCAATTACTGCAGGTTCGAATCTCGCCAGGCTCAAGGTTGACTCAGCCTTCCATCCTTTCTAAGGTAGGTATTTTGAGGACCCAGTTGTGGGGGCAATAAGATGACTTTGTATAAATATACAAAAGGATGAAGGCTATTGCTTAGCACATTGTAAGCCGCCCTGAGTCTCTGGAGAAGGGCGGCATATAAACCAAATAAAAAAAAAAGAGAGAATGTCAAAACACCTAGAGTATAACTTTGTGTGTATCTATTGGGCAATTGAGTCTTGATAACTGTCACTGTCAATTAAGTCAAGAGCTGGAGGTAAAAGGAATTGTCTATTTGTGAATAACTTGGCAAGAAGTGAAATAGACCACTGAACAAAGAAGCAGATGGAAGAAACATAAGAGAAATCAAATAATAAAATGAACTAGGGCAGGGGTGAAATCCATCAGGTTCTGACAGGTTCTGGAGAACCAGTAGCGGAAATTTTGAGCAGTTCGGAGAATAGCTAGCGGAAATTTTGAGTAGTTCGGAGAACTGGCCTCTGGCTGGCCTCAGAATGGGGTGGGAATGGAGATTTTGCAGTATCCTTTCCCTGCCATGCCCACAGAACCTGTAGTAAAAAAATTTGGATTTCACCACTGAACTAGGGGCAGTCACAGAGCAGCAGGTCTTTTTAAAAAAAATTTAAAATGAGATTCAACTGAGTATCAGGAGGCATTTTTATGGTAAGAGTTCATAAGCAGCAAAGCGGGCTTTGTAAAACAGCTGTGATATTCATAGAGAGGCTAGTTGATTTAATGGATTCCTGCAAATGATTTATAAGGTTCATTCCATCTCATCTATGCTAAGATTCTAACATCCAGATACAACAGGGATTTGCACCAAAGAAGCAGAAGCAAATATATTTAAGGAAGCAAAGCATGAAATGCACCCCTACTTGGGTTTTGCTTCCTTGTATTCCTCTGTATCAGTATCTTCATCCTCAGAGTATTCTCCTTCTGTCTGCCCCCCAGCCATGAGGCCTCGTGCTGCCAGAAGACCAGCAGCATTTCCATATCCCGTGTACTTCACAAACCGTGACACTGTGGAGACATAGGAAGTCAAACTTTCTCTTATTAGTGTAGAAGCAAATGAATTCAAATAGTAGCACATAGTCTCATCTTGATCAGACTAACTTTTCAAGGAGGTAGATTCTTGCAAACCCCGAGATAAAAAAGAAGCTGAGATGACTGACAGGATTCCTCTGTTACTGATACAGCTGGATGGAAGCATGACTCATTTGGACTGGAAAAAATTCTTGATCGTGACCACTTGTTTAGTACCATTCTTCTATATTATAGTGAATCTGGTAAAAATTTAATACTATTCTTCTTCAGGCCACTTCTTACCTTTTCCTTAAGTTAGTATAACAACTACATTAGGTTAGGGTTATAGATGTCACATAGGTTATATAAGATTGTATACTGTCTACCAGGTAAACCATTTAAAAGAAAAATACCACTCTGAAAAAAGGCATCTTTGCAAAGCTGCTTTTCCTATTGTAATGTTCAAGAAAACTAACAGTAGCTTTGCTGTGAGGAAAAGTCTGATTAACAGCTATAAAGAATTCACAAGCCTGGCAGCAACAAATTTTCTTCAAGTTTATTTATCTTCTTCCCTAATTTTAAAATTGGTCCGGGGAATGATATTTCCCTTCATTTCCATGCAATGTAATTTAATCCAAATCCCTATGAGATTCCAGTTTACCTGTATTCTTAATATTCAGCCACCATCCAAATAACGTCTCAGTTAAGATGGATTAGCTTGTTCCTATTTACTGATTCAAACTGCCAGCATACAACAGGCCTGAGATGAACAAGAGAGAGCATGGATAATTACCACTTTCCTTGCAGAGTACAAACAGGAACTCAGCAGCACAGTGTTTCACATCCGTGTCAATGTGAGTCATGAGGCGTACAAGTTTATTTCTCAGCAGGTTTCCCACCTCAGGTCTATTTTTCACATCCCGTAATGGAGGAAGTACCTGTGAATCCATGGAAAGCCAAAAGTGATGCTTAGAGCCATATTAAACTTGGTTTCATCAAGCCCTGAAAATACTGCATCAAAGATGCCTCAGTAAGAATAATCTCATCCTGACACTAAACAAAGATGTCTTCTTAATGTACTGATGTACTGATATATTGATAATTCCTCCCATTTGTACTTTCATGGCTTTGTTGGACCCTGATTTGGAGGAGGGAGGAACCAGGGAGGGCATGGCCCCCTCCAAATGAGTGGAAAGGCCAAGGGCTGAGGACAAGGTGGTTCTAGGCTCGTCTGGCAGTGGGGGAGAGTAGCTCAGCAGATGGAAAACCACCTGAAGGAGCGGAGCAGGTGCAGTGATCCAACAGATGACAAGCTCCAGACCACCTCTAATGAAGAACAGTTACCTCCCCCATCCAATCCGTGGGTGAGGAGAAGAGAGCAGAGAGAGTCACAGAGGAGCTTGCAAGGAAGCAGCCCCATCCCTCCTCACAAGGAACACATGGGGAAGGGTGATTTAACCAGACGCTGGGGGAAGTAATGTTTGCCAGGAACATCTGTTTGCTTTGATGTGCATCTTTCTGGCTTTCGTGAATACTGCCTTATGAACCTTGGATTGTGTTGTACCTTTGTTTTAAGGAATTTCCTTGTCTGTCGATGGACCCGGGCACTTTCAGTCAGCAAGTTCAACACCGGGGTAAGACTCTCCTTGAGTTTATGACCCTGTGAAAGAGGCATAAAAAGAAACAGATTTAACTGTTCTTTTTAAGTTTTCCATGCACAAAAATAGTGCAGGTCAGCAAAAGACTACATCACACTGACCAAGACAAAAAAACGTTTTTTTAGGAAAGCCATCTAAGCTTCATTTTTACATAAAATTTCCTCCCCAATTTCCCTTTTAGCAACTGCTACTACATATTTCATGTCCTGGCATTATTATGTTCAATGTTTACCTGTATAGCTTTTTTTATAATGAATGGCCTAGCAGGTGGCAGCATCTAGTCAAGGTTTGATTTCAAAAAGCTCTGCAGGATCAAATCTGGTTAGTAATTAGATAGAAAACTATCAGGGCATCCCATAATTTTAGTCTAGACCAGGATATTAAAAAAAAAATCCCAGAAAAAGACAACTACAAACCACCTTTGTATTATTGCCAAAAGCCCCTACACATTTGTTCATCACTAAGAAACTACAAACCACCTTTGTATTATTGCCAAAAGCCCCTACACATTTGTTCATCACTAAGAAACTACAAACCACCTTTGTATTATTGCCAAAAGCCCCTACACATTTGTTCATCACTAAGAAGTCAGCTTGACTTGAGGGAGTCTTCTTTTTTTAAGATAATGAATAATCCTAGCATTAATGCATGCAAAAAGCAATATTCTTCTGCATGAATGTCTAACTGGGTGAGAGTTGCTTCATGTACAGGTAGTCTCTGACTTACCACCAGTCCCTTAGCGACCATTCAAAGTTATATTGGACTCCCCAAAAGGTACTTATGACCTGGTTCCAATGGCTGCTCCCCTCCCACAGTCACCGCGTTTTGGGCACTCAGCAACCAACTCGCATTTATGACCATTTGCAACATCCTGCAGTCCATAATTGCCATTTACAATGTTTTTGTAGAAAACCAGAATTTACTTCATTTTCAGCAAAAACATCCCATGGTAACAATGGGTTTGCTTAATGAGAGCTGCAAAACAGGTCATAAAATTGGGTGCGTTACATGGGTGGGTGACCTGCTTTATCACTGTTGTGACTTTTGACTATGATGGACAGGTTTCATTATAGTCATAGTCAAGGATTACCTATATTAATGAAAAGCAGAAGCATTTGGACTCACTAAGACAGTGTTTCTCAACCTTGGTCACCTGAAGATGCGTGGACTTCAACTCCCAGAATCCCCAAGCCAGCAGAGCTGGCCGGGGAATTCAGGGTGTTGAAGTCCACGCATCTTCAGGTGGCCAAGGTTGAGAAACACTGCACTAAGAGATATCTTTCTGATTGGTGTAAGAAGATTATAAAAGGTGATCACATGACCCCAGGACTCTGTAATCGTCATAAATATGAGTCAAGTGCCAAGCATCTGAATTTTGATCACGGGACCATGGGGATGCTGCAACGGTCCAAAGTGTGACAAACAATCATAAGTTACTTTTTTCAGTGCTGTTGAAACTTCAGATGCTCACTAAATGACTTGTTGTAAATCGAGGATTACCTGTACCAGGCTGATTGCTACTACATAAGTTTTCTTAGAGAATGATAAATAATTGAGATTTCCATCTTTGTGTGGTAGGGCAAATGACATATATTTAAGCACAGGATGGACTCTCAAATGAATCCTAATCTAACATGGGTATCATCCTAAATCAAAGTAGCTTGGGACAAGCAAGGAAGTTGTGAAAATGTTTCGCTTTACCTACCCTATCAAGACGTCGATCAAGGAAACTCAGGAGAACATTGACAGCATCCATATTGACTCCCATGTATTCAAGGGAGCCCCGGTGGACCTTGGGAGTCAGCAAAACATCTAAACACTTGAGAGGCAGATTGCCCAAAAGGTTGATTGTATGGCTGAAGGCAGGATACAAGGCAAAACAGGAAAAATTAGCAACCAATATAAATGAAAGAATGCTTCATTCTGAAAACTCTGGTACTTTCTAGGTTTTAGCAATAGGAGAACAAATTTCAAATTGTGCCATATAAAACAATAGCAAACCTTTCCTTTATAGTTCAAGCTTCCATCATCTTCTCCATTTGCTGTTATATATCCATTCTTAGAAGTCCAGTAGAAGTCACAAATTTGCCAGATCTCTTGTTCATAATGTGCAATGTGCCCACATACTATTATTTATTAAATGTACAGTATATCAATGTCTCTCCTTATACAACAATGTAAACATGGTTTACAATAGATCAAAACACAAATGATAAAATACAAGAGTAAATTCAATTCAAGGCAAAATTACCATTTACATCAATGAAATCAGTTAGTTCAACTAATGAAAAGTGGTGGAAAAGATGCATTTTCACTATTTTCCTAAATTCCTGCCCTAAGATCACTAGAAAAGGCTTTCTCCTGTGTACTAGATATGTACAAATTTTCAGCAGTAACAGCAAATATTTCCGGTTGATAATGTTTATAATTATTTAAAGTTATTGTTGGCTGTGTCAAGTACATCAAGCAGAATACTAAAAAAACTCTATTGTTTTAATACTGCACAAGCTGCATAATTTTTCAATGCTAAAGCAATCTCAGTCATAACATTCTTTTTTCACTACTAAGAATTACTGTATACTGTATTGGGGTCCACATTTTTCTCTTTTAATACTTTTATTAAACTTATCGAAGTATAAAATACAAATGAAAATAGTGGGGAAAAGGGAGGGGAAAGGGGAAAAAAGAAAGAAAAACAGACTTCTGACTCTTTTTAGCACAAGTTATTAGAATATAACTCTTAGTTATTAGAATATAACTTTTATTCTAAACATACAACCTCAACTTTTTACTTTTACATAATAATATATATTAAACATTAAACATTTCTGTAACAACAAACTTATCTAATCAGCAAAACCCAAAGTCAATGTTTCACTTTTTTTCCATCTCAAAATCAAGAAGTGGTTTACAAGTAGATATTAGGGTCCACATAAGCAGGATACTACATTTATTTTAGTATAAATGTAGAAGAAGGAGAAATCTATACCTAATCTGCAGTAATGAATTGATGAGACACATGGTTTTTGTCAACAGTGGGGAAAAATATTTTAAGCAGCGTAGCCCAATTTATTTAGCTGTTCTATAGTTAGCTACTACCAGGCTTTCCCCGTTCCTCCCCTACTTTTATTACTAAACCTACCAATGTTGTGGTTGTTATCGATCGTTTAATATTGTTCTATGTATTTTTTGTTTGTTTTATTGGCAATACAGACAATCACCTGTGAAATTCTTCTGTCCGATCATCACCATCTGCTGAAATCATCAGGCAGTGACGGAGAAGGGCACCCAGACGTCGGTACAGAGCAGCATCTTCCTGGCCCAAAAACAAAATTAAAACCTTTTAGTATGAGAAAAGAGCACATTTTTATTTTAGGCAGTCTGTTTATTGACACAGGCTGTTCTAGCAATGCATTTTCAGAACCAAACATACATTTAAGTTCAACGGGAAAATGGCATACATGGGATTTGAAAATCTGCAAATCAAATCAGCATACACAAAACAAAGATCTGTTAATTCCTGGTTCCCTAATTTGTGACAAATTGTAAAGTCATAGCAACAGATGAATTAGCATAACTGCCTTATATAGCATTTATTTCCCTTTGTCTCTTCATGTATGTCAGTAGACATTACTAAGTAAATAAGGGGGAGAGCTGTAAGGTAAAATAGAGCAATGCAAATTTCCTCTGGAGCTCATTCCTGGTGTATCCCAGATGTGGACATCCAGGAAGACTTGAAACATGTCCCTAACTATAGGAATCATAGGTGAAATGGAATGGCGAATATAGGCAGTCCTCAACGTATCACCACAATTGGGATCATAATTTGTGTTGCTAAGCAAGATGGCTGTTACATGAGTCATGAGCAATTTATGACCTTTTTTGCTGTGATCGTTAAGAAGATCACTGCAGTTGTTAAGTGAATTGTGTGGTCATTTAACAAATCTAGCTTCTCCCTTTGACTTGTCAGAAGCCAGCCAGGAAGGTCACAAATCACATGATCCTGGGGGATCTGCAACCATTATAAATACATGCTGGATTTCAAGCGATAGTTATTAAGGGTGAGGATCAGCTGTAAGTCATTTTGTTCAGTACTATTGTAATTCTGAACAGTCGCTAAACAAATGTTTATAACTTGAGGACTACCTGTGAAGAATAAATAGAAATAGAATAACAGAGTTGGAAGGGACCTTGGAGGTCTTCTAGTCCAACCCCTTGCCCAGGCAGGAAACCCTACAACACTTCAGACAAATGGTTATCCAACATCTTTTTAAAATTTCCAGTGTTGGAGCATTCACAACTTCTGCAGGCAAGTTGTTCCACTGATTAATTGTTCTGTCAGGAAATTTCTCCTTAGTTCTAGGTTGCTTCTCTTCTTGATTAGTTTCTACCCATTGCTTCTTGTTTTACCCTCATGTGCTTTGAAGAATAGTTTGACTCCTTCTTTGTGGCAACCCCTGAGATATTGGAACACTGCTATCATGTCTCCCCTAGTCCTTTTTTTCATTAAACTAGACATACCCAGTTCCTGCAACTGTTCTTCATATGTTTTAGCCTCCAGTCCCCTAATCATCTTTGTTGCTCTTCTCTGCACTTTTTCTAGAGTCTAAGACCAAGACATCTATGAATGAACTACTCAGTGTCACTTCTGGGTGTTTTACCTCATCCACGTCCTTTTTGTTGATATCAAAAGTGATATTGAAAAGGATCTTCAGGATTTCCATAGCACGCTCTGTCTCCTGCCGAGGTAATGGCAGGGAAGGATCCCCTTTGGCAGCTACCTCATGAGGATCAATCCATTTTACTCCCAGTGTAAGTTCCAGGGTATCTGTCATTAAACCAATACCTCGAAGTTCTTGTGCAACCTGCTGCCGAACATCCACCCTTAGTGCCGTCAATAAAAAGAGAAGGCGCAGGTCAAAGAATTTTATGTCATGGGGAAAGTTTCTCTCATTGTAGAGTTTGATGCGATCTGTAAGTCCCACCACAAATTGAGCCTCAGCCATCAGTTCCTGAGCCCGGGGACTACTGAAGACAATATTACAGAGGCACTTAAGTGCCTCCAGAATTACATCCAGATCAGGAACTTCCAGGATTTGCTCTTCCCTATAAATAACCCCAGCATGCCTGGCTAGTGTCTTCAGACTTTCCACGGTGGTGAAAGGGCCAAGACATTTTTTATCCCGGGACAGAATTCGTATGCTTTCCAAGCACGTCACTTGACAAGATGGCTGGAGAACTCTCTCCAAGAACTTGATCAGAAGCATGGCCAGTTTCTAAAATATCAGAAAGGAGATAAAAGGAGATAAAAGAACAGATCTAGTAGTATCAATGAACTTCTGCATAAGACAACAGGACTATCTATATTTGCATTTGTACAATTTCAAAAGTCCAATAAACTCTTAACGTATCTATCTGCATATAACCAATGTTGCTACAACATCCACTTTATAATATCACAAGTTGACACACAGCAATTAGAATGTGCCTCTACTTCTTAGGTTTAAGCTGCAAATGTCTTTTCTTATAGACAAAACAGCACCATAAGGACAGTACTATATAGTAGGCTCAGAGAAATTCTTGAGATTTACATAACATAAGGGAAATGGAAATTCTGAAATAATGTAATGATGACTGAGCATGCTTAGTGATTATTTAATGCAGATTGACACGTGGAGGGAGAAAAGTGGAAGGAGGAACGTCCCACAGCAAAGAGACTGAACAGTAATTCTTCTCCCTGCAGTGAGGCATTGACAGCATCACTGTTATGGTGAAAAAGACATACAAGATGGCAGCCAGCCAGCAATTCAGCCCCTTACCTCAGTCTTCCCTCAACATGTTTGCCTTTCAAAAAGTCAGGATTTTTTTTTAAAAAAGTAGCTAGTGACTGAATAAGCAAATCAGCAAAACCTTCCAGAGATTATCTGTAGAGCCATTGGGTAAGGGAGTGGAGGGGATAGAGAAAGCAATATCACACTGTCATGCACTTTTTGTTTGTGTATTATGACCTCTTATGACACGTATGCAGCTTTTTCATTATTTCACCTTTGATTCTGTGGAAGTCACCCCACATAATACCGATAGTAGTTAGTATTTAATTATCAAGTATACTCCGCCTTGGATAAAGGAGGGAAACAAATCTCAAGATTCAGGAGGCAGAGTTCCTCTAATGATAAATTATCTACTCACAGCTTGTGACAATGTCATGAGGGCTTTGGGGGAAGGGGGGGTGGAAGGATGCCAGGGCATGTCTGTACTGCAGATAGATGTAAGTGGGGAAAGGGCCTTAGTCATAACACTGCCAGAAACACAAAGCCTGGCAGTGCAATGATTACTTAAATTGGGTAGACACATGTAAAGCATAGAGTTGCGCTATTTCAAAAGAGGGAAATGCATTCAGACTCAATTAATTTTACTAAACATACTTGACTTTGCTCTCTGTGTTTCAACAATGCAGCAGGTAGTTATTTGTTTTCCACAATAGTTTTTCAGACATCAAACATGGACATTTTTGTCACTTTGCAGGCAGTGTGGCCCCAGAAGCACGACAAACAATCAATTCCCAGATGGGCAGACTAGACATTTTCCATCTCTACATGGAACTGCCCTTGAAGAGTATCTGGAACCTTCAGCACAGGCATTTATATGTGTTCCTCATAGAAGACATTACCCCTCTGGTCCTTGAGCTGCATTGGTTTTCAGTTTGTTTCCAGGGTCCAATTCAAGGTGCTGCTTTTGGCCCTTAAAGCCCTACATGGCACGGGGCAAGGTTTCTGAGGGACTGTCTGATTTTTACATTTTCCCATCCCACCAGATCTAATAAAAAGGAAATGCTGTAGATTCCATCAGGAAGATACATTTGGTGGGCGCTAGGTGGCAGGTCTTCTTGTCTATGTGGAATATCCTCCCCCTCGCCCCCACTTCCCCAGGTTAGGCTGGCACCATCGCTTCTGACTTTCCGAAAATCCCTCAAGATCTGGTTGTGCTATCAGGTCCAGGATTTCAGGGAATTGGTGCTGTAGCTCCATTATTATTAACATTCCTTTTTTATTTTTTTTTTAAATTTTTAGCTACATTTTATTTAATGTTTTTAATTAATAATATGTGTTATTTGTATACTGTTGTTTTTTAACTTTGTTGTACGTTGCCCAGAGTAATTTGTTTTCTGACATGGTTGGCTATATAAATTTTAAAAATAAATAAATGAAATCTCAATAGCTTGCTCCTGCCTCTTAAATACAGGACCAATGTATTTAGTATGAGACCTTCCCATCTGCTCCCACCTCTTTGGATGGTATTAAAGTATGCCATCATTGGCTCCTTTCCATTATGAAAATATGACAATGAGCTATTTATGCAGCTTATACCTATTACCGTTTTAGGTTGGCATTTGGCTCTTGGGCAGGATCCCCCTTTGAGAAATTTGCTGTTACCATATGGAATCTTGTGGTGCGACTTTTAAGGCTCTAGCCTAGCATAGGAATTGATGGGCTGCCCTACTCTCAGGTGAAAGGATAAGCTTATGATCAGCTCACAGTAAGATGGAGCACAAACAGCTCTGCTCCCTCCCTATATAATCAGTTGGTAGACAAGAGCATGTTCAACAGCAGGCAAGCAGGTCAAGAGAGGTTCGTGCTCTACAGTATGCTAACTTCTTCTAGCTGTAACGATACAGTTGAGGACTAATCTCAGTGAAGTTTGTGAGCTCTCCTTTGATGTCCCCTGAATCTATTATCACAACAGATTTATGTTGCAGCATCATAGATAAATGTGGTGAGATTTAAATATCTTTGGGACTGATGTAATAAGTTACTATCCATAACATTTGTGAATAAGGAAGCATCTGATAAGTAGGAAGAGGAAAAGAAAACAAGCTGTACCAGCTTTCTCCTCCAGTAATAAATGGAAGAAAGGTATCTGAATGCAGATGATACCTTCATTTCTACTCTTATTGTTGAATAATAATAATCCAAGAAAGAGAATTGTTGCTTTTGGTGTGTGTTTCTGATCATGAATAAAGTTGTCTTGAAATTGAATATAGTTTAATGAAGAACTTGTCTTCTTTTGATCACCCTGTTACATACCCCATCCATCTTGTCTTCCAAGCTGAACAAGAGTACAATAAAAGTGAACAAACCATATAAAGCAATCCTTTATATATTGTGAATATATAAAAACAGCAATGCTTTTTAAAACAGTTAATAGCTCTTCAATAGTTATCTATTAAATAGTAATATTTAAAATAGATATAAGAGCAGTATTATGTGCAGATTGTAAATGGTATGTAATGGTAAGAAGAGGGAGATCACAAACATTGCTGTCACCTGATCAAAGTTACAGTGCATTTAATGCATTATCATATTTTTGCAATGAAGTGCATCTGATGTGTAATTACTTGCTAGCTGCTACCAGTGATCATTTCCTTTACAATTTGCTGGTGTGTGCAAGAGGTTTTGCATCACTTTCTGTATTTTATAAATGCCATATGCTGTGAAGAGTTACATCTGGATGTTAAGGTGTACAATGATATGCAGTGAACAGTGAACAGTGAACAAATACTTATTACTACTACAGAATATATGTGTGTGTACTTTTTTCTGTTTAGACACAGCATGCACACAGACAATAGGAAGAGGAATGGATGTTGGATATGTTGGCCACTTTGAGTTATTTGTAAAAATAATAAAGATGGGAAATAAATAAAATTAAGCTACTTTGTCAGACTCTTGGTCTATATAACTCAGTAGCGTCTTTTCAGTTGGTTGCAGCTCACCCAAGTGATTTCTCAAGATCTGGGGAATTATTTTGGGTAATTTCTACAAGCAGTGCCTGTGTACTGTCACACTTGGTACTTCTAATTGTTGTATGTTCACAATTTCTAAGAAAGGAGGTTTATTTAAATGGGGAAATCTATTTAAACTGATCACAGCATTTCCGGATCTTTATTTATGCTAGGAGATTCCACAGAACTAAGAAAGAAGAGAGTCACTGCATTTTTGGCATTGCTGCTCCAACAATATCTGTGCCCAATTTGCCAGCTATGGAATTTAAAATCTGGTCTGTACTAGCAAATGGAAAACGATGCTGGATTAAATTGGAACCTGAAAATAGAAACCTGCACAGCTGGAACATCTGATATTTTGAGGCTCTATGTATTTGTATGTGTGTACGTATGTGTAAATGAGTGAATTTTTCTTGTTGTATTTGAGTTAATCGACATAACTGATACTGATTGATCCACAAGCAGACACTCTCTTGGATAGAGATAAGCCTTATAAGCTCATACAGAAAATCAGAACAAGATGTTCAGCTACCAAAGTATTCCAGTGTAGGTCTTTTGGAGTCCTTCAGATATAGTTGGACAACAACTACCCACTTTGCTCATCATTAGCAATGCTGGCTGAGACTACTGAAAGGTACAATACATCTAAAGGGCCACAGGCTGTTGTATACTTTAACCATCCTTACACCCAGATGGATTTAATTCTCACTGAACATTACCAGCGTTTCTTTTCTTCCTGTAGGCACTCCTGGACTTCAAAAGCAAAACTGTGTACTATGTTAAATATGCCTTAAAATGGCTATGCTCCCGCTCTCCATTTTGCACAGTGAAAAATAGTTCATGCCTTTCTACAGCCAGAATCCAGAAATTATTATTTCTCTCATCCAATATTCCTGGTGGACTACAAACAATGAGACAACAACATACCTTTCTTTCTTCCTGCTCTTCATCATCAAAGGTGAAACAATGAGAATTCTGAGAAAGAAAAAATGGAAGTTCATTGAATGAATTAAGAAAATAATTTTCTCAAAACGTAAGAGTTTTTTTTTAAAACAAATGGCAATTACTCAATTTCTTCCAAATACCTAGCTACTCAGATGCTAACCAATTAAATATTTAAGCTGAGTAAAGAAGGAAAGAAAAAGAAAGGTAAAATGGATTATTACTTTCTAAGTAGCTTTATTAATTGGGGCAGTTATTTTCAAACCTATCTTTTTAAAAAAATCTTTCTATGACTACTTGTTTTTTGAAGTAAACTCTAGGCACTGTAAAATATTTTGAGGCACATTCTAAGGTAAATAGTCCGCTCAAACACGCACTGGCTTGACATTATAATTTAAATGTGGACCACATGATTACCAAACTTTTTCTACCATTGCACATTTCAGATGAAGATAATGAGCAAGACTTCATGCATAGGTTTGCCTCCCGTTACCTTTTTTTCTAACCGAGGCATTTCTCATTAGCCTGTAATGATCTCCCAGGTGGCCCAGTTCATAAACTGGGATTTTGTCCAAATTTTCTCAAATGGCAAATACCTTCACCTTAATAGAAATTTCTTCCCAATTGCCAATCATGTTCTGAAGAAGGGAATTGAAACAACTTTTTCAGTTGTTTTATTTATTTAAATTGTATTCATACAACTATTATTCCACTTTGGAAGTCCGTTAATAGACTTCACTGCATTTGGCAATAGAAAGCATAAGTTTACAGCAGTTTATTTATAAGGAGACTAGATCTGTGTGCCTTTCTTGGTTACTGAAATCAGAGACATCAGCTCTAATATAATCCAAGAATTTTCACTTATCATAGCATATTTTACCGCAAATGAAAATTTCCAGCTTGCAGTATCTTGAAAAAGTATGCTTGACATTGTTCTCAACAGACTACTATAGCTTAGTTGGAAGCTATAAGCACATTAAGCAATCCATTCTCAGCTACTTTTCAGTGGTGACAGCTTGAAAGAGGAACATGGGCTACAACTGCTACTTTTAGAATTATATCAGGTCTTTTTGGAACAAGATATATTTCTCTGTTATTATTAACTAGGAAAGGAATTGCCATATGTTTTGCTTTATCCATTATGCAGTACCTTCTGGAGTTATCTGGCACAAATTCTTAGAAAGCCTCAGCATTAGCCTTTTTCCATATTGAGAGGTACACATGAATCATTCATATGTTTTCTGAGAATGGCATCTACCCACCAGACACTGAGACTGATGGAGAAACATGTTAACGAAGATCTCAACTTCTCTGTAGCGCAACAATGGAACTACAATCACATTTTCTCTAAACAAAACTGTTAAAAATATCAGTATCTGAAAAAACAAGATAATCTGATATTTTATCCCCCAGAGTAAAAAGTATTGATATTATCATTACTGCAGTTAAAGTTTTCACCAAGATAAAACTTCCTGGTTGAACATTTTGGGCAGATCAGAGTAGCAGAGCTCATTCTCTCACAGTATTTCCAGTTAGGAAGGTTTTATGGTCAACAATGTTTTTTTTAAAAAAGTCTGCTTGAAGTTTCAGAGACCTCCTCCCAATTGATGGACAATGGCCAAATAGGTAGTAGATAGGTAATTCTTGACATACAACAATCATAATAAAGCCTGCCCATTATAATTGTATGTCATGACAGTCATATGACCAACCTGATCTTATTACTTTTTTGGAGCAGTTGTTAACCGAATCGCCTAGGTTATTAAGTGAAGGTTATAAAGTATGGTCATTGAGTGAATGCCACAGTTGTTAAACTGCAATCGTTAAACAAATCAATGGTTCACTATGGGCGCCATTTTGCTAAAAATCGAAAGTGCAAAACATTTGGCAAAACATCGTAAAGAACAGTCACATGATGCAATACCCTGTATTTTGCTCTGGGAAGTCGGGGGGGGGGGAGGGAGAAGGGAATGGGTGGGGGGAGGAGGGGGGAATTTGTAAAACATTTTAAAACTTTTCAATTAAAAAAAAAAGAATAGTCACATGACTGTGGGATGTTACAAACTATTATAAATGCAACTTTGTTGCTAAGTGCCCAAAGTTTAGTCACAGGATTGCTAAGGGGATCTGATTGTTGGATCCTTGAATCTGGATCATAAACCCCCTTTATTGATGGGGTGGCCCTTTATATAGTTAGATGTAAGTTGAGGACTACCTGTATAGCAGCTTCACAGATGTATATAAAGAGAATGTAATCTACCAATTGATACTCATATTCCTTCTCATTCCCCTCTATGAAAATAACATTTGGGGTTACATGTATTACATGCAGCTATTCTGAAAATCTGTTGCAGAGAAAGTCACAAAGATGACTTTCCTTTTTTTTTTCCTTTTTCATCCCCACCAATTCTCTGGCATGAGACATTCTCTCACAAGAGCATACTTTCACTGTTGCATCCCAGCTGCAGTTCATTTTTGAGAAAGGAAGGGAGAAAGTAACCCCAAATGGCTAGGTTAAAAGATTAATACCAAGAATATACTGCCCAATAATACAGGCAGATGAAACTGAAGGCAGCATCACAAGAACACCTTTAAAACATGCAATGTGAATTCTTCAACACTCCATCAGGATGCCTCAATTCTCAATGAAAACTCACCTCCTGGTTGTAGATCTGTAGCACTTTGAGGACAGTATCTTGCTTCCCATTTTCTACAGTCTCTAGTACAGCTTGGAGTGTCATGTCTGCCCAGAGGAACAGGGCCGACTGCAGTGAAATGTAGTAGAAAGCTTTGTGGCGTGGCTGGATATTTACTGATGCAAAGAGTCCTTGTTAGACAGCTGATGAGAAGAGGGAGGAACATTAGCGAGCCTAGCCACTCCAGGATGCCAAAGTACAAAGCAGATGGAAGCTCCCAGTAAAACCAGCCAGTAGCTTGCTATCTTGCTCACACACTAATCCTCTTCCTCTTTGGGCTTTTCAGCATTTAATAAATGTCCTTTGAGCAAAGCATTACCTAGCTAGCCTCCCCTTCCGCCAGTCGAGGATTACCTTAAAACAGATAACTGCATGATGTAGCTCCTCAAATCACCTCCTCCACCCATTGTCCTCATTACTCTCTATAAATATAAAACAAAAGGAAAGAAATTCCCCTATGATAAAAGGATGCACTCCCAGCAAAACCACCCATATCTCCTTGCTGGATTCAGATGGCAATACATTTTCTGGTGAAAAAACATTGGAGGTCTGAAAACGTACTAAAGCTGTGCTCACCAATCAGAGTACCTCTCAAACTGACTCATCCCACAGATTCAAATCTCTGATCCTGCTTAGAAAACATGAGGTGGGGGTAACCTTTCCACCCTACAGCCTTAACTCTTTGGTTGCCAAGTTCTCTGCATTTCTAGGTCCAACATTCAGTCTGTGTCACCACAAAGACAGTAGCTGTTTAAGAATGCAGATATATGTTTGTAACCCTCCAGTAGTCATGCTAATCACAGTGCATGTCACAGTATGTGATGGTAACAACTGTGACAGGGGAAGGGACCGGCAGGCTGTCAAGGCAGATGTTAGAAGAACTTGCCGCAATCATAATGCTTAACCTTATGATTTAAATTAGCGCCTCCCCCCCCAAACTGTTCAGCTTATGGATCCTTTCATGAAGTTTTAGATTGTTCATCAACCCTCAAATATTTATTATATGAAAATAATTTAATGAACACTGCTTTAACTAAGAGTACTATGAATAACAACAACAACAGACAGACATCTGGCCCACAACACGCCTGACATCACTATTGTGGAAAAGAAAAAATGTCTGGTTCATTGATATTGCAATACCAGGCGATGCATGAATTGAAGAGAAAAAGGCTAGAAACCCCCCCCAAAATATCGTGATTTACAAATTGAAGTTGAGCAATTGTAGAGGAAGAAATCAATGGTTGTACCAATAGTATTTAGGAGTCCCTGGAGCAATACCCAAAGGGCTGCCTAGATACATGGAAATCTTGAACATTAGACCTGAATATTCTGACTTTGCAAAAAAAATCCACTCTACTCGGAATTGCCTGTATACTTAAGATGTTACCTTAACAGCTCTTAGGTCCTTGGTTAGGACCTGAATTGTTAATTTTTTACCTTTACTCAGACTGTGAATCAAATTGAAAATTAAATAACAACACCTTGGAGAATCCCAATGAGGATCTGGTGGTCAGGCCCCCTCATCTGTATCCCATAGCAGGGGGACCTTTAGCAAGTGCTCCCTAGTTCTCTGTGTAGGGAGGCAGAAACTATTAGAGAATTTGTTCGGTACAAACCAGAACTGCAAATAACAGTTCCCAGAATATCATGAATGCTACTATTTCAGTCACTTCTCACTTTCTAAAGTGTTTGTCCTTCACAGTTTACATATCTGTTAAGGAAAACACCAGGCAACTTAGTTGCCACAGAAATGATGAAGTGGCTTTAAAATAAGTAAACTGCTTGTTGTTTTTTATTTGCAAATTTCAAGAATAGCATGGAATAACATTTAAATAAAGAGGAATAATGTGCCAAAATGTGTATATGACTGAGCAACTGCCAGGATCAGCAGTTCTGGCAAAAGGTTTCCCAAAGCTTGAAGCAATATGTAGATTACAAATGCTTCATATCCTTCCACAATTGTTTAAAAGAAACAACAACAACATTTGACTACTATAAACATGCAGCAGAGCTTGAAAATTTTTAAAAACAAATTAGAATATTGTAGTCAACTTTCTTCTGTGCAGAGAACATGTACAGAATACCTCCTCACCGAGCACAAGTAATATCTACATACAGCCAATAACTTGTAACTGGAATTGGCTGTTGTAGCCCTGAAATCATATGAGGAAAGAACTTCATGGCATTTTAATTTAGCATATTTTTTAAAAATGCTACAGAAAATTATGATCACACAATTTCAATACAATTTTTTAGATCTACAGGTTTGATTTGTTAACAGGTATAACTGATAAAAATTTCCAATATGGTCCCAGGCATTACAATCAGCCAAGATGAGGAAAGCTATCCCTGTATATCATCTTAAATATTTGTGTTTCACAGTTCTGTCATTGTTTTCTTGATTCATCTAAATCATTACTGACCTACTTATCAGAAATTAGGAACACATTTGTCTTCTAAATCCTCTGAAATCAATTTAGTAGCCAGGAATTATGGAATTATGATTGGGGTTTGAAAAGTCTCCACCACAATTATTAAACCAGATTAAAGCATAAAAATAGGGAATTCTATGGAGCAATAGTTCTCAATCTTTTCTTCACCATGGACCAAAGGACCAAAAACTGCCATGACGCAATTCATTCCCTTTACTGGAAATGGGGAAACAGAGGCCCATGGGAGGGGGGGAGGGGAGGGGGGAGTTTCTTGTACAGCTGTCTGACTCTAAGAGTGAGCAAAACATCAGGAGAATGGTAGTACATGTAGTCCTCAACTTACGACCACAATTGAGCCCAAAATTTCTGTTGTTAACTGAAATATTTGTTAAGTGAGTTTTGCTCCATTTTATTACCTTTCTTGTCATAATTGTTCAGTGAATCACTGCAGTTGATAAGTTAGTAGCCCAGTTGTTAGGTGAAACTGGTTTCCCCATTGACTTTGCTCGTCAGAAGGTCGCAAAAGGGGATCACATGACCTTGGATCACAGCAATGGTCATAAGTATGAACCCGTTGCCAAGCATCTGAATTTTGATCACATGATCATGGGGATGCTGCAAAGGTTATAACTTTGAATAACAGTCATTAGTCACATTTTACAGTGATGATGTATCTTTGGTCACTAAACGAATTGTTGTAAGTCAAGGACTACCTGTACTTTTTCTAGTTAAGGAATTTTATTAAAAGACACAAGCTTCATCTCATGAAGGGAGACGATTCCTTTTTATAAATCTACTAGTCCGAAAACATGCTACTCAACTTCTGATTTTTTTTTTTGCCAGGGTTTTTGTTGCTATTGTTATTGCAATAGCAATGAATAATCATTATATACCAATATATAAATTGTACTTTATTTATTATTCATCAAAAACAAAGCTATTCTATTTCTCTCTACATGTTTCGACCAGGTTTCTTTATGCACATCAACGAATAGATTGCAGATATGTTTATTTCTAGTAAAAAGAGTACCCCTGTGCTCAACTCATATCCTGAAAGTCATAGAATTCATTATGAATTTCAGGATAAGAGCTGTAATAGATTGTGCACCAAGGTCCTTCATCTTACAGTGTTTGTAACTAAGTCTGAGACACTCTGACAAAAAGTGCACTTGGCATATCTTGCCACTAAATTTGTAACAGTCACCTGTAACTCTATCTCTTTGGATTTTCTTTTGAAAAAAATAAATATTTTGAAAAAGGCTCTTTCAGGTTTTTTAAAAATTTCGATTTGCAAACTGAATATAGTGGAACACTGCAAAACAGACAAGATCTTTACACAAAGATGAATTGACCAATTGGAAAACTGTTAAGATTAGAATCAGGTCTGTTTTAGATCTGTTGAGTGGTATTACTGCTACCTACGTAGTGAGTCTCCTTCAAAATTCAACATCTAGATTCCTTTGGAAACATTCACACACTCCTCCACCACCCATTCATCCACTATTCTTAGCATAATGGACAATTTATTTAAAATAGATTGTGTAAAATAGCCGTTTTATACACTATCAGTATTTTTAACTAGCAAGAATAGAAGACAAACACTTTTTCACTTTAAATTCCATTCTAGCCAGCACCAGCGTCCTGGATTAAAAACCGTAAATTTAAGAATAATTAGAAGCAAAAAGCAAAAGTTACCTTCTTTATAGCACTGCTGTTTTTGTGTACATAGTTATTTAGCAAGATTTTTGTTTCGTTTTTTGAATGAAGCAACTATCCTATTTTCCCTTAATCCTCCTAATGCAATTTTCGAGTGAGAAGACACTGGTGGTGTTTTCTTTCTCCTGGATAATCTTACTAGCAGAAAAACAGAGGGAGCAGTGGGGAATTGTAATGCAGGGTTACTGATCCACAAATTATAGCAAAGGAAGAATTGATCTCTAGGGAGCTCCACCCCTTTAACAAGCTTCCCTTCAGCTGCAGCTACTGTACAGCTGCCCAAGGCTGATGGGAAAGAATTTATACAAAACTATACAGAAATAAAATCTAAATCATGGCACTGAACAGACTGTCAGCTGTATCCAATTGGATTTTGATTCAGAGACAACATTAAGTACATGAGAAGGCATCCAAAAGAATAAGAGCTCAGACAAAGACTTGAATTTTTAGCTTTAGAGACAACGAACGATAATTCTTTAGAGGGTATGTGAGCATTGTGTCAAAATCATCTAATAGAACATACAGGTAGTCCTCGACCTATGACCACAATTGAGCCCAAAATTTTTGTTGCTAAGTAAGACATTTGTTAAGTGAACTTTACCCCATTTTATGACCATTCTTGCCACAATTGTTAAGTGAATCAATTCAGTTGTTAAATTATTAACCCAGTTGTTAAGTGAATCTGGCTTCCCCATTGACTTTGCTTATCAAAAGGTTGCAAAAGGTGATCACATGACCCCAGGACACTGCAAACATCATAAATAGGAGTCAGTTGCCAAGCGTCTGAATTTTGATCACGTGAGCGCAGGGATGCTGCAATGGTGGTAAATGTGAAAAATGGTCATAAGTGCCATTTTTTCAGTGCCGTTGTAACTTTGAACAATCACCAAATGAACTGTTGTTAAGTCGAGGACTACTTGTGCATCTTGTAAAGGCATTGATATAAATTCTTAGCAGAATGAGTCAAGAATTACTACTACCTTATAACTACTGGTATGTGAGTATTTTATGGCCCCTGGGCCACATCTGGCCCTTTGGCTGTCCCTGTCTTGCCCACGTGAAGTCAATCAGAAATTAGAAATCAAATGCAAATAAGTATATGCAATGCACGCAATTCACTGCATTGCTTTTATTTTGAAGGCGAGTGTTCTTTTTTTTCAATTTACGTGTGGGTCCATACACACCTTCACAGCACTATTGGTTCGGCCCTACACAACAGTCCCAGTTTTTTATGTGGCCCCTTGGGAAAATTAATTGCCGATGTAGCCCAATGTAGGACAAGGCTTTTTTAAACTGATCTCTTTTTGGTAAATATGGAGAGGAGAGAGAATTCATTTTATTATTATTTCACTTCTATTACCCTTCATCCACATTACATGTTGGCTACATGTCACACTAGGTTCAAATGTATTTTCTCAACTATGTAAGGAGTCCATTTACATATAGGAATGGGACATCACAAACAAGAACTTCCCCATTTCACATCACCTTCTTATAACCCGTATCTAGTTATTGGTGAAGAAATGCCCCAAAATCTAGCCTACATCTCTGGGAATGTGAGATCTTTTTGAACACTGAATTGTTTTAGGATTTATTGCAACTCTGCAACTCCATAACAATTCATCTGAGTTTGGAAAGCCCTGTCTCTATAAATTTTTATCCTTTTCAGGAAACTGTCTCCTAGCTTTTCTCCTTTTTCTTTTGATCCTAACAGAATCATTTTCCTTCTACCTTAGATGCAAGTCTAAGACAAAAAGCTCCTTTCTGTTAAAGTTTGAAAATAACTTAATTAAGACAGGTTCAGAGTAACAGATTATAAGTATTAAAAATCACTTCAGGATTTTATTTGAAATTATTGATTTACATCTATGACAGAAGAGCAACAACTACATTTTATTAGCATTTCTTTTGTGACCTTTGCATTCATTTTTGCATTTTGGGAATGGGGCAGAAGTGGTAATATAAATATTCTACACCTTATAAATACGTGCATCCATTTCACCCCTTAAAACTTGAGCATCCCTTTTAAAACAAGCTTAATCCTATCTAACTTTTGGAATATGGGTCTCTTGAATACATTCATATTTGAAATTTGATCTTTTTGTTTTTTAAATCACTGATGCTGCTTTTTGCAGAATATACAAATCACTGTAATAAAATTGGCTCTGACAACAGTTATTTTCCCATTCTGCTGAGCAACACACCTGCTACTGCTGTACTATCATATTTGCATGTGACACCTGGGCATTTTTGCTTGCTAGGATAAAAAATATATTTATTGCCAACACATTCACAAGTAGTTTTGTAAAAGAGCATCATTCAACCATCTAATTTATTGGACCCGTGTCCCTCCTGGTTAGTGCTGGCTTCTCGGGAGGTGACACGAGGCTGGTTCCAGGGGATTATAAATGCTTCGCTGGGTGAGGGTGTCTTTCCTGCCGCCTTGAAAGAGGCGGTGGTGAGGCCTCTCCTCAAGAAGCCTTCCCTGGACCCGGCAATGTTGGTAAATTATCGTCCGGTCTCCAACCTTCGTTTTGTGGCAAAGGTTGTTGAGAGTGTGGTTGCGCAACAGCTTCCCCAGCACCTGGATGAAACGACGTATCTGGATCCGTTCTAGTCGGGCTTCAGGCCCGGGTACAGCACGGAAACGGCATTGGTCGCGTTGGTTGATGATCTCTGGAGGGCTCGGGACAGGGGGTGCTCCTCTGTCCTGGTCCTGTTAGATCTCTCAGCGGCTTTTGATACCATCGACCATGGTATCATGCTGCACCGGTTGGAAGAGTTAGGGGTGGGAGGCACTGTGTTGCGGTGGTTCTCCTCCTTTCTCTCTGACCGGTCGCAGTCCGTGTTGACAGGGGGACAGAGGTCGACCCCGAGGCCCCTCATATGTGGGGTGCCGCAAGGGTCGGTCCTCTCACCTCTCCTGTTCAACATTTATGTGAAGCCGCTGGGCGAGATCATCCGTGGTTTCGGGGTGGAGTACCATCAGTACGCTGATGACACCCAGCTGTACATCTCCACCCCGGATCACCCCAACGATGCCCTTGAAGTGATGTCCCGGTGCCTGGAGGCCGTACGGATCTGGAGGGACAGGCTCAGGCTCAACCCATCCAAGACCGAGTGGCTGTGGTTTCCGATGTCCAGATATAGCCAGTTGACGCCATCACTGACTATTGGGGGCGAATCATTGGCCCCCACGGAGAGGGCTCGCAACTTGGGCGTCCTCCTGGATTCACGGCTGTCTTTAGAAGAGCACTTGACGGCCGTGACCGGGAGGATTTTTTATCAGGTCCGCCTGATTCGCCAGTTGCGTCCCTTTCTGGATCGGGACTCGTTACGCACGGTCACTCATGCCCTCGTCACCTCCCGCCTGGACTATTGTAATGCTCTCTACATGGGGCTCCCCTTGAGGAGCACCCGGAGGCTCCAACTGGTGCAGAGTGTGGCCGCGCGGGTGGTAATGGGAGCGACATGGCGCTCCCATGTAACACCTCTCCTGCGCGAGCTGCACTGGCTCCCGGTGGTCTTCCGGGTGCGCTTCAAGGTTTTGGTTACCACCTTTAAAGCGCTCCATGGCTTAGGGCCTGGTTATTTACGGGACCGCCTACTACCACCAATAGCCTCCCACCGGCCAGTACGCTCTCATAGAGAGGGACTCCTCCGGGTGCCGTCAGCCAAACAGTGTCGACTGGCGGCCCCTAGGGGGAGAGCCTTCTCTGTGGGGGCACCTACCATCTGGAATGAGCTCCCCCCGGAGATACGGAGGATCCCGGATCTGCGCTCCTTCCGCCGTGCTGTGAAGACCTTTTTATTCCATCAAGCGGGCTTGGCCTGATCTCTTCCCTTTTTAAATATGTAAATTTTAATCTGTTTTTAAATTATTGGGGTATTTTAATTTGTCTGGGCCAAAAAGTTTAATTTGATTTTATCGGGTTTTTAAATTTTGTGTATTTATGTATTTTATTGTTGGCTGTTCACCGCCCTGAGTCCTTCGGGAGTAGGGCGGTATACAAATCAAATAAATAAATAAATAAATAAATAAATAAATAAATAAATAAATCTCAAGCAGCATTGCAACTGGAACAAGATATTGGGAACAGATGTTAGCACTTCTGTAGGCCAACTTATTCCAAAGGAGATTTGCTTTGCAAGTAAGAGAAGCAAATTGCATTTGATTTCTGTCACAATAATGCCTTAACATAGGTAAAGGTTTCCCCTGTCCAGTCATTTCTTACTTCAAGGGGAGGTGCTTATCTCCGTTTCTTAGCCGGGGAGCCAGCATTGTTCAAAGACCTTTTCCGTGGTCATGTGGCCAAGGCACACAGAATGCTGTTACTTCTCTTTGAAATGGTACCTCTTTATCTACTCACATATACATTCTTTCAAACTTCTAGGTGAGCAGGAGCTGGGGAAGCAACAGAATCTCATCCTGTTGCACGGCACTTGAAAGGCTGCCAACTTTCCAGTTGACAAGCTCAGGGTCTTTAACTGCTGAGCCACCATTCCCCCACCTTAACATAACATGTGAAACTACTCATCTTTTTTTTTTTAATGCAGGTTTAGTAAACTAAGTTGTGACTGTTTTTTGATCAATTAGCTATGTGCCATCAAAGTCAATATCATCTCTAAGCAACCAACAGATACTTTCTCCAGGAGGACCATGACTATTTTCAACAATAATAAAAGCACAAAAAGAACATATTAGGGCAGAGAAAATGAGAAGGGAAGATAATTTTAGGTTGTGACCTATGGAGCTCTATCAGGTCACTCAGTTTATGCTCAAAAATTTCCTAGATGGAAGTAATTGAAGCAGTATACGGGTAATTATGACTCCACACTTCCACACAAAAGCTGTAGTTGATGGGTTTGGCATTCAATGCTATACACCTGCAGACACCTACTTTCCTAAAAGAAATATTTCTTGCTTTTACCTGCACAATACAGGACAGATGTGACTATATGAAACATGCAAGTATGGGACACTATTAGCTTGTGCTGTTCAAGGAAAGAAACGGGAGGATTTCCAGCTTTCCCTGAGCATGGAGAGTACACAGAGCGCTACCACTTAAACTTTCCCCACTGATAGGAAATGGGACCTTTGCCAATTTACACCCCTTAAAATGATGCCCCCATTGAAACTGCGACGTGTCCTCCTTTTTTTCTCCCCCCCCCCACTAAACTCCAATGCAAATTTTTAATCAAGGATCTTTTCTGCAATAAAAAAAGCTGATACCACCAGAATAGTGTGTTCCTCTGCTATTAAATCATGAAAAGTAACCCTTATTTATGACCTTGCACATTTGCCAAAACCCTGGGAAGCTGAACCCTGGTTTACCCAACTAAGGCACTGTTAAACCAACACTGAACCGTAAACCAATTAACGCCAGGTTGAGTCAGCTACTGGGTCAATGCGTCGTGGGAAGACCATTATTTCATATTTAGTCCTCCCGCTAACAACGCACGAGAAGCCCTGGGCTGCTACTTATGCTTCTTGCCTGATGACACCGAGACCGGGAAAGGAGGGGAGGCAGAAAAAGGGGGGAGACTATACTTAAGCCTCCCTGGAACCCCCAAGAGCAGAAGTTACCTACGTTGCGTAATAAAGAAGGTCGCCCGCAGCATTTCTCTGCCTGGGGCGGAAACTCCAAAGGCGCTTCAGCGGGGAGCTTCCCCTTTTGGCTCCCGAGACGGACGGGCGTTCCGCGCGCGAGGCTTGCCGTGCCCCTCTCAGCCCCGCTTGCCTGGGCGCCCGCGCCCGCTTCCTATTACAGGCTAGCCCTCCCTTCGTTCACACGCAGCGGCAACGCGCAACACCCCGCCAGCGTCAGGCTCCCTAGGCCAAAGAGCCCGCCTTCCCCGAAAGACCTATCCGCGGCTGCAGCCGGGCCCAGAGTCCTCCTCTTTCCCGCGAACCAAAACAAACCTCCGCTTCTCGGGGGGCGGAGCAGGACACGGAGGGACACGGAGGCAGGAAGCGGCCATGGCGGACTGGGGCCGAGGTGAGTGCAAAAAAAGGAGGAGGGGGAGGAGGAGGAGAGGGGGGGAAAGAGCGAGTGGGTTCCGCGGCTCTCCTTTTCTTCATTGCCTTGACAGGTCCATTAGTTTTGGAAGAGGAGCGGGATGCAAAATAAGGAAGGGGTGTTTTCGAGCCATCCTCTGCTTAGAGTTCTCTCCATTCCTTTCGCATTACTCCAACCTTTTGGGGATGGGGACTGGCACCATCGTCTGTGGAACATCTGGCAGGCAGCTGGCAGGAGAGAATGTCCTCCAGGAAGAACAGTTGACTTCTCCGTTCTCTTCTCTCCGTGGCCACTACGCCTGCTTTCCTGCTTTCACTTAAGGGTCTTGGTTGGGGCTGAAGAAAGGCAATAGTAAAATAGTAAAATACAGCAATAGTAAAATACAGAATAACAGAGTTGGAAGGGACCTTGGAGGTCTTCTAGTCCCAACCCCCTTGCCCAAGCAGGAGACCATACGAAATGGTGATAGGATACCCTGGTATATGGAACTGGGTAGGCTTTGGTGGCATAGCCATTTTTCATTGTTTTTATCTTTTTACAAAAGCATTTATTTTTGAACTCTTGCCAGCTCAATAACATTTTGAAGCTGGATTTTGGGGAAATGTTCCCTGTGTGTGTTAAATTCTCTAGACATCTGTAGGTTTGTCCTTTTCTATGAACTCCTACATGTATTCTTAGCTGTTCTTAAGTTATGACTCTTTTTTTTTTTTTGCAGGTCCAAACGCAAATGCAGTGGATGATATGTTAGATGTGGAAAATAAGCGCATGACAGAAAATCTGGCCACTAAAGTCACCCGTCTAAAATCGGTTGGTAGCTCACTCGATCTGTTAGTTTTTCACTGCTAGCTTATTATAATGAGTTCTCTATGCTGGATTTTTTTTCTTTATGCCGGATTTTTTTTCTCTATGCCGGAATTTTTTTTTCCTCTATTACTATTGAAGAAATGAAAATTGTAATTTTGATCAATCTTTTCCAAAATCAGTATTATTACTAAAATATGTCAAAGATGAGAATGTTAAAAACAATAATTTCTTCTTTTTTAAATCTAGCTTGCATTGGACATTGACAAAGATGCTGAGGATGAAAACCAGTACCTGGATCATATGGTAAAGAACTATTTGCAGTTCATGTGGAATTATTAGTGAAACCTTCCATATACTTGTGCCTTCATCCTGTGAAGGATGAGTTATAGAATATCGGACAATACACTTGAGTTATATAAAAACGTGATTTTGTGAGAAGATTGTACCAATCACATTTAAAGAAGTTATTACTACTAAACTTTCTTCCTTCCTGGCAACTTTCGTCATTTTGTTTTCATTCCAAAGCAAAACAACAACAAAAACCAATGTATTTTATCCTGCCATGGAGTTCCCAGAGATATATGTTTGTGTGCGCTACTTTTCTAAAAGAAGTCAAATATGAACCTTTGGTCTCCATTGCTCATAAAATATTTTAAGAAACTGCTTTGTATAGTCAAATTGGTGAAGTCAATTTCAAAAGGATTTCCTATATATAAACATTTCCATGTTTGCAAGTACAAATCATGTATAGGCTATTGCATATTATAAAAATAACAAGTGGTCTGTAATGCTGGTAAATCACAACCAGTCATGGCAGCTGTGGCTTGTTATTTCATGCACATGTTAGTTTTCCCTTTATATTATCATTGTAATATTTTTTGCATATGATATGTTCTGTTCATCATACTGTTTTGTAAGACTTAAGTTTAATAGTCTGTTCATTATTAATAAAAATGAATGATGGACCTCAGACATGTAATTTTTCTCCTATTGGATAAACTGGGAGGATACATAACGTTAGAAAATTCATAGTGAAAAATACTGCAGCATCACTATAGTATTACATTGTGAATGTTGCCAATGTAAGAAGTATGTTTGTGTATGTTTACAGTTTGATTTGATTAGGAGCTGCCCAACTGAAGAATGACTAGGTTGCTCACAATACAATGAAGGAAATAAAAACACAATTCTAAAAGACAAAACCAGAAGAGTAAGGAAGAAAAAGAACAAGATGATTGATAGAATTTTCCTTTCAAATATTTAACAGTTTAATTAATAATTTCTTTAAATGGGAATCAAAAAATCTCTCAGATTCTAGATTTTCTTGGCTATTTTGAGCAATGGGAGCAATCTAATCTATAATGTGTTACAGTTATCTTTGTTTGTTTGTTTTAGGATTCTGATTTTATGAGCGTGACAGGTCTTCTCACAGGAAGCGTGAAGCGTTTCTCTACTATGACTCGGTCAGGAAGGGACAACCGCAAGCTTCTCTGTTATGTCTCTGGTGGACTGGTTCTTGTCTTCTTCATCTTGTATTATTTGGTAACAAGAACACGAACTTGAGGAAAATTATTAGTTTTGTACTGGATGTTAGTTGAAGGAAAAAAGTGGTAGTGGAAAATGGAGCTGTGAATGACCTTCAGATGTGTATCTTGGGAAGGATTATTTAAATTTTCACAGTAACCCAGAAGCTCCTTTATGAACTACAGCATGATCTCTCCATTCTGAACTCATCTTTTTTCTTTAAAGGGGATATGATGTTGTCTCTTTCTACTTGAACGCTCAAATGCAACACAATTCACTGAAATGAAGTCTCTTTCCCTCTGCCCTTGTATTAGTTTGCTGTCTTTACTTGGTGAAAGAGGAAGCATATTGGTGATTTGCTTTCTGCAGTTTATGGTTCAGCAGGAAAATCCTGACAAAGTTTAATAAAAATGTTCTAATGCCCATTTTGATGGGGAAAAAAGTGTTGCTTAAAAGACTGTTGTTGGAATATGTGCATTTTTTAGAAGTAGTCTGTCACATTGGAATGTCTTCTAAAGCAAAATTGCTTTATCACTGTTTTTGGATAAACCAGCAGCTATAAACAATGATCCTTGCTTGTTAACTCTCAAAGAGGTGTGTAGAAGAACAGAGTTGGACTTAAAGCACTCACAAAATAGAATATATGACATTATTTCTGCTTTTTTCTTTTTCTATTCTAATCAATCCTTTAACTGATTTGCCAGTTTTGAGTTGTACTAACCATGTAGTAAGTTAACATATCTTCATTTTTTAAACTTTGTCCAAATCAACCTTAAGGTTCTTTTTTAATTTGATGTACTGATTCTAGATTAAAATTTCAATTTTATGCATATTTTCCTAAATTGTATTTTATTGAATTCAATAAGATTTATTTTTGAGTAACGTGCATAGGATTTCATTGTAGTTCTAGAGGTATTTTGACAACTAATGATTGATTCTCATCTCGCTAGCATCAATAATATTTTCCTTCTGATGTTTATTATTAAAGCATTAGCAGCATTTAAGCCAAAATAGTATGTACAATTACAGGTACTGCTCAACTAATGACCACAGCTGAGCACAAAATTTCCATTGCTAAGCGAGACAATTGTTAAGTGAGTTTTGCTCCATTTTATGACCTTTCTTGCCACAGTTGTTAAGGGAATCACTGTAGTTATTAAGTTAGTAACATGGTTATAAAGTGAATCTGGCTTCACTATTGACTTTGCTTGTTAGAAAAATCACAAAAACTGATCACATGACCCCAGGACAATGCAATTGTCATAAATACATGTGTGTTGCCAAGTGTCCAAATTCTGATCACATGACCATGGGGATGTTGCAAGAATTGTATGTGTGAAAAACAGCCATAAGTCACTTTTTCAGTGCTATTGTAACTTTGAATGGTCACTAAAAGAAAAGTTATAAGTTGAGGGCTACCTGTAACAAGGCAATTGTGTATTTGTCTACTGAAAAGAACTCTAGATGTACAACACAAGATTTTTATTTCATATCTGATTCATCAATACTTTTGGTTTCCAAAATACAGTTTGCCACCATATATGGTTCCATAGTGGGGAAAAAAGAATAGAAGGAACAGGATATCCAGTGCTGGTCCATTTTGGATCTTCCTGTAATTGGTGTACATGTACCTTTCACTTGAACCAAGTGAATATTCTTTTGTGGGTGAATCTGAATTGCAACTTATCTCACAATTGAAATAGTAACATTCACATTGTATTTAAATTTGAAAATAAAGTAAGTTTAAGCATTATGACAACATTCCCAATTTTCCAGAGCATTCATTAGGCCTGTTTTTCTCAATGTTGGCCATTTTAAAATGAGTGGACTTTCAACTCCCAGACTTACCCAGCCGGCCATGCCTTCTATTTTCCATATTGTATACCATAAATGGAGAATTAATTTTCATTGAAAAAAAGGACAAAGTAGACACTGACTTTCCAATTTATTTATTCTAAACGAAGATAGTAAAGTGATATACAAAATATTTTTTAATGTGACTTACTGCAAGAATAGCAAGTTCTGTGAAATAGTTCTGAAGCAGGAATCCAAGTAGGTTTTTAGAAAAAAATATATACTATAAAATATTTCTAATTTCAATTTCTGGAAAATGACACCATGGTCTCTATATTAGTGTCAAGAATCTAGGCATATATTCAGCAGGGCAAAATTTGCAATGGGCTCTCTTCATCACAAGAGGTGGCTGTGGCACATTCTTTTTGTCAGAGAGATTAGAATGTCAGTCTCAAACAATAACTGGTTACTGAATATTTGTGATAGTCCTTCCAGACAGGTGTTTATAAAACATGGTGAAACAGTTGTTAGTTGGTTTTGAAGCTTTAAAAATAGATAGCTTTGAAACGTGAGCAACATGATATAAAAACAAGTTGAAAAACCAATGTGATTTCTGCATAGAGGACAAAGTCAGTAAACGTCCACAATCACAGGGGTTGTATAATCAGAATGTCTGATTCCAAAACTGATTACAGGAGCACAAGATATCTAGAGATAGGAGGGTGAAAACAGGTAAGGCAAAATTGACGTGTCTTCTGGCTATTGGTACATTTTTGTACTGTAAAATTAGTACATTTTAATAGCATTTATTTTCTTCGAATAAGAAAAATATTGTTTATAATAGCAAACGTAGTGGTAGACACCAAGACCCATTTAGCAGATGGGGTCCTCAAGAGAGAGAGCTCAAATACTATGCCCTTCCCTCAATCTTGACTTTTAACTGCTTACAGCCAAGAAAAGGACATACAGCCACTACTTTCCTACTGATACAGCAGCTGTAGGCTTGAACCTCATGACGGTCTCTTCTCACTTTCAGCCACCCATGGCCCTCAACTTCTTGCCCCAGAAGATACCTTTCCCCCACTTAGCCAGGTAAGAGTATCCTTCTTATATGCCTAGGCTATATCTCTTTGCTGCCATCTAGAGGTCTTCTGAAGCTTTGATAATGGAATCCCTGGAGGTATATTGCAGTACAGCAGACTACAGACTTTTTCAGGCTGCAGAAATTTTTAGTTGTCTTTTTAAAAAAACTCAAAACCTCTAATTAAAAGGCAGACATCTGATGATATCCTATCTGAACAGAAACCAGAGCATTGTAATGTTAGAAAATTAGCTGCATTTGAGTGAAGAGGTTTTTTCTTTATCCTTATTCTCCCATTAAGTCTCACGGAACCTTAGGTTCTCCATTTCAGATTCCATGGATATAATTTGAAAAGGAATGTTGTGTGGGAGATGCCTATTCTTTCTCCCTGCATCCCTTCAAAAGCTAATAGAAGACGAGCCAGAAGAAGAAAGGGAGCAATCAGCAGAAACAGTTGAAGAAGCTGTTGGAGCCTCCAGGGATTCCAGTTCCAGTGCATGCACTAGTCAAAGGGCAGTAGAAAAGAAGGGGAGAGCAATCCTTTGTAATGTCAGTTCTTCTATTCTTTGCTTCCTTCTTACTTCAATAACTTTTTTCCTCTATAACTCCTCTTGAGGCCCTGGACTTGAGCTACCATGTCTGGATCATAAAAACCTAGGCTTTACAAAACTCTTCTATTATCTTATGGTCTGGATCAGCATTTCTCAACCTGGGCAACTTTAAGATAGCTGGATTTCAACACCTAATTCTAGGCATTGAAGTCGACCTATCTTGGAGTTGTCAAGGTTGAGAAACACTGGTCTATTTTTCGCAGCTTCGATAAGATGGCCCTTCTTTAGACAATCAGGCTTGTTGACAGCATGGGACAAGGGGTGGGTGACCAGAGGAAGCTTTTCAGCACTTTTCTTAGATTAGAGCTAAAAGCTACAGATTTATCTTAGTTTGTGGGAAGAGCTTACATTACAGTTGGGAACTCTGAATATCAGAGTCAACTGTAGTTTTAAGAAAGCAGATGTTTCTTCTGGGGCAAGATAAAAGTTAGGAAGAATGAATGCCCAATTTCATTCCTAATGTAACAAGTTATTGGAATATGCGAATGGATTATATGAATGTTGCAGGGTAAAGGAAAAGATCACATTCTTAAAAATAAAGTATGTAGCGAAACGGTCTTCTATTGTACAAGAATAAATGCAACATTCTTCCCTCCATACATTTTAGCCCTAATAAATGTCATAACCCTTATGAAAATTAAGTAATACTTTTTCAGGTGGGTGGACATTTTTCTTTTTTTCTGTAAAAAAATATATAATTTTCTCACCTTTCCCAGTTCATACTCTGCAGGTCCAGGCATTTTGTCAGTCTTCTGATCTTTGAGTCGGCCTGCCATGGTATATTTTGGTGCACTCTTTTTGTAGATCTCTACACTGGGCTTGTGATATGCTGCTGGACCTGGGGTCTAGAAAGGAAAAGCCACACAGTGCCCAAGTTGAAAAGGAATGTAGGTAGCTCATATATCATCTTCTAGAAAAACTGGGCAGTTCATTACACATTTCAGGAATTATTGTTATGTGCATAGTCAGGAATTATTTTGTTCCTTCTGCTTTTTATTAATTTAAATAATGTTCATATCTAGCCTTCTTTGATTGAATACAGCTTCTCTACCAATCTGATAGTATTGGGGAAAGTTCTAGATAGCTGTAGACTATAGGCAAAGAAGTCTTCCTTCTGTCAGCCTCCCTGCACTCACAGTTATCCCGCTTAACAACCCACATAGCTGAACGCAACTAAGACTGTCTGGATTTGCTGTCGCTAAATGATGCAATTCATGACATTGCTCTTCACGGCCACATCACATAGCAACTGCAATCTTGGTCCCAATTGCCACTGTAACCTAAAGACTAGCTGTAGAGTTCATTGCTAGGAGACAGGTTTATGTTCTGTTGGGATAGGATGGAGGAGAGAGAAAAACAGAGACGAGGGCAAAGAGGATGCTGGCTTTGGCCATGGGGCTGATTTCAGGAAAAGACAGCAGCACTTTAAGGAGCTGGAGATAGATGCTGTGTGTATGTTCCCATCTGCCCCAAAGCATAACTGAAGGGCTGGATAGCCCAAGAAAATATTACTTTGGCCCAACTATGAATTATTTGAAATTAAGTATCCTAGTCTTCTAGGTGACTCATGTTGGTATTGTATGTGTAAATGCACTGTCACTCACTTTTCAGCAATTCATGATCTGACTAACAGAATGACAGAGTTGGATGGGACCTTGGAGGTCTTCTAGTCCAACCACCTGCTCAGGCAGGAGACTATACCATTTCAGACAAATGGTTGTCCAATCTCTTCTTAAAATCTTCCAGTGTTGGAGCATTCACAACTTCTGGAAGCAAGTTGGTCCACCGATTAATTGTTCTAACTGTCAGGAAAGTTCTCCTTAGTTCTATGTTGCTTCTCTCGATTAGTTTCCATCCATTGTTTCTTGTCCTGCCTTCAGGTACTTTGGAGAAGAGCTTGACTCCTTCTTCTTAGTGGCAATTCCTGAGATATTGGAACACTGCTATCATGTCACCCCTAGTCCTTCTTTTCATTAAACTAGATACACCCAATTCCAGCAACTATTTTTTATGTTTTAGTTTCCAGTCCCATAATCATCTTTGTTGCTCTTCTCTGCACTTTTTCTATGGTCTCAACATCTTTTTTCCATTTTTTGGTCATCAAGTGATCAAAACTGGATGTAGTATTCCACGTGTGGCCTTACCAAGGCATTATAACGTAGTTGTTAACACTTCACTTGACTACCAGGGAGCAGTGGAATGTAGATAGAGAACTAAAATTGTGCACTCTTTCTTCTCTATTTTCTATCCCTCTGCCTGTTCTTTGTTTATGATGTTCCCAATCTCAGGTTGCTTCCTTCTGCCTTTCTTCCTAGACACCCAAGCACAGAGCACCTATTTGGCACTCTTCCTTGTAGGATGTAGGTACTAGGCTTTGCCTATCCCTACCATGTATTTCCTGTAAGTAGATTTTTTTTTTCTCTTATAAAATGTGTTTCACTACACATTGCTCAGGTCGGATTTCTGCTCTTTGGAATGCTTTACCTTTAGCATCCCATCCTTGAGACTATGATGCAAAAATATAACTGCAAATCCCACACAGAATACATCCCACACAAGTAAACCAAGGAAACTGAAAAACAATTCTGTACAACTGTTGTGCTTTCCTCCAACTTCAGAGAAAGATCATCTTTCTCCCCATTATATCCAAAGAAGCCACACTGATCCCCCACCTCCAAGCAGACAAGATCTTGTGAATAACCAATAGTCAGTTCCCGTGAAAGTTTATGCTGACCAAATATTCATGAGCATAACCAAGATATATGAAGTAGAACAGCACTGTATTCCGAATTCTTCAAGAAGGAAGTAGAGAAATAAAGTCCCTGCCTGCGGAGCTTAGCTATGTCTGTTAATAATGAGTTATGACTTAGAGTATTGTACAAATTTAGTCAGTTGTAGATTGTTTATCAAAAGACTCAAGCAATATATGACCCCCAGATGTCTTTCTTGGTGTCTAGATGTCTTCAAGTGGATCCCAAACATTTTCTTAAATGAGTAAAATGCTGAGCAGCTGCAGTCCAGAATTCGGCTTAGAAATCTAACCATCCACCCCTCCCACACAGAAAAAGATAAGAAGATGCAATGGAAAGTGTCCTGTAGGGAGTAGGAGATGGGGTAGCTGGTAGCAATCTAGCAAATCATGTCCATAGGGCAGCCATTTTGTAACTGGGCAAAAGTTTCACCCAGCAGCTGCTTTTGCAAAAGTATCAGAATTCCATATATGTTCACCAGTACAATCCCCCCCAACTTTTCATATTAATTATTTAATGAATAAAGTACAAATTGCTGCTTTTTATCACTCCTCTATTAGTCATCTGGATGGAGTTTTGACTCCATCAAGATAGAGACAATGGGAAGAGTTAAGTGCAACTCAACAATGTAACCATTATGCTGCCCAACTGTAAGTAGCAGAAGACCACAAATGTTGGGTTTAAAAGCCAAATGTGTTTCCAGATTGTCCATTGTGGTAATGAAATTACAAAGTCTGGTACAACAAAATAAGAATTGAGTCCACAGATTACCTTGTGAAGGTCTTCATCAAAACGTCCAAGCTTACTCTTTCCTGTCATAGAATAGGAAGGGCTGCCTGAGGTAGCCACTGAGTGTGGTCCAAGGACCTCTGGAATCATATAATTGTTAGGACCTGGAAAAATGTGAATATTACCAAAATGAAGAGTGAGAATTCTGGCAATCCTGGAGAAAGAGACTGGTAATCACTGATTTTCAAAGTGCTACTTTGGGTTTGTCTAGACTAGGATTTGGGAATAACAGCCTTTCACTTTCTGGCACTTTCTAGACATGTTCCAGGATTTCAGTTCCCAGAATTTTCAGTGAATAAACTTTCCTGTGGCATTGCTGATTGGGAATTCTGAAAATTGAACCCACAAATTAGACTATGGAAGGTTGTTCATGAGAATAGTTGAGTATTTTTCTTTGATTGTCAAACTATCACAAGACATCACAACTGATTTTTGAATACTTTCATGTCCAAAGGCAATTTCTGAATTTTATTGTTTAAAGAGGTATGAAGGGCTCTTTCTGTGCTATGCCCATTTTGTTGTTGTTCTTGTTCTTGTTTAAATCAATTTCCCACCACGTTTATGTTCTAGCTGCACAATTGGTCCAATAAATTGTGGATAGGCATAGTGCAACAGAGATAGGCACAACTGAAACTTACCTCAATGAGAAAAAAAAATCTTTTGTAGTGGGAAGAATCACAATTCTATGATCTTCGGTTCAATTACACATAATCAAATTCAGTTGGGCTTTTCTCCAAGGAAACCTGCATGGAACTGAGCTGCATCCCAGTTTATTAGATGATATTGCTCTGAATTGTGAATTAACAGGATCTGGCTATGATTCCTTCAAACAATAGCAAAGTCAAACAACAAACAGAAGGAATCAGACTTACCTGGTGTGCTATCCACCTTTCCTCCATGAGTTCGATATCCCATGGAATGCATGGGAGAAGCTTTATAGATAACCTTTTTTGCCTTATCAGGTGAGTAACAGGCTAGGAAAAACAGACAACATTGCTGAAAACTAGATTTAAACTTAATTTTCATTGTACCTTGTATGTCTTAAAGTAGGACTGAGCAATTTTATTCAGGACCAGGTATTGTTCTTTCTTTTTGAGGTTAGATCAGAGACCACACTTTAAAAAAGTAGATAGGGTTGGCTCGCGAAATTGGGCAAGAATGGAGCAAAAAAATAAATTTGATTTAATTTGATTTAATTTCAAATTTCCAGAAAATAAAGTAAATAATTCAGATACAATTAATTATTGAGTGACACCCCCCCCCCCAAGTTAAAAATATAGTGGCCATTTTTTGAATGGCTTTGGGAATTGTGTTTAAGGCATCAAGAAATCCCAGAACTGTAAGCCAAACTAGGATACTGGGGAAAAAAACCATTCTGGAAGAAGCAATGGTAAACCACTTCTGTATTGTTGCTAGGACATGAACCTCTTCTGTGGCCACCATGAGCCAAGTTAGTTACAGGATAAAATATAATCTTTGCACCATTTTTTCTGCTTGCAAAGAGGAACAGGGTTAGAACTTTAGAAGTAATATAGAGGAGAAAAAACATTGAAAGTAATAAGCTAGGAGAGGTATGTGTGTGTACACAAAAAAGTTATCTTGTCAACGTGATCAATTTGTCCATCTGAACATTCACATTTTGAACAAATAGTAGGCTGTTCATCCCATTCTTATAATCTAAGTACACTAGTTTGCTTATTTATTTGATTGATTGATTAATTTGAGTACTGCCCACATCTGATCTAAAGGTGACTATTTTCTGAACGTTGAAGTCAGTTCTTCAAGCACCAAGATCTATTTTTAAACAAAGCCTTCTTGTTAACTGAAAACAGTTCTGCATGATGAAACTGCGAACGATAACATCACTTCCTTTTCTTGTACAGGTGATGACAGGGTTTTGTTTCTATATAACCACCCAGAATCTTTCAAAACCAGAGCTTTTAGAAGAGGCAATCCACTTGATTTATATACTTGGGATCGAAGTCTGTTACTCACCGGGACCAGGGGTAGTCTCCACTTTTGTTTCAGTTCGCCCACTTAATGAATAAGAGGGACCAGTCTTCTTTCCTCTATTAGTCACAGTACCCTGCACAAAGTAAGGACCCGGAACATTGTCCTTGCTAGATGGAGGCTTTGCACCATACATACTATAGGCAGGCGCTTTCCTTTTGGTGGGAATGTGCGATACATAACCTGGAAAGAAAAGAGTTGCATCATGTCAACTTTATAGTAGTATGACCCCCTAAAATGATAAATATCTTCCTTTTGCAAGGAGATCCCAACCACAGTCAGAGAAACTGTTAGATGAGAGATAGTAGTAGCAAAAAATGAGGAGTCTGATAACACCTTTTCTAACTAAGAATTTTTTTTTTTAATTTGATTTATATGCTGCCCTTCTCCGGAGACTCAGGGCGGCTTACAATGCGTTAAGCAATAGCCTTCATACTTTTGTATATTTATACAAAGTCAGCTTATTGCCCCCACAAACCGGGTCCTCAATTTACCTACCTTAGAAAGGATGGAAGGCTGAGTCAACCTTGAGCCTGGTGAGATTTGAACTTACAGTAATTGCAGACAGCTGGTATTAATCACAATGCTATCAGTCTGCTGAGCCACCAGGCTTTTATTTAAAGGCATAAGTCTTGTGAGCTTCATCCAATGCTTTTATGTGCTGCAGTTCATGAAAGCTTATGCCTTTTAATAATAAATTTGTTAGAAAAGGTATAATCAGTTTCCTGACTTAGTATTCAGAAATTTTGCATTAAGTTGTATCATCTTAGCATCTTCTCTTCAGATAACAACTAACACAAACTTTGTAATCCCTGTCTCCTGATATCCTATAATCCAATACAGAAATCAGAGGCAAACCTAGGATTCTGTTCTGAAAAACTAATTTTTCCCCAGTTTAGCAACTGTCAGGATGTACTGACACTGCAACACCCAAAATTTCCTTCTGGCTGGGAATTGTGATTGAAATACATCTGTAGGGTGCCAAGCCAAGAAACCTGGTCTAGATATTAATGGAATAACATAGTTGGAAGGGAGCTTGGAGGTCTTCTAGTCCAACCCCCTTCTCACACAGGAAGCCCTATACCATTTCAGACAAATGGTTGTCCAATCTCTTCTTAAAAACTTCCAGTGTTGGAGCACCCACAACTTCTGGAGGCAAACCATTCCACTGATCAATTGTTCTGTCAGACATTTCTTCTTAGTTCTAGGTAGCTTCTCTCCTTGATTAGTTTCCATCCATTGCATCTGGTCTTGCCTTCAGGTGCTATGACCTCCATCTTCTTTGTGGCAGATCCTTCCTTAGATATTGGAATACTGTTATCATGTCACCCCTAGTCCTTCTATTAAACTAGACATAACCAATTCCAGCAATCGTTATTTATATGTTATAGCCTCCAGTCCCCTAATCATCTTTGTTGCTCTTCTCTGCACTCTTTCTAGAGTCTCAACATCTTTTTTACATCACGGTGATCAAAACTGGATGCAATATTCCAAGTCTGGCCTTACCAAAACATTATTTTTGCTGGCGCTTTTCCCAAATGATGTTTGAAAAGTTGTTTGATTTCTGGGTATAAACCAACTGAAAATAAAAATGGCTCAATAAAGTAACTTCCCGATTTCAACCTCACTTCAATTTTGGCTAGAATGAAGTCTTTGGTATTCCATATGGACCATGCTTCCCGTGGCCCTGAAGTGGTGCAATCCTCTATTTTTTTTATCCTTCCAACCAATGCTGGGAAAGCAGGAGCAAACCGTTTCCCTTTACATGAATGTTTCTTTGAGGATGTGTAATTTTCATTGATGGACAACTTCCCATTAAGGGTTTCTATTGATGGGTTGGTTATAAAGCAGGAAAAAAAAGACCTAAAGAGAAAACACCATTGTTTTACCATTCTTCCTGTCACCTGGGCTAGAAGGGGAAACTGGCAAAACTCTTGTCAATTTATCTTATCTTTATTTAATAATCCCCCATTATTTTACTCTTCCGTTGGTGAACTTAGAAGGAAAAAAAGCTTCTTGAGTTTCATACTCCAGTGACGAATTGGATTCATCTGTGAAGAGCAGTTCAGAAATGGGGAAGGCAGCTAAGCAGCACAGGGCAAGATGGTTGTGGAAAGCAAATGACCTATAGCACCAGTTAGAATGCAATATTTGTCTACAATGAAGTGAAGCACAACAGATAAACAGGGCAGCATGGCCAGTGCTGATACAAGTTGAAAAATTTTGATGTGCAGCACAAGATGGCTGAGGTTATCTTCCTGATGGCTAGGGTAGGGGGGCAGGGAAAGGATGGCCTCATCCATGTTGCCCTTGGGAAACAGTTAGGAGTCTGGATTTATGCTGGCACAGCTTGGATGTGCAGATCTACCCTCAACAGCATCACCAATCTGGAACCAAGATTAAGTGCTTCCAATTCAAAAGTTTGTCATTTGCCAACTATTGTTGTGTTGACAGAATTCTCGGTGTTGCAACCTCATCACTTTTGGAGGATATTAAGTGGAGGTGGCTGATCTAGATTTTAAGAGTTATGATGTTCCTGACATAATGTCAAGACCTGAAGTTTGAGAGGATGATTTTTCAGGAGGTCCCCAAGCCCTGAAATTAAATTCTACTTGAATCAGGGGGAAAAAACACCAAAAACAGTATTACAGTTTTAAAAAGCTATAAAAATAATAAGTGTAGAACATTAAATATCAGCATCAAGCAAGTACTATATTGACACATCAGGCACTAACTGGTAGGGATCACACTGCTGAAATGTGCAGAAAATCATTACAGAAATTTATTGCCAAAAGAGAATACATGTGGGTATGTTGTGATGTCTTTTCATGTTGAATTCTTTTTTAAAAAAAATCAGTTCTACTAATTGTTATTATTGGATGCTTTATCTAAGACATTTTTGGGTGGGGGTTTGCTATAAATGGCAATGATAAATAAATATATAACAAAACACTGACTATATTTTAAAGTCTTGAACATTTTTATTTCTATTTATTTACCTGTTGCTCCTTGTATGGAGTACTTGGGGCCAGGACTGGTATACTGGGCCATGATTGGGCCTCTTGGACGATGAGGCCTCCATGTTCCTATCCAACCTCCTTGGCTCATGGTGGATACTTACTCCAAAACCTGAGAAATGAAGAAATGAATACAGAACAAATGTTTTAAAACACCAACTGGATATTTCCTTTTATATTTTATACAGCCTTGTTGCATTTTCTCTGCTTTATTGGCATACAAGTGCTAAGAAAACATTTGGTCTTTACTTCCTACTTTAAGGTAGTCCTTGACTTATCACCATTCATTTAGTGGCCATTTACAGTTACAACAGCACTGAAAATTGTGACTTATGTGACTTCTGACCCTTTTTCACACTGACCATTGTGGCATCCTCATGATGAAGTGATCAAAATTCAGACATTTGGCAATTGTCATGTGCTTATGATAGTTGCAGTACCTCAGGGTCACATGATCATTTTTTGCGACCTTCTGACAAGCAAAGTCAATGGGGAAGCCAGATTCACTTAACAATCATGTTACTAATTTAACATCTGGAATGATTCACTTAACAACTGTGGCAAGAAATGTCATAAATGGGGCAAAACTCACTGATGAACTATCTTGCTTAGCAACAAAAATTGGAGGCTCAATTGTGGTCATACGTTGAGGACTACCTGTAATCCCTGTCTTCTTCTGTTTTCACCTTTTCTATCTACCCTTAGTGGGAAAGTATCACCAGGCCTCCCCTAAAAGCAGAGAAGGAATAGGAAGCAGCAATGGCATTAGGAAGAGTCATGGTAGACTTTTGTGAGGAGAAAAGAATTTTGATTGAGTAAATGATTGTGTATCAAGTCACTATTGATCTTTAGCAATCCCATATTGTGGATAGATTTTTCCATTACAATCTGTCGCCAACAAGATTTTTCAAGTCTTCCAGTATTGGGCAAAAATAAATTTGTCACCAAATGCTGACTCCTAAACACTTTCCCCTGAAGAATGTATATTGATTTTTTTATGGATTGAACTCACCTATACAAGTATTTAAGATTACACACCTAATTTATTTTTTCAGAATGTTGTTTGGTTATATTTCATAGGATTGGCAGACATTGTAAGAGGAATGATGTGTTCAGATCTATGGTAGCCAGAAATCAGGAGTCTAGTAGCATCTTTTCAGACTAACATATTTTATTAAAAAGCATAAGTTTTCATGAAGTACCCCTCACTTCATCAGATGGATGTCTGTTTGCTAAGACTTTCTGGATTAGCCTGAACTACTTTTGAAGTACACAGTCTCTCACTCAACTCATAAATCAAAAGGCTCAGGCTATTATAGAATATTTTAATAAACTCAACAGGTTTCTAACACATTTCAATTGTTAAATTGGCAAACAATTTTATAAGGACAGATCAGTTTGGTCCTAAATGTGAATTGGGCATAGTAAGTTAAAACTGGTAATAAATTTGTTACAAAGAATGTCATTAAGAGCCTCAGCACTAAGCACTGATCGAACTAAACAAATGGATCATAAGCTGGCTCCTAACAAAAGGCTCATCTTTTTTTTCTTTTCTTTTTTTTACTGTGAGCATACTGGCTCACATTAAAAATGAAATTCTGTTGCCTGCTCTCAAGAGAAAATATATATCTACACAAACACATACATAATATACATATAAACATCCTACATACATATATACATAAATAGGTTGACAGAATTATACAAGACTTGCTCCCAAATAAAGGATCTGAACGTTAACAATTAAAAGATACTGTGCAGCTTTTCTTAAAGCCAATCATTTGGCTGCATTGATTTATCAGTTTAAGGGGCACAGAGAGATGTGTAATTATAGAAGATAACCAAAGACCAAGAAGACAATGCAAAGAAGAGTTTGAGCTGCCCTTCTTTTATTAGAAAGAAAAGGGAGCTTAAACCTAAGCTTAATTAAGGGATTTAAAAAAGAAGCCTGGTATGTGATTAATCTGAAGACAGTATTTAGGCTATTTTGAAATCTGCCTCCCTCTGTTCATATGATAATTTATTTGATTCATTATTTAAATTGATGTATTCTGCAGTTCCTTATAACCCATATCAAGCTTCAAGTTGGCATTAATTTCTAAGGACTCATAGAAACTAATTACACTATAAAAAGAAATGGGAGAGAAATGAGGTATATAAGGACTTTCTTAAACAATCGAACGCTAACTCACCTTTCGCCTTGGGATATTGGACGTATATGAGTAACCTTCTTGTCTATTATATCTTTCCTTACTTCTGTTCAACAGGCTATGGATGGGTCAGAGAGAAGATGGAATGCTGGCCAGTCAGGACCCATCTCTATTTGCAAGGATTTGCCCTCCCCTCCATGAGGGCGTAAGAAGAATCTTCATGAAAGTGTCATAGAAACAAACAATTGCCTTTCATAGTAGTACTTAGTGTTCTAGAACCCAAAGAACAAGTAGGAAAGTCTGGACTGTGTGTCAGGAATTAGGGTCAATCTATATATGTGAGAGATCCATGATTAGGTCTCCTAATGTAATTTTCTATATTATAAAAGAGAGGCTTGGGCGGTCAGTGCTGCATTGGAAGTGAGGCACTGATCTTCCCATATACACACACACCTATATTTTCCTAGGCAAATTTCTTCCAATACTATTTGCCTTGGAGGTGAAAATCTGTTAGACCAACACATTCTGAAAATACAGGGCAATAATTCACACCAATAAATAAAATTGCTTGGAGTCTAAATATATTGTTTTTCATCTAGATTATTTCTGTGTTTCCTTACCATTTCTTTCTCTTTCTCCTAGAGAAAATCCATTAAGAAAGGAAAGTTGCGTAATGTCTTTTGGCAGCTAAAGCTACAACTTTCATTTGGCATCACTTCTGAATAAGTACATTTGTCCATTTTGTTTTATTTTTAAAACAACAAGATTATAGAGTGAGGAAAGGATGGTGGGGAGAAACTGATAAATTCATACCAACTACTTTGAAGCTCAGAGAGCTAGGTTCACAAAATTTATAGCATTTATATCAGTATGATGGCCTGCAATTCCAGACTTAAAAAAGGATGGACTCCGTACATCTTTGGACGTGTCTAAAATGCTACTTTAGATGAAGTCACAGTCACTTCTTTTAATTTCTGCCAAAAGATGACTATAGGATTTAGGGACTAGTCTACATATGAAATAAATAAGACATATGATATTCTCCTTCTGAATAATCATCATATTTATTTCAGTTAAAGCTGATATTCTTTATCTAGAGATTTTCAGAAGCCTAGAGGAAAACAGTCTTCACAAAACTGTATTTAATATGCAGGTAATAGTATGTTTAATCTCTTCGATTCATGGGGTTCCCATATGGATTATATATATAAAAGATAGTTTTGGGAATGTGGTGATCATTAGTCAAAGAACAAAGAACCATGTAAGCAATACTTCCCATACAAAATTACATATACTGAAACAGATAATGTTATTATCCCTTAAGATGACCTTCCGCCAAAAGCAAATAAAATATTAACAAATTTATGGTTCTCACAAAAATGAAACTCACTTGCATTTTTATATATTGTATGAATGGAAATGTATATTTTGATCAAAACAGAGGAATTCTCTTTTCTTAACCCAGACTAGGGTTACCAAAATTGTAACAGTGCAAACCTGTATCTTATTAAACAAATGCAAGAAAAAGATACACATATTTTGTATATCTTCAGTTGTGTCTAATGTACTGAATCTGGTGCATACATATAAGTATCTAAAGACACAGTCTCACTTTCTACTGCAGCCTGTTGTGTAAAATAATCTTAGGTTATTCTTGCATTCCTCCACATAGCTATTGGAAGAAACCAAGTCTGCTTCTTTCCTAATACTTTGTCTCAGGCAACAGAGAAGAAAGGGAATTTACAATAGTTAACACAATTGACCACAATTATGACCACAATTAAGCCCAACATTTCCGTTGCTAAACGAGACATTTGTTAAGTTTTGCCTCATTTTAGAACCTTTCTTGCCACCGTTGTTAAGTGAATCACTGCAGTTGTTAAGTTAGTAACACAGTTGTTAAATGAATCTGGCTTCCTCATTGACTTTGTTTGTCAGAGTATTGCAAAAGGTGCTCACGTGACCCCAAGATATGGCAACCGTCATAAATATGAGTCAGTTGCCAAGCATCTGAATTTTGATCATGTGACCACAGGGATGCTGCCTTGGTCATGTGAAAAACACTTGTTTCAGTGCCATTGTAACTTTGAACAGTCACTAAATGGACTGTGTAAGTTGAGGACTACCTGTATTTGCTCACCCAGGTTGGATTAAAAATGAGAGAACTTTATTCTTTTCCATGTTGACTTAAATACCAAAAGAATAATGAAAGTTTTAACTTTATGATGGTTTGGAGAAAGGCATTCATGGAAACATAATTGCCTGAAGTAAGATTTACCAACCCATTTGACCCACAGAGTGTTGGATGGAGAAATGCCCAGATCTTTAATAGAAAGCACCAAAGACAAGAAATGGCTTCAGTACAATCAACAGCCACCTCCTTTTGGAAGCTGAGCAGTTTACAGAGAATGACTATTGCTTACAAAGAGACAGTCTTTAGCTTGAACTGTGTGAGAAAAGATGTGGTCCTGCAGATCCAGTGGTGGGTTGTCCCCAGTTCATACCGGTTCTATAGAACCAGTAGTAAAACCGGCGGGAGGCTCCGCCCACCGACCCTGATGTCATCAAAACGCTTCTGCGCATGTGCAGAAGAGTGCGCGTGCAGCCCCACTGCGAACCAGTAGTAAAGGTAAGTAGAATCCACCCCTGTGCAGATCATCAGACTTTCCATTGGCTAATTCTTCTCAGCTCAATTTAAAACACTCTTGGTAGTGATTTGGGCGCTTTGGATTATTTGAAGTTTATTTGGATGTTACAATGCTATCTGCATTGACAGGTCTACATCTTTATGAATCTAGAGTTTAAAGAGCACCGTCAGACAATCAGCACTTACCCTTTCTGGTCAATGGCTGAGCAGAGAAAGAGAGTTGTCCTCCTCTATCATGCACTATTCATCCAGTGCATAATTGATATCAGGTCAAAATGCCCAAGAAGAGAGTGATGTACTTGTCCTCTTAGATTTCACTGAGCACTAATAAACAAACATTTCTTCGCTACTTCACAAAAAAAAAAAAAAAAGAGGCTACTTCTGTGTATTGGCCTTCTATTCTGCAAAATATACCAGAGAAAATGTGAAGGGACCCTATACCACAGGAAGACAAGTTGTTTAAAAAAGTAAATATGTTTATTGAAAATCCTCAAAAGCTTCCAGGTCAACATGGTAACAAAACTGTCTTGTCCTTCAAATACCTGCAATTTATAATGCTGGTATTCCAGCAACCCGACAGCTTTTTATAACTGTCCTAAGGCATTACAAGAACAGGAGCAGAGGAGTCCCAAGGTGAAGTGGGGCAAGAATTTTTCCAGTGCATAGGCTGCTCCTTAAGCACCCAACATCGGTAGACTGTGAGTTGTAAAGCAGTATTTGTAGGACTGAAATGATATTTGAAATGATATATTGATGACTAATGTGGAGATGGAGCATAAACAAGCCACTGCTAGTGGAAACTCTTCATTTATGAGTGGTTTCCAAATAACGAATGGATGACAGCATTGTCAATACGATGAATCTTTTGATATAGACAAATACCTGGCGAGGTTGACTTTTGATATCAAACCCACCAAGAATTTTTCCCTTTCTTTCTCCTGGAGGCTTTTCTTTTACTTCAATTTCACAAATAGTCATAGAGCCCAAATTATTATTTTGAACTTCTTACAGCATGAATAGGCTACTGCTTAGAAAGACAAGAGTTTTCTATACAATTGAAGTTAACAATATTACAAGTTCCCAGAAATTCATGAGATGGACTGTTAAGACTTACCCTAACAGATGGAGATGCACTGAATATAGAAACTGAGGACTCTGGACAGAAACTCACAACTGACCTTGAAAGTCAGTTGCGAGTCAAGAGATTGCATACTTTGTAAAAGGAAAAGTGCATAATTTGAGAGTATTAACTGAGAAAACGTAGCCAATGCTAATTATTGATTGTTGCTAGCTCATACTTTACAATAAGGTTAGTTCTGTTCCAGAGGATGGATTTCACTTTTGATTGGTTTGGTTGTTGTTGTTGTTGTTTTTTTAATATCCTAATTATAATCCAGGCTAAATTGCTGTTTTTTTGCTTTGCATAGATTTGTTTTTAAAGAGATCTGAATATGCCAGTTGGTATAAAATATAACTTCCTGAACACTGCAGGTTCAAAAATGGCTAAAATATATAATGATGTTGCATTGTAGTGATAACTGTATTATTATAATGTATTTGCAATGTAAAGCACAAAATATTTAAAGCCTTAACCGTAGGGAGATGAATGCCTAAAATTAGTTTGTGTATCTAGTAAACATCTGATCGTGAGTTCAAGAGAAAACTTTTCCCCCACCCACCCATGATAATAGCACACTTGTGAAGCCTATTATCTGCCAGCATAAATTAAGATTTATTTCTGGAGGTCTTTAAAAAGTGCTCCTTAAAACAATAATATTTACTAATATTTCTCCTAATATCTGTGTTCTGTGTTAAATTTGAATGTTTACATTAGGGTGGTTTTTATTCTACAGTGGGTTTCATTTATGTAAGCTGTCAAGAGTTATTAGGACTGAATCGCATACAAATTTGCTATACACACATATAGATAATAATATTGTTTTGAATAGGCTTTATTAATTTTTGTGAATGATATTTTATGAATTTGCTAAGCCTTTATTCAGAGGCTCTTTTTTATCCTAATAAAAATTTCATTGGCATCCTTATAACTAAATAAAAGTAAGCAACAGCATTTGTCAGGTAATCATAAAACAGAACTTTAAAATTACCAATGAGCTCAATGAAACAAGGCCTTTAAATCTTTTGGAATATTCTTGATGAACATTTTATACATGAAAATTTGAACTTCTTTGTCTATAGAAGCTCAAGGTGACAGGGTGCAGTGTTCTTTCAGTATTTCTTGATTACTGCTAGTAATTAAATTATAGGCTTTTTATATTTTTCTTTGAAAATTCAAATTCCTCAGATGATCAGCACTTCTTCCCCAAAATCTTTATCTGAAAGTAAATAAATGGAACAAAAATAAGCTTAAGTGCAGAAGTCAGTGTTTTGAGTCAATTAAAGCCTTATAGAAATATCAAATGTCTGCCGAAGTCTGTATACTATACTCAGGCTAATCTTCATCTAAGGTCATAGGAGCATCGTGGCCCTTTGTGGTATTAAGGATGTTATGATGGACATACTAGTGGTCATGTTTTTCTTGCTGACCATAAAACATTATCCTGAGATGGATGCATTATTCCATTAACTAATGTGAACAGGGAGAAGAGCAAGAAAGGAAAAGGCCACTGAGCCAGGAGTCCCAACAAATTGGCCAAGAGTGTCAATCCTTGTTAGGATGTAAAGCCTCAGCAAATGCCTACTGATGGTCACTTTTTAAGAAGATTTGGTAGTCCTGAATCCTATCTATTGGGCAAGAAGAGAAGGAATGCAAAGGATGTAAAATAGGTAACTGCCATTTCAATGTGGAAACCATGAGGAAGGTGTGCTGGATTTGAGTCTGAAAGAATTTGAGGTGGGATGACAGCTTTTACTGATACAAGATATTAACAGTTGAAAAGAGGTTCAGTTCAGAGTTACAATATGGATTCAGTCTTAGTTATGCTTTGAGGAATTCTGGGAAGCGCCAGTGTAGTTCTACCCAGTTAGTGGACCCCGGAAATTAAATTCTACTCCATACTCTATTTGATAGCCTTCACCTTTGTTTTGTATTTGTAAAAAAGCATGGAAGAGTTAATCACAGATCTACTTGTATTTATACGATATAACAATAGCATGAAATAATCTAGTCCAAGGAAAGGCAGCCTATAGTTCACCAAGTGTTGTTGAATTTCAGTTGCTAACAACTCCAGCCAGTATATAATATTAGGTGATACTAAATATTAGAGATCAGCTAGATGAAAATGAAGTCAGTGCAATCTTGCTTTATCACCAACTGTTTATTTCTCCTTGTCAGAAGAATTATTTAAAAGTGTCCCTTCCCTGAAAGAAGAAATCCTATGAACTATATTGGATATATTTCTGAACCCTCTTCTATAATTCAGGGCTGTAATTCAGTCACAAATAGAGGACTACAGCTTGCTGCACTCAGAAATCATGATTTTTGACCATTGGAAGCCTGTGTGATTCTTTGTTTTTGTTCAGTATGTGGTTGTTGGATTTCCAGAATAACTCATTGTCCTCATAAGAAATTTATGTATAGGTCATAAACGTATCATATGAACTCCTTAGTGCTGAGATTCAATTGCAAAAGAACAAAAACAAAACTAAGAATAACGTATCAATATAATTACCATGAGAGCCACAATGGCATATTTTTTGACAAGTGAAAACCTGGAGACATGGTATTTCATTTTTAATGCTGCATTGATGGCATTACCATTGCTAGTGTACTTTAAAAGTTCTTGCTTCAATCCAGTGTCCGAATGGAAGATTCCTTTCATTACAATGGTCTCAACATTTGAACAGATCGAGAAAACTAATTTTGAAGGGAAAAAAGAGCAAATTATGCATAATTAAGAAAATAGTTTGACATTCTTTTCA